TTACTCGTAAAAGTTTACCTATTCAAGTATCGTTGCAGTACCTACTTAGTTGTGGGTTCAATACCTATTTAATTAACCCAAAACTAAGTAGGTACTGCTTACTAAGTAGGTTTGCGTGTAATAACTTGTTAGGTCTCCTAGATTTTCCTAAGTTTCTCTTTCAATTATAATGAGACATTGTACATTAGAATTACTTATCAATTGTATTTTATTATCGGTTTTGATTTCATTTCAGCAACTATGGAATCACAACGCCGGTTGTATTTTAAGAAACAGATAGTGAAAGAGTTGTCTCAACAGAAGACTGAAGTACCTACAACTGCAGAAAATGAAAACAGTAAAAATATTGAAGCTGATGAAGATTGTTTTACACTATTAGGAAGCCAGTCCTACTATGACCAAATCCAAAGATTTTCATTTATGAATATGATTCCTTCAAATCCAGATAACAGCAATACGGAAAAAGAGTCACAGGTAAATAAAGCTTTATGTCTATAAGAATTTTATTACTATAACATGAGTTCCCGTTATTTTGTTTTTCTTTTAGGATGATCGTGACAGTACCACCAAAGCTTTATTAGAAGATATTACTAACAAAGTTCTAACCAAAGAAAAGAGTTATACAGAAAATATAGAAGATATACGAATAGATATTGAATTTGAGTCGGCAATTAATTGTAATGCTAACTTTTACCTAGGACTTCATCCGCGTGGATATAGCATTTTTTTTTTAATTTTAGACTGTAAATACAGGAGCCTTGTGGAGTAAGGAAAACTCGAGTGATATATTTCCTCAAAAAGAAAACGATGATGACGAACTGATATTGACTGAAGATGACTGACAAAAAATTACAAAGAAAAAGAACCTGAACTTATTTCTACATTAACGGAAGTAATTGCTGAAAGTGAGATGGAGTTGCTGAGGAATTCTCTTGAAGCAGATGAAGAGGTGATAAGCCCGGGCCCTGCATTGCACCGGTTGCCGCCAGTCGCTGATCCCCTGGATGCCCCGGGGGATCACCGGCCCTCCCACATTGGGGGGGTGAGTGGGGCTCGCCATAGGCGAGCAGACGCCGACGAGGTCGTGGATGTGTTCTCGCGAGTTCCCATGACCTTGTCCGGCAGCGACGCGTCCCTCCCCGGCGTGTCCTCTTCGTCAGAAGACGATGAAGATGCGGCGGTGATGGACGTGCTCGCGCCAAGGCGTATGTGAGGGGCATCGATGGGTTTTAGTCGGTAGGCCGCGGAGGCACCTTCTGGAGGGCATTCTGTCTGCCCCCAGAAGCCGCGGAGAGTCCGACATAACCCCGCGTACCCCAAAGCACGGAGTATGCGTAAAGCATTTCCCATCGTTAAAAAAAAAAAAAAAAAAAAAAAAAAGATGAAGAGGTGATAGAAGCAGAGAACAATATATATAAAAAAATGAACAAGAGAAGCAAAATGATTAAAAGTTATGTCGATTTTATATCTGAGGAAGAGGACTTCATATGGGGTTCTTCTTCTTGGAAAGAAACTGGGGATGAAACTTCATCAAATGAAAGCAGTAAACCTCAGAAAAAGAAAAAAAAAGTAAGATCAGAAGACGGTAAAGTAGGTGAAGCAGGATTGAAAAAGAAAAAAAAGAATAAACGCAAAGAAGCAAAAAACTTGCGAGAAAAAGGAAAAGAGTATGTGAAAAAAGACGGAAGTATTGTAAGTGCAAGATCACTTAAGTCTAATCCATGCCTAGGAAAAAACTGCGGGAACGGCTGCAATAATGTTTCCGAAGAAAAAAGAAAAAGTATCTTTGATTATTTTTGGGGACTACCATCCCAAAGAAAAAAAGATTGGCTAGTGAGCTTTACTGCTAAAACTGACATAAAACGAAAGAGGTCAAAGGACTCTGGTGTGAGGCACAATACATATTTCTACTATATTAATGATGGCGAAGGCCAACGTAAAGTTTGTAAAAAAAATCTAGTAGACACTTTGGGTGTTACCTCAAAATATGTTAGTTATACCTTAGCCAATGCATCGTTTGGGTTGTCAAAATAGGAGGGCAGAGGTAAAACTATTCCTAAAAATAAAAAAATGGTTGCCTGTAAAGTCGGTTTTACGGGCGAAGATTTTACGTGACAACGTCTTTTTCTCGGTAGAATATTTATTGATATGAATATAATTAAATTGCACAATAGGAACAAGGAATTGAATGAAAATAAGAATTGCACAAATTTTAACTATAGAAATATATTTTGTTTACTAAAACATTGTACATGTAAACTTAAACTTAACACGAGAGACTCATCGTAACGTTACCGAGCGTTACACTTTTTCATAAGTGACTCCCAGCCGCAACCTAATTTAAGACGTTGTCACGTCAAAACACCTCACTCAGTAAAAGAGTCGGCCATTAATTTTATCAAAAGTTTACCAGCACTGCCATCCCATTACTGTCTGATGTGTTTTTCTACTTCTGATTTATAACAAGTTAATGAAAAGTTTTTTGGAGTTTACTCCTTAAGAATCGATTTGCATATATAAGGGGCCCGGTATGAGAAAAATGTGAGGAGTAAAATCTATCGATGAATGACCTCGTTACGTTTTTGGTGCGCATCCTATGTCGCGCAACTTTGACAAACAAAGATGACGGATTGACATTAATATTTTTTTTAAAATCTGAACTGATTTTAGATATTGTTTCTGATAGAGCAATGGGAACAACGAGGTATGGTACAACCATTGATGCGGTATTTTCAAGATTCGTGAACCACGTATCTACGAACGTCCATGTGTCTTATTTTAGTTATACCATAAACCACTTGTCACTGTAATTAATAATGCAGACAATGTTGATTTAATTAATATTTAAAAAATGATAATAATAATTACATAATTTATCAACATTCCTAATGATATATTTATGCACATCTGAAATTGACTATTATAAAAGTTTAATGTAAAATATTTCGTTGATTAGTTATAATAAATGTATATGAAATGAATAAATATATATTTATATATGTATATTATTTTCATTAATTTACCCTTTCATACACTATCAATCTTTTTTTAAGTTAAATAAACTTTTTTGCGTCTGGTTAGACTATCGAACTTAAGGAGTAAACTCCAGTCGTGCGTCGGAGCTGACACACACAATTTTTTTTTAATATTCATGTTTCATTGTTACTTACCGATGTAATTTGGGTACGTCGATGTTGAAGATTTATTTTGAATAAATTATAATTAACAACAATTCATTTGTTGTTTTACTTATAAAGTGATCCTAAAGTACAATGTATTCCGTGGTGATACTACTACATAGGCTTAGGGTGATATCCGGGGGCGTCCCAGTGAAGTGGCGCACACGGAGGTGCGCGGATCCTGAGATGCTCCCACAAGGGCGTAGGAGGGTACCGCTGGTTTTTAGTGGGTAGGATCGGCGCTGTTCTGCGTCGGGTAGTCCCATACACGTCGCGCGCCTAACCAGCGCGCGGTATGGTCCGTAAATGGATTTTCCATCGTCAAAAATGAAAAAGAAAAAAAAGGCTTAGGGTGATATACCACCTTATCTAATACCTTGTTCCAAGACACATTGAATCAACATCTTGAATAATTCGTCTACACAAAAATGTTTGTTAATTTATACAAGACACTGTCTAAAATTGTATAAAGTGGCTTAGTAATCTCAGAAATATCTTATTATGCATGTTGCTGAATTAAGATGGCCTAAGCGTCAATTTCTACTACTATCTAGTAAGGGTTCATTTTGTTTCAGCCTGCAGTCCCTCTAATGGGCATCTGCATCAAACTACTTTACTCTAGTGCAACACCATCATGTTGCATGCTCATTGGGTCTATTTAACTGTCAGTTGACTTGGCGCTAAATTCATTTTCGATCGCATTCATTTATTCTAGGTCGATACTTGAACCAGTTTACTTTCAGCTATTTTACTTAGGATAGGCATTTAAACCATTTTGCCTATCTCAAAAAATAACTAAATTTGATACATTTTGAGCTAACCAACATAAATTTTCTAAAATAATACACAAGTTTCAACAGTATTAATTTGGTGTCTGCGATTGGCCGAAAACTTCAAGCGAAACGGAACCTTAACACATGACAAATAAAGATTGCAGGCTATCTAAGATCGGGTTATATCGACGATTGGTTGCATGCATGTGGTAGTAATGTGTATGTGTGCGTGAAGTGCTTATATTTTATTTATTTTATTTCCCAATATGATGATCTGTGTGCGTTTGCGCGATATCAAATACATTGCGTATTTTGTATCCAGCATATTAAAGAAAATTTTTACAAGGCGCGCAATGTAATTATGTCGCTTGCATTAACGTATAGTCGTATACGCCAATGTTCGCTTGTGCTTGAATGTAAATATATTAGAATCTGGCAAGGTAAGCCGGCAGGAATCGTGTTCTAAGGAGGCTTCGCCACTGCAAAGTACCTATTATTCGCTACATTTGTTCTAAAAATGAAAAAAAGTATTTTTTTAAGATCGTGATAATTATGTTAAATAATGAAAAGACCCGTCTATTGGGTTTTTTACCACATAAATACCCGGTTTTAAAAAATTAAATTGCGAACAAATGCACGCTTATGATAGTTTACAGTAAGATACCGCAAAACTTAGTATCGCAAAGCACCTGTAAATGTTTTGTGTAGAATATAAAATTATTGTTATTTTGTTTCGTTTCAAAACAATATTTGTGATTTATTTATTAACATTCTTCTTCAAAACGTTCCGTTACTCGTAAGATTAGTTACTATATAACAAGGTGACGCTGTTTTATTTTTCTCTATGATTAAATTTGACAGAACTGACAAGCTTCGTCTACAAAGATTTAGTTTGTTTTTAATTTACTTTTCTTCAAAATGATTGCCTAAAATTATACAACAATCAATTTAAGAGTGAACATAAAAGTATTTAGTGAACATGATATAGTTATAGTCACTTCAAAATGTTATTTTTTCAATTATAACCTCTGAAGATTGCCTGACCACTATGAATCCTCAAGTTTGTGTGAATTGTCATAATAAGAAGCCAGTTAATCATACAGATAATCGGCTTGTGACTGAGAACTGCGGGCATACAAAATGTATGGATTGCCTTTTGCACGAGAAGTCTGGTTGTGGTGCTTGTATTCTTGAAAAAGAAGAGTCTGTTTATGCAAACAAGGAGCTCAGTAACGGCGACAGTGAATCAGAAAAGAGTAATGAGCTGGTGGTATATGAGAAAGACAGTAATGATAGTCAAGTAGATAATGAGAGCTCAGAGAAGAAGAAAAAGCTGGAGGTTTCTCATATTAAGACAGAGTCAGGTGAGTCTCTTATGTTTAATTTAAACTTAATAAATTTGATGGCAAATTCTTGTATCACAGAAATTACCGCTATGTCAATTGTTATTACAATTGAAGACAACCAACATGCAATGCATCCAGTGAGGTTGAGCAAACAAATCTACATTAAAGGCCATTTAAAAACATGCTTATCAAATACTAAATTGGGTTATCATTTAAAATAATAAAAATGATTCTAATTCTCACAAGGTAATTCGTAAAAACCAATCTAAAACTATTGATATTATGTAGTTTATTCATTTACACAGTGGTGTAAATTCTGGCATGATTCTCTAAACCTAAACTTAAATTTGACATCAGTGTATCTCTGGCATTCCCTATACAGAATGAATAGGAGAGACTGATGTTAAATTTAATATTTAGTTTAGAGAATCCTGCCAGAATAGACACCAATATCACAATATAACTAAAACAATAGATACATTTAAATAATTAAAACTTAAAAACTACTTGATGTCTAAAATTTACAGTCTTAATTACCTTAACTTGGGCGTTAATAACTGCGACACAGTTTTATAACTAATGCAGTTATTATCGATCATTATTCTTATTGTATCTTTGTTATGGTTTTAATAAATATTTCATTTCATTTCATTTCAACCTGCTTAACTAGTAAATAATAATATTTACTTTTGATTCCTATCACAATTATATTGATTTTGAACTTATTTGTGTTGTGTTTCAGATGACAATGGGAAGTACTATGTGTGCACATTATGTAAAAAGAAGTTTCATGCCAAAAGTCAAGTGGCATATCATGCATATTGTAATGGACAACGGAAGCCTTTCCAATGTCCAGAGTGTAATAAGGTCAGCATAGTAACAGTTTATATGAAATTTTCATTTAAGTCATGAACCTTAAATTCTTTAATTTATTATTAACATGGTTGCTACCACCAATACATGAGAAAATATTTTGACCTTCCGAGCTTCACGAAACTTGTAAAATATCAATGTTTTTTTTAATAATTCTCATTAATGAATCAATATGTGTCACATATTAAAAAAATAATCAAAATGAGATGAGTGATATCTATTGTTGTGGGAAGGCTGCAATAGCACTATGAAATCCGTAGATAACTTGTTTAATCTTCCTTTGATTGCAGCAGAGCCTATGCAAATATATACAGCATTATTGTTACCTTGTTGCAATTTGTTGTTATTGTTATGACTCCATCTTGTTTCCTCACTATTTTGCATATATGTAAGTTAAAAATTGACATTTCTTATTATTACCACAGAGTTTTGCGACACACTCTCATTTTAAGTACCACATGCGTGTGCATCGCAACGAGCGCACTTATGCCTGTGAAGAGTGTGGAGATAGCTTCTTCCAAATGTCCAAACTACAGAGGCATAAACTTAAACACACTAGTGAGTATAAACTTACATATTATTTGATTTTTTTTTGACCAAAAGCTCTCAAAAGGTTCTTTAAAATGTTTATCCAATATTTCTTTCAAACAGATGCGGAATCATTTACTGGTTTTGCTATATTTTTCGTGTTTTTTTCTACCACCTGTTCAGGACAGCTTTTAGCTGACAAGAAGAATGAGCAGAAGAAACTTATCAGCTTTTTACCAAAGTAGCAGAATTACATAATTTATGTCTTACACACGTGTGAGCTTCACTGTCATATACATCAACTTACACAGATAACATTAACACATTTGTTCAAATTAATACATTTTGTTGTGGCAGTAAGGTTCAATGTAAATTGTATACGGCAGAGAAAGAGAGTTTGATTACGGTGCGAGAGAGACATACATGAACAAATGACGTGCGGGGCGCCAAAATGGAGAAATATTTAGTTGTAGCTAATAGTATATATAAAGTTGCATAATTATGTAAGTTTAAAGGGACCTTAAATACGACACTCCCTTTGTTTTTTTAGTGTGGATTTAATGAACTTGCCACAGTTTTTAATCGAACACTTTGTCATTGCGTGTCGTGGTAATCATGGCGCAGTAGAAACTGGACTGTTTCAAAAGTACGCACAATAGACGCCAGTGCGTAAATTTGCTTCCGCCACTTTTTGAGTGCGATTGCGAGTCTACTTGGTTTTATACGTCAAAGGTTACACACTATTTAAAAATTTACAAGGCGTACTTTAATAAGCTCTTGAATCCCCAAATATTTTGATAAATTAAGTAAATATTTTTTTAAATGCATATTCTATAGCTGGTTGTTCGAGCAGTATAGCAGTACAGTTTCATATGCTTTTGTTTGACAGACGAGAAGAAGTTTGTGTGTGTTCAATGCAACAAGCCTTTCAGCAGTCTGTCGTCGATGCGTAAACACGAGCTCACGCACACCGAAGTTCGTCCGTTCGCATGCGCCATATGCGGCCGCTGCTTCCGGGACAGCTCCAACTACAGGAAGCACGTCGCAAAACATGACGGTAGGTCTTATTTATGTATCCTACTCTTATTAATATTAGAAATGGTTAGTTAAATAAGTTTGTTACTCAGATATGCAAAAACTAATTTTTATCTCAGAAAAATTCTGGATAAATCTTTCATAAATATATTTTTTAAAAGATTTTTCTAGTTTTGGAAATAATAATTTGATTGGTTGTCTGCTGGTTGTCTCATAAAGGATAAATAAAAAAACCAGGGATTGGTCGAATACGACTTTAGATGGACCGACGGCCATCGCAGAGCCGACAAGTCGGTTCTTTAATCGGCAGCCTGAACTTAAGTTTTACTTGGCTGGCGGCCGACTACAGAATATTGCAAATAAGTAGACCAATAGTCGGTTTTTGAAAATCTGTTCAGTGAGAAAATTAATTTACAAGCCAAATGAAATCTAATGTTACTGTCGTTGCGGGAAGTTCACTCAACTAATCAGTGTCATTGGACAGAGCTGTCTAGTTCAAAAATTGGTATGGCAATAGTCATTTTGGTTGTCTAGAATTTTTCGCTAATTAATTGACAGACATCTTAGTTGTATAAAGATTTGACAAACCTTTCAGAAACCGGGTGTAGGTCAATAGTCGGGTCTATTCCGGCATGATTCTCTAAACTTTAACTTAAATTTGACAACAGTGTTTTCTTGCCAATCTCTATTTCATACAGAATGTAAACGAGAGACTGATGTAAAATTAAGTTAAGAGAATCATGCCAGAATCGACACCATTATCTCACATTTATTTATCTTTATGTGCTTGTTCTAGACAAAAAGTGTAGTTGCGGGGGGGTTTGTTCGCGCTGTACTCGCGGGGGCGGTAATACGGGGCCGGGAGCGCGAGCGCATCAGTGCCCGCGATGTTCGCGCGCCTTCCACTCGCGGAAGGACATGCGCAGGCACGCGGCCGTACACACCGGTGCGTACCACACACACACATAGACAGGTCACGCTGTATACTCGCTGTACTCTAGGGGCCGCATCAGGGCCCGCGATGTTCGCGCGCCTTCCACTCGCGGAAGGACATGCGCAGGCACGCGGCCGTACACACCGGTGCGTACCACACACACACATAGACAGGTCACGCTGTATACTCGCTGTACTCTAGGGGCCGCATCAGGGCCCGCGATGTTCGCGCGCCTTCCACTCGCGGAAGGACATGCGCAGGCACGCGGCCGTACACACCGGTGCGTACCACACACACACATAGACAGGTCACGCTGTATACTCGCTGTACTCTAGGGGCCGCATCAGGGCCCGCGATGTTCGCGCGCCTTCCACTCGCGGAAGGACATGCGCAGGCACGCGGCCGTACACACCGGTGCGTACCACACACACACATAGACAGGTCACGCTGTATACTCGCTGTACTCTAGGGGCCGCATCAGGGCCCGCGATGTTCGCGCGCCTTCCACTCGCGGAAGGACATGCGCAGGCACGCGGCCGTACACACCGGTGCGTACCACACACACACATAGACAGGTCACGCTGTATACTCGCTGTACTCTAGGGGCCGCATCAGGGCCCGCGATGTTCGCGCGCCTTCCACTCGCGGAAGGACATGCGCAGGCACGCGGCCGTACACACCGGTGCGTACCACACACACACATAGACAGGTCACGCTGTATACTCGCTGTACTCTAGGGGCCGCATCAGGGCCCGCGATGTTCGCGCGCCTTCCACTCGCGGAAGGACATGCGCAGGCACGCGGCCGTACACACCGGTGCGTACCACACACACACATAGACAGGTCACGCTGTATACTCGCTGTACTCTAGGGGCCGCATCAGTGCCCGCGATGTTCGCGCGCCTTCCACTCGCGGAAGGACATGCGCAGGCACGCGGCCGTACACACCGGTGCGTACCACACACACACATAGACAGGTCACGCTGTATACTCGCTGTACTCTAGGGGCCGCATCAGGGCCCGCGATGTTCGCGCGCCTTCCACTCGCGGAAGGACATGCGCAGGCACGCGGCCGTACACACCGGTGCGTACCACACACACACATAGACAGGTCACGCTGTATACTCGCTGTACTCTAGGGGCCGCATCAGGGCCCGCGATGTTCGCGCGCCTTCCACTCGCGGAAGGACATGCGCAGGCACGCGGCCGTACACACCGGTGCGTACCACACACACACATAGACAGGTCACGCTGTATACTCGCTGTACTCTAGGGGCCGCATCAGGGCCCGCGATGTTCGCACGCGTTCCACGTTCCACGTTCCACTCGCGGAAGGACATATGCAGATATACGCAGCTGTACACATAAGTATCACTCACACACATAGAGATAATGGATAGAGAATTTCTTTAGCCAACTGTAAGATAAAATCGAAGAGTTACGTGGTGGATTGCTACACTACACAGGTTTTCAAGGTGTTTCCTACCTTGAGAGGTCCTGGATGCGAAAACCAGTGGAGCAAACGTTGTATCGCTTTTAATTTCAAACGTGTATGCGACAGACTATTTATGTCACCACTGTTGGGGCAGAGGCCTTCCCTATGGATCGAATAGGGAGATTGGGCCAGGACCCACCACGCGGGGCCAGTGTGTATCAGTGGGACGACTGCAGATGCAGCCGGGACTAACTGCTTAACGTGTTTTCCGAAGCACAGAGAAGCTCGAGATACCTAGTAAATTTTTGGTCACCCATTCAATGACCGACTACTGCGAACGTTGTTTAGCTTCAACGATCGCAGCCAAACGCTCCAACTACTTGCGCCATCGAGCTCCTTGTAGTAGTTTTATCTGGCTTCTTTCACAGTAACGTGCGTACAACATTCTTTGACATCGGTTGGTAGGGTGTGGTAATTTTGTCACTTCAGCCAATGACAGCTCGCTTTTCCGTGTGGCAGTGGTCTATCGTTGTCTTTTGTAAATTATTATTATACTCTTTATTGCATCATACAGTTTAAAACATATAGTCAAATACATAGTAAGCAAAGGTGGGCTTATCTCTAAAAGAGATCTTCTCTTTTAAGAGAGAGTTCAATTATTGTGTGATAAAGAAAGAGTTCTACAAACTCTGTCGCTCTGTTACGATTTCATGCTTAAAGCACTAAATCTCTTCAGCTGATATAACAAAAGCTCTTCAGTTATGAAAACCACAAACAATGTTGACCACAACCACTCAGATTTGACATCATATATAACTTGACTATGGCTGTCAATATTTTTATAAGAATATTCGAATGGTATTAAGTCTCTCTAAGTACTAATTTAATACCGGCATTTGGATATTTGAGGAGCTCGATGGCGCAAGTGGTTAGCGCGTTCGGCTGCGATCGTTGAAGTTAAACAACTTTCGCAGTGGTCGGTCATTGGATGGATAACCAAAAATTTACTAATTCGAGCTCCTCCGTGCTTTGAAAGGCACGTTAAGCCGTTGGTCCCGGCTGCAGCTGCAGTCGTTAGCACCCACCAATCCGCACTGGGCCCGCGTGGTGGGTCATGGCCCAATCTTCCTGTTCCATTCATAGGGAAGGCCTGTGCCCCAGCAGTGGGGACATTGATAAGCTGTTGATGATGATGATAATTGACTTTTGATTATTTGATGCTTAGACCCTTTAGACTTACAACCCATCATTTATAAAAAGTGAACTGTATCTTATGCATTTTTCTCTATCCAATTCTAACATTTTTGATTAATCTAATGTCACATGTAATGTCGGAACTTAATTTGGCTATTTGTTTCTTAGGTTTTCACGCACATCACTCATTAAATAAAACTAGTTTTTACGGGTTAATGCACGAAACTTTATTTATTTATTGACGTTTCGTAGCCTTTTCACATTCTGACGACGAAGCCTGTAAAGGCTACGAAACGTCAATAAATAAATAAAGTTTCGTGCATTAACCCGTAAAAACTAGTTTTATTTAATTTGGCTACTCAAATTTGCTATTTGCCATTATAACAACAGGTTATCCTTATCATGTTCTATAGAGAATTAAAAGGAGACACTGGTGTCCATTCTGGCATGATTCTCTAAAGCTAAACTTAAATTTGACAACAGTGTATCCTTGTCATTCTCTTTAAATAATGAAAAGGAGAGGCTGATGTCAAATTTAGTCGACCACCAGAATCGACACCACTGTTATCAATTTTACCAATAGCAAACACGAATATCCACGTGAAATGCCGGCATAAAACAAAATATCCAAGCAAAATTTTCCAATTTTTTTTTATGTTAATGAATTATATGATTTGTGTGCAATTTTTAAAATTAAATTAAATTAAATGTAATAATTACTGACATAAATAACGCCGTTAATATCTAATGTGTACGTAATGAGTTTCTGTAATTGGCCTTAAGATTATACATATCTATATTTTATTGTATTAAATTTCACAAAAACCGCTGTAGAAACTTTGTTAAAGATAAATTAATAAATAAAAATATCTCTTCATAGATTCCAAGCCTTTCCGCTGCAAAATATGCAGCCGTCGATTCCGCAGGAAAGACAACTTGGAGAGGCACATACGAAACACGCACCCTGACTATGTCCCCGCTAGTGCCGTAGACTGCGATCTGCTTGCACTCAAACAGATCTCTAACACCCACGACAGAGAGTCCAAATCCCCCGAGCAGAACACCGACAAGACCCTACTCAAGAAACTAAACCCCCTCCCGCCTTTACCCCAAGAGGTCATCCAAAAGCACATAAGCCAAGAAGGCAACGAAAACATCGAACTGAAGCACTCGAAGAAGGAAGACGCGAAGCTTATAGACAAATCGTACATCCTAGAGGCTAACAACGCGCGTCAGAGCGTCATAGTCGGCAACTGTCCTACTTTAGAAAAGAAAATAGCGAGCCCCCAAGGCAACGAGTATGTCCACAAGATCAGAAAAGCTAACACGATGGCGAGTCAGAAGAACATACCCCTGCCTCCTATTGACGAGAAGAAGATGATAGAATTGGAACAGAAGACGAGCTTGAACAATCTTGACTTGGGCGAGCCGCCCAAAGATGTGGAATTGTACAAGAAGATTTTGTATGGCAAGTCTAAAATAGACGTTGATAATGCTCACGACGAGGAGAGGAAGGCGGAGCAGACCTCCCCGGAGATGCACTGGAGGAGGAAAATGAAGCTCAATATTAATTGGTAAGGTTTTTTTAATATAACACTTTTAACTAAGTCAAACAGCCTAAGAAATACTAGAAGAAATTCGACACCGCTATTAGGGCCGCGGTAGCAAAATTGGTTAGGGTATCCGCCGCGGGTTCGAGTCCCGTCTGCTGCCTGGTCCACGTGGAATATTTTCTAGAAAAAAATCTTTAAGAGCCCTTTTACAAAATTGCGCCGCTGTCGTACTGATCGGCGCGTAGGTAGATTTGCACTAGTATATATTGCATTTTACGGGTGATGTTCCGAGTCTTATAAAATATTTATTAATGAACTAATTCTAGCAATATATACATATTTCAGTAGTTCAATGATGGTAGATTAGTTTTATGAAAGTTTCATATAGTAATTTTATTTAGTTCAATATCAAAATTGAAATGGTTGAAGATCTGAAGACAAAGGAAAGGAACATCCACGCGGAAAAGGCAGCAATTACATTCTTATAAAATAACAATTATAACTAAAGACATAATGTTCAAATTTCTAGAGAAAAAGAGACCAAATCTATTTTATTTTACTTAAATCCCCTTTATTATGATGGTGCGTTTTGTGCTTCTAGAAATTAAATATTTAAAACATATTTTCAGATATGAACTGAAAGGCTGAATCGAATGACTGATGCGTAAGTAAACTGGGACTGGAAATATTTTACCATTTGGTCTATGCTATACTATATTTGTCTATAATTATTATTTTTTATAAAATGTTTACAATTTAGAGAAAGAAATGAGGTGTGATACTTTTGTATGATATTGAGATTGATTCTGTTGCAAACCTCCTGATTTAATGCCTGGCACTACGCACTATCGTATTTGGTATATGTCAACTTGAGAACAGTCTCTCCTTTTCATTCCCTATAGAGAATGATAAGGACAACGTGCTGTAAAAATGACATATAGCAAATACGAATAGCTTTATGAAGTGCTAGCATAAAATAGGTGATGTGCAGTAGGTATTTTCCTATATTTTAACTCGCATCGAGAGATAAATATTTCTAATACTTTGTAAGAGGTTTTTACGGAGGAAATGGGTAAGATGCGTAGAAAATTTAAGATCAACTTAACTTACAACGCAACCCAATAGGTGGTTGTGCAGTCGGGTTTCAGGATTATTTTTAAAGTGAACCTTTTATTACATTGGCACATTTTTTTTAACATACAGCGTTGCCATTGATACGGCAATTTGAGCTCATAATTTCAGATTACATATTAAGGTTTCTCATTGCCGTATAATAATACTAACTGCCTATAAATTTCAATAAATAAAATTAGGTAATACGGCAAAATCATGATTTTTATTTAAAAATACGGCAATCTGATGTATCGAATACTGCAACTCTTTCAAACTTGATGGCAACACTCTTAACATATTGCATTACATTTTATAATAGGCTATTTTAACAGTATGAAAAATAATGTACCAATTTTTGGCATCTGTATTTAATATGAATATTAGCAGCGGTTACTATTCCGAAAGGACAAACATATAATAACTTTTCTACAAAATCATTAAATAGAAATGATTTCTTTTGCTCCATGATCACGTGACCAAAAATGCCTGGGATTGGCCAAGACTAAATGACGTCACACGCTAGTAAACTGCCGGGCAGTGACGTTACATTGACGTTTTAATGACATTTGTGTGACGTCACACACTAGTGGGACGCCATAATGTCAAGAGAAACGTTTTCGCGGCAACTTGAAAATTGAATATGTTTAGTTTTTTTACTGAATTACGCAACAGAATAAAAAAAACACTTTTTATGGACTCCATAAACATTAGTAAATAACGTGAGATCGTTTTCTAAAACTTGTCAAATACCTTATTGTTATTAAAAGAACAAGCATCGATGGTTCAGTGGTGGAACAAAGCTCGACTGCGGCGCGGGCGGCTCGGGTTCGAATCCCAATCGAGTTCGGTTTCTTTTATTTAGTAAGATTAAGTATGAGCAATGCAACAGAATCATCTATTAGGTGTAGCTGAAATACACGCGAAACTGCTATTGGTCGTTGCTTTCGGCTTTCGATCTTTGGTAGTGCGAAAATGTAAACATTCGTATTAAATGTCAAGCTGCAATTTTATTTGGCTATACGTGTTTGCTATTTGTAAACTTGACATTGGTTTGTCCTTTTCATTCCTTATAAAGCATGATAAGGACGGGTTGTTGTCAAGTTTACAAATAGCAAATACGAATAGCCAAGTTTAGTGCCGCGTACAGAGATATTTTGTACACAATATGTTATATCTTGTATACAGTATGCCCCGACAAAGGTCCAAAATCTATACATATATAACGTGTAACAGAAAAAACGCAAAACCTGAAAGTAGTTTCTTACAAATATGGAAATGAGAAAAATTCAGTTTTATTTTTATAGAAGTACATAACACTAGTCGACAAAATGATTTTTTAAATCAGTTATTTCATGACTACTGTCTGATTGTTTACATCGAATTATAGCCAGAAACCTTATTTTCATTTAAAAAAAAGTTTGCTTTTGCACGAATTTATATGCCAGTTCACGCTTGACAGTACTTTATTCACCATACAATTAACACACAATGTTTATCACAGAACACTCACTAAACACATACAGTGTTTCACTTTACCTCTAAACAATCGCACTTGAACACTTTTGTTGCACTTTGAACGCATTTGGATTCGCTCCGAAATCGCTGTTGAAACTTAACTGTCTCTGCGCGGCGCCAATCGCGCTTATATACGCCGATCGACGCATTCTAGTAAGTACCTGTTAAATTGAGAATTAGCTAGCACCCGCAAGTACGAAGTACCTACTTATACCTACGCAGGTAACGCGCATAACCTGTAAACAAGTGCAGATGTCATTGCACTGTTTCTCTTACGCCGCACTGCATAAGGCTCATTTTAGAATGAGCCGCATTACTCGACCTCTAACGCGACCCGCGGTGCCGTTTCGAGAGCATTTGTGACAGTATCATTTTTGTAAAAGGCTGAGGGACTTAAAATTGCATTCTGGGAGCTACGAAAGCAAACTTTTTAAAATAAAATATTGTTTCTTACATTAATTAGGTATAAGAATTCAAAATCTGGTACAAAGAACTCAGACTCAAAATTCGTGTTTACTGATGTAATCAGTTCAATCAGTGCTATCTCAATGTTAGAAAAAAAAATGTACAGTTGGATTAAAAATTGCTGTTTTTAATTTGTATTATGTATCATATACTATCGTTTGGAATTATTAAATTGATGCCAGTTATTTTTTTATTGAAATCGTTTCAGAAACCAATTCCGTCTAAACTTTCTTCAGGATATGTGTTATTTCCGTTACACGTTGTATAATTATCATGATTTATTTTTGTTATTTATGATATTAGTTGTTTATTACAAACGAGTACTAGAATGTAACCAGAGTCACGAATACCCATTCGGCACGAATTTTTTTCAACACATTTGCGAGAAATCCAAAACCAACTTATTGAAGTAATAAAGCAAAATTTATGTAATAATAAAATAGCGCCACGTGCGGAGGCTGAAAATTAGAACTACGTCTTTCGTCTCTTTTTCTTTTAGTATTAAAGTGAGACAAATGTATAGATTAAAAGCGCTTCCAAGGAGGTTCAAACGAAATTAAAAAAAAAACCGTAAAGGATACGCACGGTGCCATTTATGGGAGCGTGCGGTAAAATGTATTACCGCACGCTTCGTTGTATGACCCGTAATTTTGAGCTTTCGAACAATGCATACAACCTCCGTGAATGCATTTTTCGAGCAAACGTGTTGAAAATGTTATTATTCTTATCCCTGCGGTGTATTTTGTTTATAAGGTATAACAAATAACTTAAAAGAGAAATGGCTATCCTGGCCTAAGTTAAGTTTTCAGGAACGATAGTAATGTTACTTGTTTTTATTTACTTTATCGAATGACTTCTATCACTGTGTAATGAATGGAACTAGAGTTTTAGTGTACCTACATACTTGTCTCTTCTATACGACTGTCCTTTATATGATGATGAAATATTTAAGCAATAGTTGGCCTACATTGTGATCTAGGGCGGATCCAGGGCTGGGTCCATCTGTACCCACTTCTCAATCACTTCACAATGTAGCCTGGCGCCCAAGCTGGATCCGCCCTTGATTGTGATCTACAAATAATATTGATAGATTACGGACGACGCTAAGTCTATGAAATTATATTTGTTTCTTAGGTTTTCACGCACATCACACATTAAATAAAACAAGTTTCAACGGGTAAGATGCACGGATTTTATTGATTTATTGACGTTTCGCAGCCTTTGCAGGAATGCGTCGTAGTCCAGTCGGAATAGCCATAATTTGGACCGACTTCTATTCTAAGACACCAGCGCTTAGCCAATTTTTTCCTAGGTAGTATAGACCCCTACGAATATGCCCTCCATTTGTCCCCGCTAGAACCCGTGTTTTGTAGCCAGGAAAATTGTTTAAACAAAGAAAAACCGGTTTTTTTGAGTTTTTTTGCTTGTAAACGGGTATTTTGAAATTTTTTTTGAATCAAAGTTGTTCATTAGCTTGCCCTCTACAAAATCAGTTCTATGAAAAAATAACGTGAGATTGTTAGTTTAGCAGTAAATTGCAATTATGTCGGTTTTACGTTTGCAACAATTCAACATGTTATAATAAACATTTTGATTTCTAAAGTAGTTTATCATGTGGGTAACGCCACTCCCAAGAGAGTTATGTAAAATTTATCGACCTGTGTCGCAAACTTTAGCAACAATTCTCAATCTCCGAAAAAAAAGTACTTGCCTGTCCCGTCTTTCCCAGAAGGCGCACAGCGGGAAAAAAAATTCAGGTGATTCGATTCACCAAGAATTTTGAGGAATCGAAAGAGTAGAAAAAAATCGTTAATAAAAATGTTCGTTTTTGGACGATTTAAATTTTTTTTAAAAATTGACGTAGATTTTTTTTTAAACTAATGTATTTTTCTCTCCTCAACTCGAATATACTATTCTGAATATATATATATAATATATATATAATACTAATATACCCTGAGAATTCCGATTATGAACCGGAAGAAAAAAGGACGAAATTAATTTAATTAGAAATATAGAATACAACGCAGTCTTGTAATCGAATTTTAGTTAATAGTTTTGTAAATAATTTCTGTACATAAATAAACTGAATTTTTTAAATTTTCAATCGTATATTCGAGTTGAGGAGAGAAAAATACATTAGTTTAAAAAAAAAATATTCTACGTCAATTTTTAAAAAAATATTAAATCGTCCAAAAACGAACATTTTTATTAACGATTTTTTTCTACTCGATCGATTCCTCAAAATTCTTGGTGAATCGAATCACCTGAATTTTTTCCCCGCTGTGCGCCTTCTGGGAAAGACGGGACAGGCAAGTACTTTTTTTTCGGAGATTGAGAATTGTTGCTAAAGTTTGCGACACAGGTAGATAAATTTTACATGACTCTCTTGGGAGTGGCGTTACCCACATGATAAACTACTTTAGAAATCAAAATGTTTATTATAACATGTTGAATTGTTGCAAACGTAAAACCGACATAATTGCAATTTACTGCTAAACTAACAATCTCACGTTATTTTTTCATAGAACTGATTTTGTAGAGGGCAAGCTAATGAACAACTTTGATTCAAAAAAATTTTCAAAATCCGCGTTTACAAGCAAAAAAACTCAAAAAAACCGGTTTTTCTTTGTTTAAACAATTTTCCTGGCTACAAAACACGGGTTCTAGCGGGGACAAATGGAGGGCATATTCGTGGGGGTCTATACTATCTAGGAAAAAATTGGCTAAGCGCTGGTGTCTTAGAATAGGTCTCATGTTTATTCCGACTGGACTATCGTCAGGATAATGATTTTTATTTAGTTTGTCGAGCTACCTTCGAAAGAGTTGAGACATGTTTTATTTAGTCTATGAAATTACTGTCCATTGATAGGTTTTTCTCATGGGCGCGATAAGTACATAGCAATCCAGCATTGGAGGTTCAGCGACATACTTAATGCATTCACGTTAGCAGAATAATGAATTCCTAGTAAAGTGTACGTATTTATCGGGTGTTACAGGGCTGTAGGTAAAATACTACATAAGGATCAGAACTGATTAGATTTGGCTAATGAATTGCAAAGATGTGGCAATAGGGTATTTGATTGTTAAAAATAAAGTGCCAATTGTTAGCATCTGTGTTTAGAATGAATATTGGCAGGGGTTTTAACTATTTTTACAAAAAAAATATTCATAATTTTACAAAAAACTAACGAAAAAGATAATAGTTTTCTTATCTATTGTCACGTGACCCAAAACGCTTGAGATTGGCGGAGCCTAAAATGACGTCACACGTAAGTAAACTTCCGGTTAAAGTGACATTACATTGTATCGTTTGACGTTTTAATAACAGTCGTGTGACGTCACACACTAGTAAGAAGCCATATTGTCCAGAGAAACGGTTTCGCGGCAACTTGAAAATGGAGTTTTTTGTTTTGGTTATTTTTACTGAAATACACAACAGAATGATGAATATCCACTTTTTACAGACTCCATAAACATTAGTCAATAACGTGAGATTAGTTTCCAAAACTTGTCAAATATCCTATTGGTAGGTGAATTTTCATGCAAATTGTGGATTATTTTGAGAATACTTTGTGTTTTACACGATTGCAAAAAAAGAAGAATGACGTTTTGAGTGGAATACGTGATTGAAAGTTTAAATTTTAATAATCATGTGGCCAATCCTGTATGTGTTATTGTATAGTGTGTTTTTTCCGGTTTAGGTGGGACCATAAATCAATTTATAGCGCCATCCCTCTGACGCACAATCGCGTATTGTCTAGATCAGAGTTCCCTAAACTTTTTTTGTGTCGTAGACCCCTTGCCATGTTTTTCCGTGTTGGGTAGACCCCCTACTTACCTGATATTGATTTTTTTTCGCTGACGTATACCCCTTGCAGGTTGTCATAGACCCCTAGGGGCCGATATAGACCACTTTGGGAATCACTGGTCCGGATAGTAAGCGAAAGCTTGCGTTGTCGTTTGTTTAAATTGAAAAATTCTAAAAACGTGCAAAGATGTCCGTGCGGTATTCCTTTATCAGGAACGAATTTTTGATATACATATATTAAAGGTAACGTCTTTAATATGTTAAAGCATTATCGTTTACTCAAGTCATACCTACACCTTCATGTATTTTATTAGAATATGACATTGAATAGTGGAAATATGAGTTTTTCATTTATTATTATAAGTTAACGAAAGTAACTATGGGGTATTTTTGGTACAATCTTTCTGAACTCGCAAATGTATTGGCATCATATTTTATCATCGAAAAGCGAACAATTCTTCTGACAATACATTAAAAAGGAATGTTTATTTGTTATTTAAGATAACGTTAGTATTGTGATTTTAAAATAAGATTCGTTATAAAGTGTTTGGCAAAGTGGTTTAGTGTACCTAATAAGAAAGCTTAGAAAAATAAAGTCCATTACTTTAAAATTAGTCATTAAGTGCGTCCGAGACGGTTAGTTGTAAGCTGTTTTCTTTTACATTTTATTTTATCGATGTTTTACATTGGAAGTTAAAAGTTTATGCAAATTAGCAATTTTATCAGTGAAGCGATCCGGCTCGAAGGACCAAATTATTTTCGAACAAACATTTCAATTGATCTCACCAGCGTAATTTTGTATATTCTACGCCAGCTTATTGATGCCATTGGTATATTTAGTGTAAAAAACCTATATAAAAGAGATTTTAATTTTCGGAATTATTTTGAATTTGTCGATAAGGTCGGTAAGTTTATTAAAGGATGATTCATTACCGTGTCTTAGCCTCTAGTGATTTCAATTTATGTTACCGCTTAGTGACTCTAAACAAATTAATGTGACACTTAACGTCACACTTTTAGAATTTTGTTCAATTCGTGCGACATCGTGAATTGGAGATGATGCACATGAGAATCATCCTTAATGAAAGCCCTACCTGAGGCTCATTTGGAATAATTAATGCTATTTTTTATTGTATTGTATATCAAAATTTTAATATCTATTTAATTGATTATAAAACGAAGACTGTTAAGTTAATTTAAAGTAGCTTTTGATTGAATAAAACAGTTGTATCACTAGTAAGTATTATTTGGATTAAAACAAAAAATTGTATAAAACGAAGTTATCCCTTCTTTTTTAAATAATGTTTTATGGATGCGTATTACATACCAACGAAGGATTTCAATGATAAATAGTGAGCTGCTTGTTTTGCCAAAAATATTGTGATAGCTAAACTTATCCAATTCGAGGTTCGTATTTTTTATAAAGTTTAGTAGCTAGTTTTAAATGTCGACTGAGGATCATGATCTCTACCGCACATTGATCTCAAGTAATTTAAGTTCATTCGAGGCGTGCCTCGCGCACTATAGCTCGCGTCGATAAATACAAATATTATATAATTCCTAATTACGCGCGAAAATAAACGAATTGCATACACTTTGAGAAGCACATGTTTATTTAGTATTATGTAAGTCATCACAATGGTAATTGTCATCGTACATTGTGTACGTCTAATAAGGTGTCCATCTTTTTAATTATTAGGACAATGTAATAACAGATTTGTCCTTATGATTTTGTAGTGTTAAAATAAGTCATATCATTTTAAACTTGAAATTAATGATCACCTTTGTTATTGGTTTTGTGTATTTTACTAATTACTAATATTTATATATATGAAAAATGAAAAAGTATGAACTGTATCCTACAATTATAAAGAAATAAATATTATAAAAAACAAGCTCGTTTGTTTCGATTTCGTTGTGAATGGGTTATGAAATATATGATTTATGCGCCAAACTATAAGAAGGGACTGATAATTGTTGGGCCTACGCCAAATTACGTTTGACTGGCTACATAGTTATATTTATTCAGAGGCGTATTCCATGTTTTTTTAATACTTTTTTATTAATAAAATATACCTACTAAGTCAGTTATGATCTATTTTTAATCTACTATATAAAAATAAGTCGGGTTTTCCTTCCTGACGCTATAACTCCAGAACGCACGAACCGATTTCCACGGTTTTGCATTCGTTGGAAAGGTCTCGGGCTCCGTGAGGTTTATAGCAAAGAAAGTTCAGGAAAAATTAAAAAAAAACTTCTTTTAATCACCAAACGAAATGTTACATAAAACGAAGCCATCTGGTGGCGAAACGGAGTTCGCCGGGTTTGCTAGTTTTTAATAAATTAATTAAATAAATAAATAAATTCTTATTGCTTGGAACGCGTGTTTTAAAAATAAAATTTGTTATATTTTTATTTCAAGCATTATTTGCTAGATCAGTAGTTTTTAGCCTTTTAGTGAAGGGGGACCTATGATGTTTTATCGTTATAGATACGTCATACACGCTTCTAATTTGGCAATACAGAAGTCAGGTAATTGCCCGACTTGCATTTAGTCGGGCACGCTCTCTCGCCGCGGCTACATTTCGCTAAAACTTGTCTCCAGACAAAAAGCCCTATGTGTGTTTTTAGATGGTACACAAATGACACAGGAATTATTATAGACAAGAAAAACGTGTCATATCATTCGTGAGTACAGTTTTAAAGAAATAAATGTAAAAATATTTAGTGATTATACTTATAATAACTGTCATAATGTCTGACATTGTCGACACGTGGAGGCTAAAGAGCGAGATGTAATCTGCTTTATACATGAAAGTGATTACTTTAGTGCGCTCTATTGGCGGCTGTTGCCAAGGGGAGTTGGGGCGGGTACTAATTATGCCATTTTTAAATGCAACAATGTTGGCGTATTACCTGTCTGGCCTAAGTAGATGCTACAAAGCTTAGGGGATATTATACGTCATTGTAAAGGACCGTTTGTGACCAAAATTTCCTCCTTGCTACGGACTACCACTTATGATTTTTGTTTTCCGAATCCGCACCTGTGCTGCGCTATCGTGTACTACGTTTGGCTAGCATCTACATATTTCAATGTTGTATAACTTCCCATTGTGATATAATCAGGTGCGGAAACGAATTATTTTTTTATTTTTAAAATGGAAGTCACTAATATGGAAGAAGAATTTGTTAATGACGTAATAATGCTCTATAAAGAGAAGAAATGGAAGGATATAGTGGAAAAGTATCATGACCACCCGCAAAGGAATAAATTGCTCTGGGTCTTTCCCGGCGAGGTCAATCTACGGTTCATTGAGGAGTGTTTGCATCAGCTTGGTTGTGACAAGATCTTGAGCATCGGCTGTGGTAGCGGACTGCTCGAATGGATAATTACACAAGCTACAGGTAAATAATATACCATTATATAAAATAATTCTACTCACCCATTTAATATTGGATAAGATGGAGCTCGTTTCAACTTTTTTGATAAATATGTCACCAGAAAAAATAGTTTTTATTTCTTTTTAAGCGGCTACCATAGCTTATAGAAGTTGGCGATACCAAAGATATCATTGGCACCGTTGCCTACTCTGACCCCATCCCCTACCTCGTGGAGGCTTGGAACGTTACTCACTGACAGAAACAATACCACCAAAAGTTTGTATTATTTTACTGGTGGTCTTCTGTAAGATGGTACTAGTACTGAGACTAGGGTTGCCACCCGTACTTTCATATAAAGTATTGTACGTTATTTCGGGTAATTGTATACTTCTATACTTTACGCCAACAATAAAGTACGCGAAAATACTTTATTTAATGTGATTTGATTACTCGCGGATTAATTTTACATAAAATATACAAAAAGAGGTTGATAGGAAAAATTTTGCGTAAAACGGACAGAAAGTATGAATATGTTGCCCTTAGCTAATTCCTGCAACATTTTCATGGCTGTGTGCCTTTGTATCATGACCTTTCCCATTGCGGAAAAAACCACAGTAGCCGTAAATTATTTATTAAAAGTTGCTAGTAGCAACTTAAAATATATTTTTTAGCTTATTAATAAAGTGGAATAAAAAGTACCTTATTTTTTAACACAATGTACTTTTTTCCCACCTTTAATATCTAATATACTTTATTTCGACAAAAAAAAGGTGGCAACCCTAACTGACACTGAGGCAGCAGTCCAATTCAAGCGGAAAATTCTCTATGCCTGTAAAACAGGACTATGCATAAAAACATGTCGATACCGTGGCATTGCCCAATGGTCTACCACTAATGTAGTTGCGCCATAAATGCCAAAGAAAACTATTTTAACATACCAAGAGCGGTTGGAATTGAGCCGAATTATCGGCCTTAGAATTCCCAGACATTTCCCATAAGTTATGTCACTAACTGGGGTTAGTTAGTGACATCTTGGATTTGGAGATTAAAATAAAGCCCATTAACACTGAACAAAGTGCCCTACCGAGCATTGGGGATTCTCCGATCCATTATAAGCGCCCGATTAATCATTCTCCTCCAGAAAGCCTATTATAATATCATCTTTTTTTTTCATTTCTCTGGCTATCTGGCTAGCCACATGATATAAATGTTGTCTTTTAGTGAAAATTTGTAGAATTTATAGTTCATTTTTCAGCCACCAGCCGCGCTGCCGTTGGTAAGTAGTATCTGTGAAGTTAGCTGTTTATAAGTACAAGTAGATGAAGTTAGTTGAATAATATACAAATTACAAATTAGCGCACAACAGCCCGCCTTTATTGAGACAACTTAGCGATCGCAGCGCCTCACTTATTTTGTCCATATTTCTGGGACACTTTCTACAACGATCGTTCTCCTTCTCTCTAACCTTCATGGTCCAGACTGTCATTCATTCATCTCATTATCATACATGACTATAATTGCTATTTCTTCTTTCAAATGTTTAATACTTGAAAAAGTATTCATTTGACATTGTGGGTTACCTACAATGCGAAGAGATGGCGCTGCCTTGCAGCTTAAGGCTGGGAAAATTTCGTCGCGGCCAATAGGGCCGTGGTAGCATAATGGTCAGTGCATTCGCCCGGATTGCGAAGGGTTCGGGTCCCGTCCGCTGCCTGGTCCGCGTGGATTTTTTTCTAGTAATCTTTTCTTTAGATTTAAACATCTAGCAGTTAAATGCTTAAAAATAAATAAAAACATAATCATACATGAATTTCAATCAGCATTACCTTTTAATTGCAGGTGTTCCGGTATCAGGGGTAGAGGTTGACGGGGCTTGGTGGCACTGCAAGTATGCTCCTCCCACATTTGTGCCGCTCATATTTACTCCTTCCAAATTAGAAGGAGACCTCATATCGGTACTACGAGCGTCGAACAATACCGCGCTCATGTTCTGCTATTTCAACAATAGAGAAGCATTCGAAGACTATCTGAATTACTACTCGGGTAATGTCCTCATTATTATAGGACCGGGTGAAGGCAAAGGCGTCCATACAGACCCAAGGCCATTTGGTGACGTCAGCGAAAACTGGAAACTGTACAAAAGTCAAGAAGTCAGGACCAGTAAAGACTATATAGCGGTATATCATAAAAGCAATGTATTAATTAAATAAAACAGTGCATTAAATCAATAATTTCTTGATAATTAAACAGTCTTATAAAATGTCTATTTATAAAATCATACAGAAATCTATATTATGCATTTAATATTAATTTTTCATTAGTTCTATGTTTTTGACGTTTATTTTATTAGTACAAGGTCGCACGCATGTATTCATCATAGGGTCCTTTTTGCCTTGTATAAAATTTTGGAAGTCGCTATTTGAACTCTCCGATGTCACTACATCTAACGTGTCTTTCTGGTTTATGATGGGAACTTCGGTAACCATCCTGCCGATCTCATTGACGGGCACTTCTGGCATGCTGTTCGTTGTGATCTCGTTTTCAAGGAAATGGAAATCATTGTGCATAACGTACAACGACTCTAAAGGAAAATTCATATCGAAACGAGGCAACAGTTTATTGTCGTCCGAGTTGTCATCTATTTCGATGACATCGTTCTGTTGATCGTCCGATACCTCCGGTAGCACCGCAGAAGACAAATCCAAGTGGCCAGAATATTGCTCACCTATTATGTTGTCTATCAAATATTGATCTATTAAAGGAGGATTTGCTGCAGAGTTATTCAAGGCAATGTTATAAAAAGAATCTGACTTCACTTCGTTCTTAATTTCGTTCATATTCTTATGAATGTCCTCTAGAGGAGGGGATGCCTTATATTCCCTACTTATCGCTTGAGTATTGAGCAAGTTGGCGTTGCACATTCGTTCCAAGCTCGGAGACTGAGTGTTCTGCTTGATTGTTGCCTCTAGTTTTATGTAGCTCGGGTCGTTCGTTTGTATTTTTTGCGGTGGGGGAAGCAGAGTAATCGTGTTGACGTTCATCTGTTGGTTGAACGTGAACATTTGGGAACTGTCATTGATTTCATTGTCCACGGGCGTCGAGGCAGTATCCAACATGGTCTCCTGCTGGTAAGACATCATGTTGCTCGGAGAGTCGCTGAGCGTCGGCCCTGGCTGCAGCTGCATGAACTGTGTCGTGATGAGATTATTGAATGTCATCGGCCGCCCCAGCCCGAACCTCTCATTATCTTCTAGCCTCTTGAAAGCCATCTTTTGCTGCGAATGGAACATGTTTTCTTGATCCGGACCCTTCAGTATCAGATTGCTTTTGACTGAGATTTTAGGTTTCTTTCGGGGCACACCTTCCGGTTCCATCGAGATGTTAACAGGGGAGCTGCTGGACGATGGAACCGGCAGTATTTGTGTTGTTGTTATTATAGGCCCACTGACTTTTGACATTGGGAATGATAATTTGTCCACAGGTTTGAGCATAATGTTGTTGCGGACGGATATTTGCGGCGCAGGTGGAAGCCTTATAGGAAAATTGTTCATGATGTTATTACAACTGTTCGCTATTGAAGGGTGACTAGAAGCTAGGGAACTAACATTATTGCTTTCCAGTAAAGACTGTTCCATTGGCACTGCACTGTTTAAGAATCCATGTAGATTAGACTGGTTGTTTTCATAATTCATTTGTAGCCTATCCAACAAAGTGTCATCAGAACTTTCAGAAATAAGACAGTCCGAGTTGTTGTCGTCTTTACTGAGATCAGTTATTTCTTGGGGGTTAAAGTTTGCTTGCTGCATGTCATTATTGGACTCAGTACAATAACTTTTGGAGTAATTTTGTGGTGATGGTTCAGAGAGATTATAACAGTCGTAGACATCGGGAGGTATTGTACTGAATGCTGTGTTATTTTCTTTGTTCTGTTCGCTGGCTACATGGTCGGTGGATTGATTCTCTTCATTGGTGTTGCTAGGTATAGTCCAACTAGGTTTATTTTGTTTGGTTTTAGTCATTTCTATGAGAAGTTGTATGCCTTCTTTGTCTGGATGCGTAGTGAGGTGTACCACATATTTGTCCTTGCTGAGCGATTTGAAACGACAGAAAGGGCAGCGATGTAGATCATTCGAACTGACATTCGGATGCTTAGAGATCATGTGTGAAGCAAATATTGTGGACTGGATGGCGGTGTATGGACAATATTTACACTTGTAGAGATTCTCATTGGAATGCAATTTCTTGTGCCTCCGTAAGGCGTTATGGTCGGCAAATCTGTATTGGCATTTGTCGCAACTGTAAGGTTTGTCACCTGCAATCAAATAATTTAGTTTTAACAATAAACACTATTTTACCTCCCGCCGCACCGTACCAACTAGTATTGCAGTGAAATAATCGTACCATGTATGTACGCAGTTGCTGCGTTTCTATAATATACAGGGCCGGATTTAGAGGTCCAGAGGCCTCGGGGCAACAGAGGAGTGGAGGCCCCCTCACCCCAAATTATTTTCCAAATCTCTATTGTGGGAGCCCCCGTTTGTGGAGGCCCCAGGGCTTTCGCCCCGGTTGCCCTCCCCTAAATCCGGCAGTGATAATATATCACACTACAATGATACAATTAAGATGTAAACAATAATCAACATTACATTCCCTGTAAAGAAAACGAATGCGATCACTATTTCACGGATATACATTTCTGGGAGACCATGATCTAGCTTGCCAGCGAACCACCGCCGTTTTTGGTTTCACGACAAGGGGATGCGCGGGTACGCATTGGAGTAATTGAACTCGCGTTCAGGATCGCGTACGCGTATCTAGTGTACGCGTGGAGAGCGTATCCTGACTACAAGTAACACAGGAACTATCAGCATTCAGCTTTATAATTTATTTTGAGAACCTTTATCCTTTTACTGTAGACTAAGTTATTTTATATACAACTATTATTATGTGTACCTGTGTGTGATCTCAAGTGTCTCTTCATTTCCTGTTTTCTAGCAGCAGTATAGTCGCAGTGACAACAATTGAACGGCTTAACTTTTTCATGGACTGCTGCCACATGAAGTCGCAACCGTCTCTCATTACTAAATTCTTGCTGACAGTTGGTACACTTCGAAACCTTTTTGTGAATCAATTTGTGTTTTGACAATTGGTTTGAATTTTTAAATCTCTTTGTACATATGGGACCTATTGAGACAATTACAATTTTGTGAGTTATTAAATGATAACATGAAAGCTTACAATATAGTGTAATTTTTTTCAGGTTTAAAACACTGAAGAATCAATATGAATACGATTTTTTTTAACTATATATCTATCTATGATAAACCAATCACGCCTTCGCATTAACTTAAATTAGACAACAGTGTATCCAATTTTATTCTCTATACAGAATGAGAAGGAGAGACTGATGTTAAATTTAGTTTCAAGTTTAGAGAATCATACTAGTATCAAAACCAATATACATTTAGATAGTGAATGACAATGATTATAAGATCTAATTCATGTTATTATTTATACTTTTAATAAATAAACTACCTCAACTACTACATAACACTAACATAAAAGATAAACTCAGACTGTATTTAGTCCATCAAGACAGTTTTGTAATGATTTGGCAATGTAGATATGCATCTTTAACCTAAACTTGATTGATACTTACATGCATATGCCCTTCCTTTCTCATGGCATTTCATGTGTATGTTAAACAATCTATATTTCTTGTAGGTTTTAAAGCCACACACTTCACACGTAGGCAATTCCATATCAATAGAATGTATTTTCCACAAATGTGTGTGTAGCATTTCTTCATTGAGACAGGTTCGTGCACATTCAGGACATATGAGCTTACCATTCTGATGGCATTTTCTATGATATGTAAGATTCTTACTGTCTTCTAAAAGAGTAGAGCATCCATCTATAGAACAAACTTCTATGTTTTTATCAACTGTAGATATTTTGTCAGTACTGTCTTCAGGTTTTCGGTCTGTTAAAGATGCCTGTTCATTTGTATCTAATGCAATGGGTGAAGTCATACTTTTGCTTTCCATGTTTGCTATTCTGGATGGTATTGATGATAATAAATCAGGTGTAATACTTGATACTTGAATAACATTACATGTGCTGCTTGAGTTCCCTGCGTTAGATACATTCATGTATTTTGGAGACGTTTCGTTAGTATACACTATATTTATGCTAGCTTCTTGTATAATTTCTTTTGGGTCAATTTTTTCAAAATTAGGTGTACTCATATTGTTAAGCTCGTCTACCGATATGAATGCAACACCTTTTGGCAAGCCATTATTGGTATTCATACTATCAGGAACAATTTCAATTACTTGTGGAATTTTAACATCATTTATATCCTGTTGTATTGGCATTAATGGTGAGTCAGAGTTTATTTTATCTTCTTTCTTTAATTTCGCGTTTTTCAAGGCAATTTGGACCAGACTTTTGACCATTTTTTTCACATCTTTAATTCCCATTTTGTGATGGTTGCGTAAATGAGTCCTCAATGTTTCTTCTGCATCAAAGACGCTAGTACAGCCTGGGCAAGCAATTTCAATATTGTCAGCTAAACCGTTTCTTTTAGCGAGGTCAGGGTGCACAGTAAATAAATGAAACTTTATATCGTCTTCAGCAAGTGCCATGTAAGGACAAGCCTCGCATTTGAAAAACGGTGTAGATCCCACTGATTTCTCCTCATAGGACATTACCTTTTCCTTCGCTACTAGAGGTTTCGCAACATTCCTTAAAGATGCATTCTGTGAGTGGTTTCTGTCTAAATTTAACAAGAAACATTGCGAAGCCATTGTTGCGATTATTTCATTTCACAGACACGATAAAGCTATAACTTGATATTTGATGGACCATAATATTTATTGACACGATTTCTTATTTAAATATTAATACCTTATTTTAAAACATTTATGTTTTTATTTTTAATAAACATCAGCTGGTTCAATGTGCCACAAACCCTCGCCATTATTGTCAATGTCATGTTGAAGTTAACTGTCATTTTGACAATGATCTAATCGTTCTGAAATCTAATTCACTATCAAGATACTGGACTGAATTCATTCCCGAACCCAAAGTAGTCAAAGACATAAGTAGTATTTATCTATGCTATAAAGTGAAAGTGGATAGTGTGAATGAATGCAGTGATCGGGCGGTCATTCCATAGTTCTATTGACGACCTCTGTGGCCGAGTGATTTGTACGCCGGGTTTCATGGTGTCGCCAACTCGAGAGGAGGAGAGGTTGAATTCCGGTGGGGGCAGATGTTTGTGTGATGAATACGATCATTTGTACTCCAGTCATGGATGTTTAATATGTATTTCTAAATATAATTATATATGTACTGTATATGTATTATATCCGTTACCATAGCATCCCTTATCACAAGACTTACAGAGCTTACTTTGGGGCTAGGCTAATTGGTGTGAGTGTTGGAAATATTTTCTTCCGTGCGGTGACGGAGAAAGAATACAACTCACCGCCCCTTCTCTTCCCGTGGGTGTCGTAAGAGGCGACTAAGGGATATCGGAGCTTCCATCCGCTCTGCTGGTGGTAGGGTGCCTAACACCCGCCTGGTTTGTTACCACCGTGCGCATGGTGAAAAACCCGTGAAGTGCTTCTCGCGCGTTTCGGGGTCAGCCAGCGTACAACCAGGGCTCGAGTGGAGGTTGTCGCGACGGATTCGGTCCAGGGCTAGGCATCCGTGGAACCGATGCCGGGAGGACTGCATCGACCCGCCGGCCAGGGAGACCCGTAGAAACGGCTGTCCCGCTGGCCGCCCGTGGCACAGTACAGGGGCCCGAGCGTTCCTAACCAGTTCGCGAGGCTGCCCCATCATGTCACGCATAATCTCGGGGTGGACCGTCGTGCCGGTTGGTGACCGGGGCGTGGGGTCCCGGCGGCCACTTCCGGGGGGGTGCGGGGGCCCTTCCGTCCGGCGGGTCGGCGTATATCCTCTGCAGGCAATCATTCGGGGAAACATGCCTCCCTAATTTTCCCGGTCTTGTCGCGACAACGTCCACTCGTTTCACGTCTCTTTTTCACTTCCATAATGGCAGCTCCTAAAACAAAGTTTGGACGTTCAGCGGTGCACACCCCCACGCCTTCAACGCTGTTTGAGGTCGAGTTCTGCAACATACGCGGACTCCACTCTAACCTCAACGCTGTCCACCACCATCTTGAGACAGCACGGCCAGCACTGTTGTTCCTGACGGAGACACAAATACTTCCGCCTGCTGACACAGGCTACCTTAATTATCCCGGCTACGTGCTTGAAGAGTCCTTCAAAGCGAAAGCCGGTGTATGCCTGTATGTTCGGGCGGATGTTTGTTGTCGCCGTCTCCGCTGCTTGGAAGATCCCTCCTTCTCCATGCTGGGGGTACACGTCGACTCTGGCCCCCTGGCCAGAGTTTACGTGTGTCTCTACAGATCCCACACCGGCGATGTTGAGACAACTCGACTTTTTGAACACCTTAGTCGGGCAGCAGATGACGCGCAGGAACAATTTCCCAATGCAGAATTGGTGTTTTTGGGGAACTTTAATGCTCACCACAATTTGTGGTTAAGTTCCTCCAAAACTGACCATGCAGGGATCTCTGCTCACGCATTCGCTCTCACGCATGACTTGAAGCAACTGGTTGATCAGCCCACCAGGATCCCAGATATTCCAAGTCAAGCGCCTTCTTTACTGGACCTTCTGCTCACGACCCATCCACAGGGCTATCAGGTTGTGGTAAGAGCCCCCCTGGGCTCGTCAGACCACTGCCTGATATCTGCCAAAGCACCACAGGCCAAGCCTCCGCGTCCAGCAGTGGTCAAGCGCCGTATCTGGCATTATGGGTCGGCAGATTGGGACGGTATGCGTGACTACTTTGCGTCCGTCCCCTGGAAGCAGCGCTGCTTCAGTGACAGGGACCTATCGGCCAGTGCCGTTGCCATTACTGAGGAGATTATAATGGGTATGGGTAGTAAGGGCACGCGTAACCTCTGGTTCAATCACGACTGTGCTGAAGCTGCTTCGCGTAAGCAAGCGGCATATCGTGCTTGGATCAGAGGGCGCGCTCTCAAGGATCCCGAGGTCGATTTACTCAAAGCAGCCTACAATTTTGCTTCCAAGGCCTGTAAGAAGGCTTACATTAGAGCGGATGCCCAGCGCGTTGCACGTGTTGGCCAGGAACTTATGACGCATCCTACGGGCTCCCGTAGCTACTGGCGTCTGGCCAAGGCCATGCAAAAAAACTTCTGCGAGCCCTCGCTGCCACCTCTGAGATGCCCAGACGGAACACTAGCCCATAAGCCGCAGGAGAAAGCCGATTTACTGGCAAAACTCTTTGCGGCTAACTCCCGAATCGATGATTGCAATGCACTGCCACCATCATTACCTCACTGTGGCACAACGATGCCTGATATTAAAATCAGGCAGCGCGAGGTTCGTGCCGAATTGCAATCACTCGACGTCCGGAAAGCTAGTGGACCTGATGGCATCCCAGCAGTAGTACTCAAAAAATGTGCAGCGGAGTTGTCTCCCGTGCTCACGCGCTTGTACCAATGCTCGTATTCTTTGGGGCGTGTGCCGGAGACTTGGAGAGATGCCAATGTGCAACCGGTGCCCAAAAAAGGGGATCGCTCAGACCCGGCAAACTACCGGCCAATAGCAGTCACCTCAGTTTTATGTAAAGTTTTAGAAAAGGTCCTTAATAACCATCTGACCCGCTACCTAGAGGATCACTCCTTGATTAATGATCGTCAATATGGTTTTAGACCGAAACGATCGACGGGTGATCTTCTAGCGTACTTAACTCATATCTGGGGTGAGGCTATCGACAAGCGTGGCGAGTCGTTGGCTATCAGCCTTGACATTGCCAAGGCGTTTGACAGGGTCTGGCACAAAAGCCTTCTCTCCAAGCTTCCGGCATACGGTCTGCCAGCCCAGTTCTGTTCTTGGGTAGCTGACTTCCTGCATGAGCGTAGAATTCGTGTCCTTACGGATGGTAGCAGTTCGCGGTTCATGTCAGTGAATGCCGGCGTTCCCCAGGGCTCCGTCCTATCCCCCACTCTCTTTCTGCTGCATATCAATGACTTAATTCCTCTTGGGAATATTCATTGCTATGCAGACGATAGTACAGTGCATGCGGGGTATCTCGGACAAGCAGCGGCTGGGCTGGCGGTAACCAAGGAGAAACGCGAGAATCTTGTCATTGAACTCAATCAGGCTTTGGACCACATTTCCGAATGGGGTACCAGGAACTTGGTTGAGTTCAATGCCAAAAAAACTCAGGCTTGCGCTTTCACGGCAAAAACATCGTCATTCCTTCCCCTTCCATCTCTTCAGGGCACAACACTACCGCTGCAGAGCAACATTTCCATGCTCGGTATGGAAGTTCGCTCAGACCTGAATCCAAAGAACTACATCGAAACCGTGATCAAAACAGCTTCACGCAAACTCGGAGTCCTGAACAAGGTGCGGCGTTTTTTCACGCCCGATCAACTGTGCCTGTTGTACAAAACGCAAGTGCGGTCCTGCGTGGAATATTGCTCGCACCTCTGGGATGGCTCCGCCAAGTACTTGCTCGATGCTTTGGATAGGTTACAGCGACGAGCGATCCGCATCATAGGCGATGAGGAGGTGACTAAACACCTTGAGCCTCTTCAATTACGCCGTGACGTGGCGTCACTAAGCGCGTTCTATCGTCTGTACCACGGCGAGTGTTCTGAGGAGTTATTCTCTCTTATCCCACCTTCTCCTTTCCTTCAGAGGACCACGCGCGCTGGCCTACGTTGTCATCGTCTAACTGTGGCCACAATTCCAACGCGTACAAAGAAATTTGGTGACTCATTTCTTTGTCGCACTATCCGTAAATGGAATGCTCTGCCCGCTCACGTGTTCCCTCCCTCTTACAACCTGGGATCCTTTAAAAGAGGCGTGAAGAAGCAACATGCAGGCCGGCAGGATGGCTGGTGTGGCAGGTAAAACTGCTGTATCAGCTATCGTCACGTCTGGACTTCACCTTCACTTAACATCAGGTGGGGTGGACTCATTTGTCGGACCTATCTATAAAAAAAAAAAAAAAAAAATTATTTATTGACTGTTTTTTTCTTTTTCGAGAGAGTTGTCGTCTCTCACCAAGTTTATTAAGTAGGTATACCTACTTCTTTTCTTTTTAGTTAATAAAATTCATTTTTTTGTTATTAGTTTCACATCACAAATATTAAGTTGAGTGAATAAATAAATAAGATTATTCACAATAAGATAATAAAATAAATATTAAGGACTAAATTTTTTTTTATTTAATACTTCGGCAGATCAAGAGATACCGGTCGTGCTGCTCTATGAGCCAAAGCTCTGACCCAGTTTCCTCAATAATCATAGATTTGTTATTAAAATAAATCTATGTTGACAATCGATACGTGATGATAAAACTTGTAAGATTGCAAAAATAAATATTTTGTCTTCGGATAAGAAAGAAATTTAAAAACAAAACATTGACAATTGTGATGACACTTGTCAAAATCTTATTGGCCGGTTTTGTCGCAGTTTCATTGCGTGTTTAAACTCGAAAAAATCTTCTAAAATGAGTGTAAGTTCATAATTATTTAGATTACTGTTTATAAAATCGAAAGCAGATATCTGTATTATTGTATATATTACTGTTCCAGCTGGAAATAGAGTCAATGGTTCGCTATGCATCGCCTATCAACCCAGCGGTGTTTCCTCACTTGACGTTGCTGTTACTTGGTATCGGCATATTCTTCACAGCGTGGTTCTTCGTCTACGAAGTCACCAGCACCAAACTATCCAGAGACCTTTTCAAAGAACTGCTTTTATCTCTTGTAGCAGCGCTGTTTTCAGGGTTCGGAATTTTATTTTTACTGTTATGGGTCGGCATTTACGTATGATAAGGTCAGGAATTTAAGTTATTATAATTGTCAATGCATTCCTTTGGAATATGATTGTGGAATAAGTTAACATAAGGGAATTATATGTATTATAAGATTTTAATAAAATACACATTCACAGTATCATTAATTTATTCATTTGTAACATTACCAACATCAAAATCAACATTTTAGTCATATTTTGCTGTATGGTTTGGTATTATGCTTAAAGTTTACTGCACTAGGTTAACTATTTTTCAAGTTATGAGTAATCTCTTTCCCGCTGAAACGCTTCATCTACGAGTACAACTTCATGCATCCTCTGAGATGCAATAGCAGCCATTCTATCATAGAATACTTGAGAAGTTACTGTGAAATGTCTGAAAATGCAAGAGATTTTAAATTATTTTAGATTGTGGTAATGAAATGAAATGAAAATTATACTTAATTCAAATTGACTTATTGAAAGCTTTTTGAATCGTCCAATATTGTTTCCTAACACCTATTCAGGACATCTTTTAGCTTAGATAGAGAAAATAATGCACACAATTTGTTGGTAATTCACACCAAAGTTGCTAAATTTATTTTACTTTGAATGTTTTAAATGCTAAATTTAAAACATTCAAAGTAAAATAGCAGGACACTTAAGAGATGTGCTGTAAGCAGGAAAACTGTGTTTTTTGAAAATTTATAAAATCTTTTTTTTAGTAAAAAAAAAATTCAGAAATTGAAAATTGAGCGATTTTTGATAAAAATAGATCAGTCCCTACCTTTTTTATGGAAAAAATATGAAAGCTATTCCCTAATTACCCTTTTAATTTTTCTTTGCCCATCTGAAATTCTCTTTTTATGTATTATCCATACATCCTAGAAGATTGCCCAATTATAAATGCTTAATTTTAGGAAAGTAAAGCAAAAAGAAGAAGCAAAGAGGGGGAAGTAAAGAAAAGAAACGCTTTCAATGAATAACGACTTTCTGCAATTAAGCAAAAAATCCCTTTTCTTCAAAATAACCTCAAAAATACTGGAGCTACCAAAAAATTGCTAGAGTACTGAATTGTAGCTCAATTAATTAAAAAAAAAACAAGGAATTTAAAGAGATTTAATCGACATAACCCTGTAGCTCTTGAAAAACCCTACAAAATAAAGTTTGAAACAACTTTCTATCATTAAAAACGAAGGAGCTATGTTTAAAAAAACAATCCATTTCTTTTTCGATAAATTTGAAAATCCTACTTCGGAGCACATATTAATCTACATAATCGGTATACTTTATTTCAAGATACAGAGGGGAAGGAACCTCTGCTCATGTGTCTACGTGAGTCTTGTTATTTTCAAATCCAACAGTAGTTTGGAAACGAAAAAATAGTTGGTTCTTGAAAGAATATCCATTGCACCCCATTAGAATGAACAAACCGTCTGTACCTGAAGAACTTAAAATGTTTTTTGTCAATGCAAAAAGACTTCGACTTGTTCTGGGTGTTCTGGTGAGAATTGCAATGATAGTGCACAAATATTAAAATAAGATGAGCATGACGACGACCACCACGACGATGATTAGATTTAAATATTGCGTACACCATGCACTATTTCAAAGATATATACTCCACGTAGATAATAGTAATAGGTATATACGTTTACTCTACTTTTAGGTACTAAATTGTAATGGGTTTGCTATAAGCGCTTTACTATATAGCGCAATAGTGTAACGTAGTCTGAATGCACCATGTCGCCTCTGATTACCGGAAGTCGGCTACGTCCAGTCTATACACCTGCGTGATCTCGACGGCCACGACAGTCGCCGCACATTTGCTGTCTTTCATTAGCAGCGCTACTACGCCGAAATGGGCGCCATCATGTAAGTGACACACCTGTAGAAAAAATGTGCAGATATCATTTTTCTCTCGTTGATGTAAGTTATTTATAACTGCATAATTAACTTCTGTCCGCGACTTCGTCTGCGTTAGTTTTTCCTAAATTCCAGATGAACTTAAAAAAATAATCGCGATAAAATGTCTCAATCTAGCCAATAAACTATGTGAAACCACGAAATTTTAACCAAATCCGTTTAGCCACTATTCCGTGTAAAGTAACCAAAATCCAAACTCAAATAGATAGATAAATTTTTCCAGTCACGACAGACCAGATTAGTGCGGTAACATATTCACAAGTTGCCAGTCTGTCGCTCCCTAGTGCAGGAAGAAATATACTGCACATATTGAACCTCTACTCACTTTAGCGACTATTACTAGATAGTGACTGTCCCGAGTCGATAAAGGACATGCAGTCTCCGACACGTCGCCGGCGCGGTACGCAGCTCCGGGTCCTTGGGCAGGTACGTACACCTCGTGGGTGAGGCAGCCGAGGATGGAACCAAATATATTAGCCGGCAGTACTTAGAAGAGCGTGGCATCATGTGCATAGGATTATTTCGTTACGAGATTGAGAGATACGACCACGAGATATATAAATATCTTGGCGCCGGACCACATTTTCCCGGAAACCATAGTCACAAGTTGCCAGTTTATCGTTAAACAAAGATATTACACATATCAAACCTCTACTCCCTTCAGCGAGTAGACAGCGACTGTTCCAGTGTCGATGAAGTACATGCAGTCCCCGACGTCGCCAGCGCGCAGCACCGGGTCGTTGGGCAGGTACACCTCGTGGGTGAGGCAGCCGAGAATGGAACCCACCACGCTGGCCGGCAAGCCCTCGAACAGCGCTACCTTGTGCACCAGCTTGTGGCACGTGTGTAGGACCATCTCGTTGCGAAGTTGTTCTGTGACGATCACCATAAGCCACATTCATCATCACCATAAGCCTTGGGCCCTGATGGATGGGTGAACAATAGGAAAAACGTGAAATCTAAGCTCTTTTGTCTGAACCGTATAAACGTATTGATTCGATATAATTTGTGAGACAGAACACAGAACGAGGTCTATCTAGAGTAGCTTGTTATTCAATAAATCACACAACATATTCTGTGATTTATTATTCTTGTTATTGTCGTCAGGCAGGCAGTTAAACCAACCTGATAACCATCATATATTATACTAGCGGCCCGCCCTCGCTTCGCTTCGGTGTAGAGCTGAAGTGTAGACTACAGTTCTTGTTCTCAGGCTTGTATTATACACAATGACATTCATGTATAATTCTTCTTATACCTGCATGCAAAGTCTCAGCCCGATCGGTTTAAAATTCACAAAGTTTCAAACAATCTTTCATCCCCTATTTTATTCCCTTGGGGGTAGAATTGATTAAAATTCTTTCTTAGTGGATGCCTACTTCATAACATCTACCTGTATGCCAAATTTCAGCCCGATCCGTCCAGTGATTTGGGCTGTGCGTTGATAGATCACTATGTCAGTCAGTCAGTCACCTTTAGTTTTATTTATATAGATGTTCTCTATTTATGATACTTATTTAATGCGTTCTTTTTATTCTTCGACTGTGCTGAAACCACTATAGCGGGTAATTTGTTCTAGGTCAACAACCCTGTTACTAAAGAAGTGTCTGTGATGGTGTCCTCTTTATAGAGTATTAAACAAAACAATTCCTTATCAAAGCTAATGAGCTCATAACGTTTTAATTTGTGAATAGCTTACGCCTGAACGTAACTAGGTAATTTTAAATTCTAATAACCAGAAAGACTTCCGAATACAACTTCTTCTCTAAAGTAAGTGCCCTGGAAAGTGTAGTAGTAAAATGCAAGGACTCTCTTCTGCAGCTCCACTGGAAATTGTCTGTGCCTTATGTATTCCTGTAAAATCGCAATTGCTCTATTTAGGTTAAGCAAGCACGCAGAAACGGCGTCGTGGGCACAAAATATAGGAAGCTGTTTTAAGGTTTCATGATCGTCGTGATCCTGGAGTTCCAGGTTCGATTCCCAGTCGAGCTAATGTGTATGTCGAACTTTGGTGGTTGTGGTAAGTTTCATTTTTGTGTTCGATAACCTTGATAAATAATCATTATCGTCATCTGATATCAATGCATCGATCATAAAAGAATCTTTTTTATTGGATAGAATCAACAGCGGGCTATCCCATAACCATAAAACTATAGGCAGCTTAATGGTCCAACATACACACTTTGCTGTTAGCGACTGTAGCTGCAGATGAAATCAACGGTTTGATAACGCCTTTCTTAAGCCTGCCCCTCTAGCATGACCACCGAAACGGGATATTATGATAAAGCGCTATATCGGAATTTAATGTCAGACTACAGTGGAGTTTGACAGTAGTTTGACAGTTAATGCCGATATATCGCTTTATCATATCCCGTATCGGTGGTCATGCTAGAGGGGCTGGACAAGTTTTGAGAGGAGATTATATCGTGGCAATAAATGTTGCTACCTTGAAATAGCCTAAAAAATTAGGTTATCTACTTACCTTTATTTGGTTTATGAGCTCGTGATATTTTGTTAAGGAACGAAACTGCGACAGGCACAACTTTATGAGGAACACTAGGAAAAAAGCGATTGAATTTAGAAATGTGTTTTACTAGAATAAAATCCACTCGGTTAAGGTTTCAGACGCACTAACCAATGAGAGCGCTTGTTAACGAGACGATTTTTACCCGGTTTCTACTCGGGTCTGTGTCGGCTTAGCTTATCACAAATACAGTTTATACGCTTGTAGCAGGGATGTTACGGAGCTTCGACTCCGATTCCGATAAGGCGGAACTTCCGATTATTATTATACCTTCGGTTCCGATTTCAGATCCGAAACTTTTAGCGACAACGAATAGCGACGGCGGCCTGCGTCGACCGTTACTAACTGGTTCATACCCGTCGCGTTGTCGTCTGTGTTAATAATAAGTAAATTTAAATGAAAAATGGTTATTTTATAATTAAAATGAAAAAATGTTGACTAAATGATGTTTTTATTTGTTCTTAACTTAAAAATATCTCTCTTGTGATCACTTCCGACCCTGCTTCTGACCCCGACACTGCCTCCGACTCCGGTACCGACTCCGATAAATCAAATTTAAAAACTCCGACTCCGACTTCAGTTCCGATAAATTTACCTCCGTTACATTCCTGGTTTGTAGTACAAACACTGTACCGACCCCAAACTGTCGCTAGCGCGGTGTCATTAACAAACCTCCATTGTGTCGCATACCTAACTGACGACTGGACGTAGACACGGTTTAAAACCGTGCCCGAGTAGAAATCGTCTCATTAACAAGAGCCCTTATGTTACCGAGACCCTAATAAGGCTAAGGCTATAAGGCTGATCGGTTTGAATCCCGTGTGGAACCTGGACTGAGTAGAATTTATTCTAGTAAAGTTTCCTTTAGATTTAAATATCTAGCAATTAAATGCTTAAAATAAAAATATATAAATGTTTATTTTAATTTGATATTCATATGCGAGTCAGTTACTTTTTGAAATAACTTACATCTCAGTGTAGTCTCATGTCATACTAACGAGAAATTTAACGTACAGTACGTGCGCGATCTGAGTGCAGTCAGGGTTTGAGATTGGAGGCCCACACTCCAGCATGTCCAGTGTTAACTGAAACTGTGTTTTAGAGCTTGCAGAGCACTGACGCATTTCTCAGAGCTGTACACAGATCGTGCGCGTACAATAGCTTAAAATGCATAATCATGATAATATTGATAATTAATGGCATTTCCTGAGCGGACAGCATACCAGACATACAATTGTATTACGATAATTGTGGCGCCACATATGAAACGCGACACACTTAACTAGTCCGGGAAATAAAGCATTTGGGCTCGCAATTTTTTCGTTCACCATGGATTTACTTGAAATTTTCACAAAAGGTAGGGAACAGCTCAAGGATCATTTTCTTTATCATGCCGCTGTACGCTAGAGCCTTGGGGGTAGTTGCCACCCCATCTCGGGGGTGGAATTTTTTTGAAGTTATACTTCTTTAGGCGCGTTATGAAATTTTAAGATGCGCGCGCATCACTGTAACACAAAATTTTAACAGCATGAAGTTGGTCGCTAAAGCGACTTTGTGTTTACCGCACATTAAGAAAATCTACTAACAAAATAGAAATAGAATCTCTATTTAGTGGGTGCTAATGACTGCATTGTGAAGGCCTATCAAAAGTATTTATTAATCTGGAACAACGGAACCAAAGCGCGATTCAGGAGACTACAGCGCCATCTCTTGACCATTGGTGTAGTAGAACCAAAAACCACATCTTTATTTTTTGTAATAAAGTGACAGTTATAGGTAATCATATTTATAATATTTATCCACATGTTTCTAGTTTGTATATTCGGAATACGTGTTTGAGTTTCATACAAGTGCAAATCACATATGTTCTAATAAATTATATTCAGTAGCTATTTTAATTGAATATTTTGATTATTTATTTATTTTTTCAAATTAAAACTAAACTTTAATGACTGTGTCCTTTTCCAGACTTTTTATTAATTTATTGTAATTAATTATTTGCATGCAATTAAAAACTAATTTTAAACGATGCCAAAGAAGGATAACTTCTCACGCGCCTACATAAGTACACGCACCCATTTTTTTTATTACATTTTAACTGTAGGAATCGACGGAAAAAGTAATTCTAAGAAAAGAATGTTATATATTTCGCTTTATCCCAAATTTTAGTACAAATCGGTGCTCGACGAAAAAATTGCGAGGTTTTACCATTTTTTTAGCTTCATTTCCTGGACTAAACGCCCACATATATCTGCGCGTAAGTACGCACACCAAGGACACATTTGCTGCGGGTGCATTATCAAGCAAAAATGTAGCGTGCATATTGTGACTAGGTAAATGTTCCATGGAGGAGGAGCATGGTGGCGCGGGTGGTTTGCGAGTTCGGCTGCGATTGTTGAAGTTAAGCAACCTTCGCAGTGGTCGGTCATTGGATGGGTGACTAAAAATCATCAATTTTGAGTTCCTCCGTGCTTCGAAAGGCACGTTAAGCCGTTGGTCCCCGCTGCATCTGCAGTCGTTAGCACCCGCCAATCCGTAGGTACTGTGGTGGGTCATGGACCTACGTTCATAGGAAAGTCCTGTGCCCCAGCAGGGGGGTCATTAATAGGCTGATGATGATGAAATGTTGATTGTGCCCCGTGGCTCCGGTTAGTGGCCTCACTTAATGTGGTACCAAAATTTTGTGGTTGAGAGATATAATGGCCGGTTGACACGATGCGAGTTTTCACGCACGAGAAGCATGCCGCCTTCTCGAACGAGATGAGATAGCTAGCTCACGGGAAGCGTTTGTCAAAGTATTTACACTATTGCACATCTTGTTCGAGCTCGTCTGCGTTTCTCTGGCTCGGCAGTTGCAAAAATTGAGTTTGAAGTGTTTCAAGAGAAGTGTGAATGTGTAATTTTAGCGTTAATACAAGAACTGTCTCACATTCCAGGGTCCATGCCATAATATTATCATTCCCTAGACGCTTATTGTATAGTAAAAGACGCTTGTAGGTATATTTATAACGTCTCACCAAGAAGGTAAAGCATGAAGAGCGCAGTGTAGACCAGGACCACTGTGTGCACTACGATTTCCTCTGGCTTCTTACGAAGGAACATTGCGTAGCCACATCCTGGGTTATAAATTAATAAATTTAATAATGGATATTTCCCACAATTACACCAATTAGCCTAAACCCCAAGTAGGCACTGTAAGGCTTGTGTTATGGGATGCTATGGTAACGGATAGAATAAATAGACTGATATATAAATAAGTATAATTTATCTTGAAATATATCATCATCGGGATTTAATCATCCGTCCAAGGCCCAAGGTACATTTGCCACCACCGTGATTCGTACTCGGAACCTCTGAGTAGACGACACATTGAAACCCGGCGGCGTGTATACTACTCGGCCACGGAGATCGTCAAATTAAAGTGAATAAGTCTGTGAATAAAATGTATATCACATGTACCTACTTGTACGTACGTAGTCGTACCACCGTTTTGTCTTATCACACCAATATTATAAAGGCGAAAGTTTGTGAGTGTGTATGTTTGTTACTTCTTCACGTCTAAACGGCTGGAGCGATTTTAATAGGTATGGAGTTAGCTGAAATCCTGGATTTACACATAGGCTACGTTTTACTACGGACAGAGCCCTCTTTCCCAGTGGGGAAGTGCCATGGGCCCCGCGATCGATATGGGCCCCCTCAGATCAAATACAAAGTCCCTAGTTCCTGTTAAATCACCAAACGGGGCTGATAGGGGCCCCATTATCCTAACATGCCCAGGGCCCCCAATAGGTCAAAGACGGCACTGACTACGGGAAAATATCCCTAATCAACCGCGGGGAACACCGCGGGGCACAGCTAGTTGAAAAATAAACATAAGTAGTAAAACATATCTAGCTAGCGCCTACTCAGCGTAAAATTTTGATCCTTCATAATAAATTGGTAAAGACAAGAATTACCTATAATGTCATGACAATGCCTGCTTATGTTCTTCTATAAGGTTCTCTTTTTTGGTCCACCAAATTTGACCTTGTTGGGTTTAGGTTTTTTTTGAGTGTTAATGCAGCAGATAACTTCTACAGTATCACAAATATTGGAGCAGCGAGATTCTTTAGGGACCTCAAGTCGGAAAATCTCTGACACTGACCTCGCCTCTAATAGACCGTTGTTGTAGGGGAAGGGGTGGCTTTGGAGTGTAGGGTTTCGATGTAGATGGATTGGTGCACAGAACATAGAAACAATTTTATAATATAATTAATTTTCTCCAAAATATATGACTTTTGAGAAATTAATTTGTAGCTGTAGAAATAGTACCTAATAAGTGAAAATTTGAATACGCCATCTGCTAACTTGCCACCGCAGCTCAGAAAGTATATCAACGGATAGGAAATCTACAGTTGTATTTTAGCGATAGTATCTATTTGTTATTATTGGAGCTGTGATCGGTGTTTCTCTACGTGATCGAATCAGAATTGAGCAAATCCGTAGAAGAAGAACTAGAACAACCGCAGAAGATCAGGGGATTTAATTTAATCATTAAGTAATGAAAGGTGACTTCATGAATCATCACTAAAGTCATTTTTGAAGTGGACGACTCTGTAAATAATAAAACAGGGAGAAAAACACAGCCCTTGCTGAGTTTCTTCTCGGTTCTTCTCAGTACAAGGTCTCCCGCCGTAGATTTACGAACCGCTGCTGGTGTAGCTTCTATAGACATTCATGAGTGCTTGTAGCAGAGTTAACTGAATAAATGATTCTGATTATTATGCATTGCCATGCTGAAGTGGCTATGGGCGAGGACGTTGGGGTTCCAAGGTTCTTCAATGGCAACCTTGTAGGCGAAGCGCAGTGTCGGTGGACACCTTACCAAGTGGACTAGCGGGACCCATTAGATGCGGAAAGCGCGGGACCGTTGTATACGAAAATCCCTTGAGGTGGCCTATGTCCAGCACTGAAAGTCCATTGGCTGATGATGATGATGACTTGATACCTTTTCACTGTTACTAACCAAAGAACGAGGCCAGAGTAATGAAGGTGCCCATCTCGTATCTAGTGCTGATAGTGTGCTCGCTTATGTTCTGGTTGTTGGGGTCGTGCCAGGTCAGGAACACGGCGTAGCCATGAGGCATCTCGCCGTACCCTGGGAGATAAATATTATTGTTATTGTAATATTACCGAGTCCATGCTAGTTTAAAGAAACGAAGTGTACAGTTTGAAGTAAGTTTATTGAGTAAATTTCTAGTCCTACTCAATAAATAGTTGCTAAAATCATCTCGTAAATAGATTGCGACATGATCTAACTACGTTTCCGATAGATATAGGAGCACTACTTTTTGTTTTATTAAGAAAACCAACAGCGTGTACATCAACAAATAACAGATAGTATATTACATGCCAATTACAGGTTTCCATAAGTTAAAAATAGTAAATGTACATCAGAGATGATTCATTATATGCCAACTAATAAATTACGTAACAGCGATGAGAAAAATAAGTACCTGCTAAAAATAATTACCTGCATTAAAACGCTCAATAAAAATATAAAAATCCTATAGCCCGTTTATAGCTGCACCTTTTTTTTTTATAACGCAGGTAAAAAATCTTTGTACAGACGACGACGCCTTTAAGAAGCAGACCCCCGTCGGACCTCACACCTGGCTCCCGCAAGTCTTACGGACCCCTCAGTGGCTGACCACCGAGGACCCCGCAACTCTTACGGGCGCTTTACGGCATAATATCAACTAAAAAAGTCCTGCGAATACCTTCTACACTGCTTTATGCAAAGCCGCGGGGTCCCCGTGTTTATAGCTGCACCTAGCGTTTTCAGTTGTAGATCTATGCCATTCAGCGTTCCACAGCAATCAACGATATCGTTGACAGCAATGCACAAAAACTTTGACCATAATAAGTTTAGCAGTTTAGGAATATGTACTTTCATAATTCCACGGAGAGAAGAAATATTTTAATAAATGAGGAGAGGAGAAATCTGTATCTGAATCGATTTTACGAGAGAGGAATTGGAGCTCGCTTACAGAAGACCAAAGTAAAAAAACTCTACCTTTTGGTGGTGTTGTGCTTCTGTCGGTGAGTAAGTTTCCAAGGATCCACGGGGTAGGGGACTCAATCAGGGTAGGCAACGGCGCGAGTAATTTTTTTTTAACGCAAGTGTCTATAGGCTCTGTTCGCCGCTTACCAAGTGGGCCATATGCTTGTTTACCACCCCTTCAACAGAAAAAGGTGAGGCATATTCTCAGCAGTGGGCGTCTTATGGCTGAATGATGAAAAGAGACCTCAAGTATGAAACGCGTAAATTAAACCACTTGGGTCAAAAACATATTTTTTTTATATGTCTCATACAAATGTCGTTTTTAAAGCCGCCCTGGGATTAATATTCATGTACTTGAGATCAGACTCACAGTAGAAGCCGAGGACGGGACAGGCGTAGAGGATGCAGCTGCACCAGTGTAACGACAAGAGGAACATCACCACCACGTGGATGGAGCTGTAGTGGATGTATGAACCACCAAATATCTGCAGAATAATGTTTCTAAATATAGGTGTCTATTTTTAAATGTCTACTTCTATAATGTTGATAGGATAAAATATAAATATAACATATTAGAAGTACTACGTAAGTACTACGGCAGTCTCTGATTGTTCGTCAGCCTATTGTACAATTCTTGTGTATTTTTGGTAAGTAAAGTTTGAAAATAAATCATCACCGTCATCATCAGCCTATTAATGTTCCTGCACTGCTGCTGCTGTGGCACAGGCCTTGCCTATGGATGGAATAGGGAAATTGGGCCATGACCCACCACGCGGGCCCAGTGCGGATTGGTGGGTGCTGACGACTGCAGATGCAGCTGGGACCAAAGGCGTAACGTGCCTTCCGAAGCACGGAGGAGCTCGAGATAGTAAATTTTTGGTCACACATCAATGACCAACCACTGAACTTCAACGATTGTAGCCGAACGCGCTAACCACTAGCGCCATCTAGATCCTCTGAAAATAAATACTCAAATAAAATACCCACGCACAAACATGCAAATTTCATGCAGCCTTATCTTCATATCAACATAATATCAATATTCTCTTAATTATCCTACTGCTCCTATCTTTCGCTTACATTAATATGGATATATGCAGTGCTGCCAACCCGAATTTTAGAAAATTAGTCGATTATGTGCCAAATGTTGGTAGAAGTTGGTAGAATGTAAAATGCAAAATTGGTAGATCTACCACCTCAATTTAGAAGGTTTTTTAAGATTAAAAATGCATGCAATGCAATGCAGAGCACACTTTAGATCACACCTACATGATTTGCAATAAAAATATCCGTCCCCCTTAGTAATTTCTTAAAGCCAACCTGCAAATTCCTTGTCTTTCTCCCATAATTTCGAATATTTTTGGTCATAGTGCCTTTTTCTAGGTTTTTGTGGCGGAGTTCCTAACCTAGAACTATGTGCATCGCTTTCGCTGCTGTCAGAATCCATTATATAAATAAATGCACGCAACATAGAACAAACAGCAATCAGCACCGTTAATACGCAGTTAATTAGTTTTTACAATAAAACAGGAGCAAAGATTCAACATTGATTCCGCAACAAACCAACCGGGAATAGGCCACAGTAGGAATAGTAAAATATGGGCGCGAAATTGTGCGAACGCCGAACTCATGGCGAACTGTTGCTTTTTTTTTGTGGTTTATGGCCTGGACTCTATATATGCTTGACGCATCGTTGCATGGCTCACGCAATACATCGCAACGTCGCTCGTCGATATAAAAATAATTCAAAGTGGTGATATGTCAAACTAATTAAAAAATAGGTAGTTTTTAGGTCTAGGGTGGTAGATAGGTAGACTGAAGTGAAAATTGGTAGATCTACCAAAAAGTTGGTAGATATGGCAGCACTGGATATATGGATTATGGATAATGACAATCTGTTTTATTACAGTCAGCATGTTGCAATCTCCAGTGATAAAATATGTTTTGCAGGATAATAAATATACTTAATTAAATGTTAAATACCTGAAGGAATATTTTCAAGTTCTCCATCGTGCAAACAACGCGCGCAATCCTAAGCACGGCCAGTAAATGGGCCACCAAAAGGTACCTGGTATTTGGCACCCTTAGATACAGAAGCACAAATGCTACTGGCAAGCATGAAACCAGGTCCACCAAAAACCATGAACAGAGGTAACGGCTGGAAGGAAATCAATCAGTCAGTGCATCATCATCAACAGCCTATTAATGTCCCCACTGCTGGGGCACAGGCTTTCATTTTATGAGTAGGGAGATTAGGCCATGATCCAACATGGAGCACAGTGTAGACTGGTGGCTGCTAACGGCCTAACGTACCTTCCGAAGCTCGGAGGAGTTCGAGATAGGTAGTACATTTTTGGTAATCAACCACAATAATCGCTGCCGAATGCTTTAACCACTTGCACCATCAAGCCCCTCGTCTAGTCCACTCCTCCAACAGTTAGTTATTTAGTAAAATATGTTATTGAAGTTCTAGGTCGAAGTTTAAAGTACGTGGATGCCCCTGATGCCTCGGGGCATCCCCATGATGGGTGGGTCCGTTCAAGTCGGACACTCATTGGTGAGGTCGCGGAAGTATCCGAAAGGGTTCTCGTGGCCTCACCCAGTACCGTTTCCTCGCTGGGCGGAGTGCCGCCAGATAGTGGATCATTCGCCCGGGGAGGACATGGCCCGTCGACGAGGTGAGGGGCATCGTCAGGTTTTTAGTGGGTAGGGCCCCCCTCCTTTCGGGCAGCCGCTGAGCCAGCCCTCGGGCCAGCTGAGCAGGTGGGCGAGAGGAGGAGCGGAGGAGTCTCACATAACCTTGCCGCACTCCCAAGGCGGTGGGGTATGCGTAACGCATTTTCCTGACGAAAAAAAAACGTTGAAGTTTAAAGTACCTAGGCAACATTGCTAACGTAAATAGGAAAGTAAGTAGCAGTGGTTTATCGGACTAATTATTGTTATTCTATTCTATGTAATAAAGTTGCTGGAATTTCATGATGTAGCGAGGCGACGACATACATCCTCGTATCGTAACCGTCTATAGAACTATGCTGTAGTTTTTTTCCAGCAGGAAAACGTTTTAAGTCTTCCCCGATATAAGTAGGAGAGTACTTGACTCGATGATTAAGTATGTACAGTGCTATGGAAGCTTCACGATCAGTAGATCTGAGAAGCAAGACGTCGAACAGCGTCAACAACGTCTAATGGGGACGTTCTGCTATACAGACCATCTGAGAGTTGGACATTTTACTAAATAGGTTACCTTATTACTTTTACATTTAATTTTTTTAAGCTTTTTACTGCCGGATGTTTATATCTAAAAAAAATGTTACTAGAAGAAATTCCACGCGGACCAGGCAGCAGACAGGACTCGAACCCGCACCCTTCGCTATTCCGGCGAATGCATTGACCATTATGCTATCGCGGCCCTGATGGCCGTGATCGAATTTTCTCTAGCCCTTCTTAGGCTGCAAGGCAGCGCCATCCTTTCGCATCGTAGGTAACCCACAATGTCAAATATACCTTATTACTGCTTTCCTATTCAGGATAACGTTTTCATGCTCCTCGACGTAGCCCAAGTTGAACATCAAAGCGATGTCGATGATGCAGAGGATGTGAAGACTCAGCAGGATGTAGTCGAAGGTGTTGGGCCCTGGGACCAGCGGGAAGGGATCCAGGACGTAAGCCAGACGCAGGGTAGAGACCACCATATGGGCGAGGTTTACAACCACCATGAACGTGTTCCAAGACAGACTGCGGAAATGAATAGTTCGTTTTTTTTTGTCAAAAGATTGGTAAACAATAGGCAGGGTTTAGAGGTCCAGAGGCCTCGGGGCAACAGAGGAGCGGAGGTCCCCTCACCCCAAATTATTTTCCAAATAAAGTAAACAATTTTTTTTCAGTCGAGTTTTACAATAAATAATTTATTGTGAACCAAGTAGATTCCCTTAGTATTGAACAAACACATATAAATATAAACGGAAACAAGAATTATCTGAAATTAAATCTTAGAGTTAACGAACGGAACCGTTCGAGCTTTTTTCGCCGAAAAATCGTTGATGATTTCGTTGAAATCGAGTTCTCGGAGTAAATGTAAAAGAGCAAAAACAAATATCAAAGGAAAAGATGTTTACTAGTGTTTACTAGTTGGAATTTGAAAGTTTTTTTTTGAAGTCTCTATTGTGGGGGCCCCCCGCTTGTGGAGGCCCCGGGGCTTTCGCCCCGGTTGCCCTCCCCTAAATCCGGCAGTGACAATAGGGATGATGACTATTTTTTTTTCTTCGTTTATCAGGTAGATTATCAATTTTTTTATGATACATCAAACAAAAATACATACAACCCTAAATTTTCACCCTTCTACCATTAACCCCTATTTTTTATGGCGGTACGAAGTTCGCTGGGATAGCTAGTCTTATATATAAAATTCTCGTGTCACAATGTTAGTTACCATACTCCTTTGAAACGGCCCGACCGATTCTTATGAAATTTTATATATATATTGCGTGGGTCTGAGAATCGGCTACTATCTATTTTTCATATCCTTGGTCCACCTGTAACGTAGTGTTCTGAAACCTACAATGCGCCTCCGCGCCAAAATTCAAACTATTGGGTATTGTAACGTAGTGTTCTCATATGGGCAAGAAGGAATGTTATTTCAGGAAATTGATAGAACACTACGTTACATAACCCTAAATTTTTTTTTGGACAATATTTATTTTTGGAGTTTACTCCTTAATAATCGATTTGCATATATAAGGGGCCCGGTATGAGAAAAATGTGAGGAGTGAAATCTATCGACGAATGACCTCGTTACGTTTTTACTGTCTACGCTGTAGCAGCCGTAGTGCTACACCATAGCACAGTATCGTAGCGTACCTTTATTTATGCACATCTGAAATTTACTATTGTAAAAAGTTTAATGTAAAATATTTCGTCGATTAGTTAAAATAAATGTATATGAAATGAATAAATATATATTTATATATGTATATTATTTTCATTAATTTGTTAATTTACCCATTCATACAGTATCAATCTTTTTTAAGTAAAATAAACTCTTTTTGCGTCTGGTTAGACTATCGAACTTAAGAAGTAAACTCCAGTCGTGCGTCGGAGCTGACACACACAATTTTTTTATAATGTGGTATTAAAAAATACAATACAACCCTAAATTTTCGCTTCTGCCACCTGCCCCTATTATTATGGCGGTACGAAGTTCGCTGGGTCAGCTAGTAATATTATAAACATGCAGGCACGCTACTTCGTCCGCGTTATCTTTATTTTATTGAGAATCCCACAGGTAAATTTTTTTTTTCTGGGATAAAGATTATACTATGTCTCAATCCAGTAATAAACTATATTTTGCCGTTCATTGAACTCCGGAATCCAATTTCATGCCATCGCATTATCGAGTTATTCGATGTCGAGGAAGATGGAAACCAAATAATGTTGCGTTGTTACAACTTTGCTACGATGCAGGTAGCTATTTTGCTACGAGGCTATGGCAGTGCGTAGCAATGTAGCAAATAACGATAAATAACGAAAGTTATAGGCAAGCGGCAAACTTCTTGAGTAAAACCACAGACAAAAAAAAACTTGCGTAGTGGAAGATTTTGTGTGTAAAATTGCTAATGCACAGGATTCCTTGTCGATGGTCGATGCTCAAGAAATTTGTCAGGGTGTTTATATTATATTATACATTAATCGAATGTAGTAAATGTTACGGACACGCTTACTACCTACTCTCTACTCTACAGAAATAGCTAAGGACAGCTCTGCAGAGAAGTTTCTTGTCAACTGTGTGATCTTGTTTCTGAAATACTGAAATATAAATAGGGGTAGGGCATAGCGGATTTCCGCTTGAATTGGAGCGCCCGCCTGAGGAAGTTATCTCCACCTTACAGAGGACCACAGTAAAATAACACTACCTTTTTTTCTCACACCAATTAGCCCAGCCTCGAAGTGAGCACTGCAGGCTTGTGTTATAGGAAACTAGGGTAACGGATAGAATACATATACTGATACATACATAAGTATATTAATATAGAAATACATTTAAACATCCATGACCGTGTACAAATGCTCGTATTCATCACACAAACATCTGCTCACATTGGGATTCGAACCCGGGAACCTCTCGAGTAGGTCACACTTTGAAAACCGGCGTACAAACCACTCGGCGACGGAGGTCGTTACCTTTTGGTGGTGTTATGTTGCTGTCGGTGAGTAAGGTTCCAGAGCTTCACATGGTAGGGAAATGGGTCAGGGTCGGTAGCAAAGATGGGCGTTTTTAGATATTTCTGAAATCGATGCGCATCGGTATCAGATAAATCGCATCGGATCCACGCACCGATGCCGGCATCGCATCGATGCCAAGTGAATGTCAGTATCGTAGTATCACTAACTTTTCAGTGCAGGTGGCAAAAATTGGAACTAAAATTTATCCATAGTATTGTGACATTTTTAGGCACCGTTGCTATAGTAACGTTGACGAAAACTAGATGGCATCGGCATCCAATAACGTCATCCAGTCGCATCGGATGGGCGCATCCAAACATGGCTTCGTTATCGCGCATCGTTATTCTAAAAACGCCCACCTCTAGTCGGTAGCGGGGTGAGCTATTTCTTGTACAAAAAAGAGAGACTACTAAATTGTTTTGTTACCAACCTGAAAAGGCTAAAAGGATGTATAAGCCAGACGCCGCCGGCTGCAATGTGCCGCTGCCGCTCTGCGAGCACGGCGGCGTAGCTGCGCAAGTACTGATACGTCTCCGGGTGGTACTCCGATACTAACGTGTGCTTGCGAAAACTCCGGCATATAGCAGGCGTGTAGTCTTTAGGAAGCATGCTGTTGGAACCTGGTGTTACGACAAAGTTTCTTTAAGTTTCGAATCTTACACATGCATAGAGCCACACGGCCGTCGCAAGGAGGGCCAAACGATACATGCGTGCAGGATTTGGCATGTACTGTGGCATTGTTTATGTATGTGTGTCGTCGTTACATTTTTTTAACGCGTGTATGACAAACCCCCCCGCAAAAAATGGGAAAATTTTGTATAGTATTACGTCGCTATTCCCTTCCGTGTTGCTCTTTGCACTCAGGGCTTTTTCCGTGGCGCGATAACGTGACGCTATTCATTGTGTTTCATTCAATTTCACAGAATTTCTATTATAACGTTCAAATGACGCGTCAGTTACGTGCAAGGAATGCTATGAGATAAAATGAAATGTTGGCGAATGAAAAGCAAATTGTGCAAACTAATCTACTTTCGCAGTGGCTGGTTATCTCGCGCTCTTCCGTGCTTAAGGAAGGTATGGTAAGACGCTGTTCACCGTGTCGTTAGCATGCATTGATCCGCATTTTAGTTCTTTCTCTCAAATCTATTCATTGGAGAGGCCTGTGCCCCAACACTGAGGCACATGAATACCCTGGTTATGAAGGAGGTAACGGTAATTGCTCACAGTAAGATGTTATTCCCCGTGTCGTTAGCATGCACCGATCAGCGTTAGACCCACGTGGTGGGTTCTGGTTCTTTCTCTCAACTCCACCCATTGGAGAGGCCTGTGTCCCAGCAGTGAGACACATTAGTATGCTAGTGATGAAGGAAGAAACGGTAATTGCTCAAAGTAAAACGTTACTCACCATGTCGTTTGCATGCACCGATCTGCAGAGGGCGCACGTGGTGGGTTCTGGTGGTTTCTCTCAAATCCATCCATTGGAGAGGCCTGTGCCCCAATAGTGGGGGGGAGGGGGTTATAAATAGGCTGGTGATGAAGGATTGGTAATAGAAGGGAATGGTAATTGCTTAAATACTTCTACGTTACACTAACTGAAAATCTTCTAACAATGCTGACTGAATATCTACCTACTTTTTTTTAAATGAACATGCCTAGAATTCAATAGAATTACCTAAGTTCAGGGAACATTTGTGACTCTTGTAGGGCATCTTAGGTCAGGTATAGGTTGTCTTCAATGGGGAGAAAGCTTATTGTTCTCTTGTTACCGCTTTTTGTCAAAATTTTAGCAAATATGTTAATCACAAAAGATCTTTGGGAAAGTATACACAGTAGTAAAAACGGTATTACTTCTTGCTCAACTTCTTCTTTGACAGGTGTCACATATACTAGTGTACTCTGTAGGTGTGACAATAGCAGTAATAGACCAAAGAACCATGAACATAGGATAGGATTTTGCTAGTCCATGATATGAACAGTACTATCTTGAGTAAGATCCATTCTCGTGAACTCTCCAGTATCTCCTACTTCTATTCAAAAGACTGACGATTTGGAGGCGAGCTAAAGTCATGGCTGTTTGTTGATATTTTTTTTTGCTACCCTAGATGATCGGCTTTAGATAAAGAGCTCCGTTATGGTGCGGATGTATGGTTGTCCCTTTGATTATTTGGGTTGAACCTCTTATCAAGGGCGGATCCAGGGGGGGTGTCATGGGGGTCATGACCCCCCCCCTGGGCTGGGTCCATCTGTACCCACTTTACAATCTGTACTTCACAATCACCAACCCACTGTGACTTGACCACGACTATATGACCACCCCCTGGCGCCAAAGCTGGATCCGCCCTTACCTCTTATGACCTCTGTGGCCGAGTGGTTTCTGCGCCGGGATTCATGGTGTCGCCGACTCGAGGGGTCCCGGGATTGAATCCCGGTGGGAGCAGATGTTTGTGTGATGAATACGAGCATTTGTACTTTAGTCATGGATGTTTAATATTAGTTTCTATATAAATATACTTATATATGTACAACATATGTATTCTATCCGTTACCCTAGTATCCCATAACACAAGCCTTACAGTGCTTACCTTGGGGCTAGGCAGATTGGTGTGAGTGTTGGAAATATTTATTGATTTATTCTGCCGCGCTCGAGTAAATCCCAAAATCCCCTCTTAGGCTTTCCTTATTATATTAATTAGTCACGAAAATAAGGATATTCGAGGAAAATAAGCTAGATTTTTGCATGGACCTCGGTTTTGATCTTGTCAGACAATGGATAGACAAATAAAAACACAGTGATTGCTTTTTTACGCTAAATTCAAAGAAAATAAAAACCACAAAATGATGTTCTAAATATTTTATTTAAACAAGTTGGTAACGTGAGAATGAGACACATACGAATAAGATGTGATTGTTAATTAGTGTAGTTGGATTTTATTCCATTCTAATTAATGTAATTATAATAAAAAGACGATGTACCTACATATAAAAAATGCGATTTCACTTACATTGATAATATTTACATATTTTTTATACATATTACATAAATATCTAAGCATTTCGTTTGCGAAAACTTTGTTATACTTTATAGTTACAGTTTTATATAGTATTTTCTTATTTACATAAACATTTGCGTACGTAATATTTTTATTTTCATACGTTGATTAATAGCTGTTCTTTACTGGTTACTCTTACTTGGAATATACACAAAAATGCTATTAATTAAAAGAAAATAGGCAGGTATGATAGCTCATACGTAGCTAATTTCATTTATCTTCATTAAGTTCATACGTAGGCAATTTAATTTATCTTCATAAAAATGTTGATTTCCCATCATGATCTGCCTATTTTATTTCAATTAATAACATTTTTGTGTATATTTTAAGTAAGAGTAAGCAGTAAGGAACAGCTATCAAACAAGTTGTAGTTACTAACCTATAACTACAACTTAACAATATAGACACTGCAATTGCTTCTGATGAAAATTTATATTAATAAACATTCAACTCAGTCCAGGGGGCCATTCGCCTAACGGGATTGTTTTGGAATTTGTTATTTCATTTTGTTATTTCTGACCGTCGAAGGTTTTCAAATACTTCACGTTCATTTTATTTAATATTGTTTAAGTATTACCAATGCAAAATAAAAAAAAGAGCGCGCGAGGCATTTGAAAACCTCAGGTGACTAGAAATAACAAAATGACTTCGTAAGCGAGAGCGTTTTCCAAAGCAATCCCGTTAGGCGAATGGCCCCCAGGTTTCAGGTAGGACTCGAACTTGCATTATCCGCTGTCTATGTATGCGATGAACTAACCACTACGCTACCTGAAACCTTGGCCGAGTTAAATTTCAGCTGGCATTTTTTTTAGATTTAGAATTCAACGGATCTTGCTTGTTTTTGTTTGAAGGCAAATAATATATCTAAAAATTATAGCAGTTAACAAAGTGATGTAATGGGTGTTGGTGCATCATAGCCGGAATTGCTTGTTGGTGAACTCTGGGCTGAAGGGGCTCGTCATGAAGCCGAAATTGTTCTTATGATTGGCAACCGAGTCCGACTGCTAATAAAAATGGAAAAAAATAAATATCATATAATGAAAAAAGCAATCTTAAATTCTAAAGATGGGTGTGTGCTTAGATTAAATCAAAAAGGGAAGACAAGGAACCCCGCGTCTCAAAAGTGTACCGCTTAAATTAGGCGCAGGAACACAATTCACTTTGGTCACAATTTGACATTCAAACACGCTGCGTGTGCATGCAATTTAACAAAATAGCGGATATTCTGTGATAAATTATTTCTTTATTTTATTATATATATAAATTAATTCATTATTTCTTAGGTGATAGAGTAACAGAAATCCATACAAACATAAGATTGAAATTAAAAGCGCAAGTGGTTAATATACAACTTTAAATCGTTGTAGATCCTAAACAATCATATAAAATGAAAAATGGTGTAAGGAACCTAAACATGATTTTCGATTATCTAGACAACGATATCCCACTCGACATATTTTGTCAACTTATTTTTTTTTACTTCGTCATAATGTGGTGCCTAATTGTCCCCTTAATGAATTTATTTAGATTACTATCATATCTTTAGTAGCATTCCTATGATTAAGACGAATCGATTGACGTATAAATCATCAAAATCGGTCCACGCGTTTGGTCTCTAGTGTGCCACAAAGGAACATACATACATATATAGACTGTTAAACACTATACCCCAATCTGCGCGTCGCGCTTTGCGCTCTTGAATTGCGCAGTCGGTTAAAAAGAGCACAAATACTGCAAGATTACATAACAAATTCCACTGCAACACTTTTCAATCGTAAAACTATAAAAAACGTTTTTTTCTTAAAATCACGGTTTAGAGTCCGCGCCACTACTCAAGTCCGACGGCGAAACGTCGAACTAAATGTGACAGCTCCGCCATGTTGTCGTTTGTCAGGTGTGTGCGTTGCGAGTATTGTTTGTAGATTTGAGTTGTTTTTTATTGGAAGGAGATTGATTATGGAGCGTAAAGTGATAAGAAGTGCAGCCAGAGAAGTAATTCTTAAGGTGAAACAGTTTTGTGAGCTGGAGAAGAAAAATAACAAGTTTTGATCCCTTTACAAAATGTTCAAATGCGAGTCGCTGCCATGACAGGTAAATTTTAGGGTTGTAAGGTCATTGATGTTTACCTCATTTTATGGAGTAACATTTCTGTTAGGCTTGTGTCATGTTTAAATAATTTATACAAAAAAAATGTTTGTGTTGCATTTTATTGTAGTTTTATATTTATTAACTTCAATTTATAATTAAAGTAGTCAGTTTTCACCTTTTTTCGGTTGCGAGTACAATATATTGTTTAATGATGAATCAATTAATAATAGTTTAAACTGGTTTCTTTGTGATTTTAGGTGTGTCTGTTAAAACGGTGTCAAGAATCACTAAAGAAGGAAAAACTGCAATGGCAACATCAAATAAAATTGTTACTCCTAGAAAAAGTCGTCCACAAGCTAAGAAAATTGATTTGGATGACTTTGATTTGTGTTGCATACGCCAAAAAATTCATTTTTTCTATGTTGTGAAAAAAGAATTGCCTACTGTTAATAAACTGCGTTTGGAATTAAAAAGGGATATAAATTTTCAAGGGATTAATACAACTTTACGAAGAATATCGAAACTGTTAGGTTTTCGATTCAAACGTTGTCAATCTAAACGCAAAGTGTTGATGGAGCGACATGATATTACTGCTTGGCGCGCCAGGTACATTGAAAGAATGAGGAAAAATAGGCTAGTTGACAAAAGGCCTGTGGTGTACTTAGATGAAACTTACATTCATCCGACATATCACGCTAAAAGCTGTTGGCAAAGCAAAGAAGAAGATGGATTATTGATATCAGAATCAGCTGGAAAACGTTTTATAATTGCACATGCGGGTACTAAGAGCGGATTTGTAAAAAATGCGTTATTAATGTTTAGGTCACAATCAAAATCTGCAGATTATCACGACGATATGAACGCCACAAACTTTTTGAAATGGATGACTGAAAAAGTGGTACCAAATCTGCCTGAATAATCTCTTGTGGTAATGGATAATGCTCCGTATCATTGCACTCAGATAAACAAAGCTCCTACGATGTCAAGCTCAAAATCACATATGCAGGAGTGGTTACGACAAAAACAAATTTATTTTGAAGAGAGATGGACTAAACCAGTGTTATATGATATCATTAATAGAAACAAAGAACCACCGCTCTTTGCAGTTGATGAACTACTGAAACAACACAATCACGAAGTGGTAAAATTACCTCCTTACCACTGTGACATAAATCCTATCGAAAAAATTTGGAGTTTGGTAAAGAGACGCGTTGCTGATAAAAATGTTGCTCAAGATCCAAAAAGAATAATAGAATTGACAGAAGCTGCTTTTGCTAGTGTTACGCCAGAAGACTGGAGCGTTCAGTATAACCACGTGGAACATCTTGAAGATGAGTACTTTAAAAATGACGGACTAGTTGATGTGGAAATGGAGAGATTCATAATATCAACAGAGAGTGATAGTGATACTGAATCTGATGATTCCACCGAGGAAGAATTGAGCAACAGTGATTGGGATATATCTGGCGTAAAAGAATTGTATCATGATGACCACAATTATTGCATTAAATTATATTAAACTTTATAATATTGTTTTATTGATAAATATTCTTTGTGTCATTATTTGAGTTACAAAAAATATTTAATTCCGATGAATAAAAATAATTTTGAAGTAATGAGATGTGGGAGAAAATTTCTTCCTACTGGCAACATTTTGTTACAAGACAGAGGCGCCGCGTCTATATGTATATCTGTTTTTTATATAATAATAAAAAAAACAGATATACATATTCGTAAAATTATTTTAAAACATAAATAATAAATACAATTTATCATTTATATCACTTTCAATATTATCATACATAAATTAGATACGTGTATATACATTTTACATTGACAGACAGACACGCACTAGGAAAACAAAAAAATTATAAAAATATATTTATACAGCAACCAAACAACACAATACGTAAGCTCACAGAAAAATATATGTATAAATATACACACACACACTCACACACACACACACACACACACACACACACATATATATCTATATAAATGAGGAATCACAGCGATATATGCCCATTTCCCGCTGCGCATCAAGAAGATATTTCTTTAATCGATGTTTAAATGTGTAATTCGAAGTGATCTGCCTCAATGATGGTGGGATATTGTTCCATATTTTGGAGGCTGCACAACAGAAAGCACCCCTAAAAGATGCAGATGAAGAGCGTACCGTCGTATCTTACCTTTTTGTTTTAAGTTTGTGAGTCTCTCCATATTACTCCGTCATCATGGCGCTTTCAACAGTGCCGAAATATAGGAGACTCACAAGATTGGTAGTTTCTAAAGAAAATTTTACTAGAAAAAATTCCACGCGGACCAGGCAGCAGACGGGACTCGTAGCCCGCACCCTGCGCTATCCGGACGAATGCACTGACCATTAGGCTACCGCGACCCTGGCGGCTGCCGAATTTTCTCTAGCCTTTCTTAAGCTGAAAGGCAGCGCCATCTATTCGCATTGTAGGTAACACACAATGTCAAATGACTACCTTTACAAGTATTAAACATTTGGGAGAAGAAATAGCAAAAATAGTCACTTACTTTAAACATCCAGTAGTTACATGCTTAAAAAATAACAAATGGTGGTAATCTCGCTAATCACTATAATATTATGTTTTTGTATAGACAGTCAAAGGTCAAGTTAGCCAAAACAGATTCGCAATCCTAGGTTTGTCAGTTTGTAGCAACTTGATGTGCGGTTGTCCGTCCGTATTAGCTTTCAAATGTAAAAGACGTTATTGAAATTTTTTGAATATACCTGATCCCCCATGATCATTGCCGTGGAGTTGGAGTCTTCTGGAGGCAAGAAGTCCCCGCGGAACTGCGGCAGGTCTTCGATACCAATCAGGTCCGAGTCATTGCTCATATCGCTAGAAAAATATGGAATTATAACCCCAAAAACCATGCGTGGATAGATTCTGAGTGTCGTAGGTTTTTTTGGTCGAAGGTTATCTAATACCTCCATCTATATCTGAATCTGTTTTTACTTAAGTGAATCTTTAAAAGTTAAGAATTTAATAATTTTCTAAAGAATAAATAAATCTTCTAACAATAACTTATTAACCTATTAGTAAGGGCCCAAGTGGGGATTTTGGGATTTTCTTGAGCGTCAAAGACTGACGATTTGGACGTGATTAAAAGTCATGGGTTTTTGTGGTTTTTTTGCTGCCCCAGACGTTCGGCCCTATAAAAAGGGCCCAGGTATGAGTGAGAGTATTTTACAAGGTGCAAGATTACCCTTATGTTATTCTGCTGCGTTTAAGTAAATTCTAAAATCCCCGCTCGGGCTTCTCAACTATATAGCCAGGAAAATAAGGATATTCGAGAGAAATAAGCTAGATTTTTGCATGGACTCTGTTTTGAACTTGCAAGACGTCTCAAAAATCGAAAATTAAATCGTGTTTTTCGTTAAGATAGGTTTTTGCGAACAAATCGTTTGCTTTGCACTCCCCCAAAAACTTCCTTATCTAGTATACCTGATAGCATCAAAGTCGGGTGCCTTGATGTTCTCGTTGTAGATGGGGTTGGAGCCCTCGACGGTGTGCTTGTTGGTGCCGGGAGCGATACCCATGCGGTTCAGACCAGAGTCAACAGATCCGAACTTCGTCATCGACATCGCTTTCATGCGGCGGTTCAATCTGAACAGTATTATAATTGTCAAACAATTGTGTTGGAGTAAAGCAAGTTCGTATCTCCTTATTTATCGATAGAAATTTACGGAAAAATGCCCTTTCTCAGTGCACGACAGAACAGTAAGGAAATACATATTTAAATTATCTTAGTTATTAATGTTGCTATTTATAGTGACTACTACTTACTAGTGACCTCGCTTCGCTTCGGTGTACAGCTGTAATGAAAACTATAGTTTTTGTTCTCAGGCTTGTATTTTGCACAATGACTTTCTTTTATTATAAACCTTTCATGAAAAATTATTGAACTGATAGTGAAAATTATTCAACCAATTGGGTCGTCATGGTCATGATCATTATCAGTTTAGTGTAGGTGGTGGGTAGTCTTTAGAGAGAGAGAGTATTGTCTCTTGAAAATCTCTTCGGTTGTGTCGTGTGGGGCGAGTTGGTATATTTCCTAAAATATGGTTTAGTCTCTTGTCACCTAAAAATACATGCATACTGACGTGGTGAAATTGAACGAGAAGACATTGTAGTTCAGTGAGCGTTCCTTATACCGAAGTTCAATCACATATGCTTATATATGTTTTAACCACCTTGAAAATGCCTGCCAGGCTTAAAAAAAAGAAAATAGAATGACGAGCAGTCATCAGCTCGTAGAGGCCGGCCAGGACGTAGATTAGGTTGCGCCGTGGTAAGGGCGTGTAACCTTGCTTCGTCTCTGTCCCTTGACCGTTATAACTTGGATGTCTTCTCAAGAGTAAACAGGAATAATTATGGTTTACGCATCGTTACGCGGGAGCACGGAGCGGACGTCCGCGCCGCGTGCAGTTTTTATGTCATTTCATAGAACAGCACTGCTCTATAAAAGAACAAGAAACAAACACGCGGAGCGGATGCCCGCTTCGTGTCCCGCTTGACGCACCGCAGGGCCTTATTGTCTGTTCGTGCCCCGTCTTAATTTTCATTTTTCTTCTATAAGATGAAATCGGAGAGAAATGCGCAAAAAAAGTGCTTTTTGCGCATCCTGAAAGTCCTACAAAGGTCCTTTTCACATCAGAAATTCTCACGCACTGGTTTTGGAAGGGAACACCACCAGTAGTACTAGGAGTAGTAAAGTCTTCAGCACCTACAGTCCAGCCAGTATGTAAACCACGGTTCGCACAGGGTCAACGACCGGAGAGTGGCCTGCAGACAGATCCTACAGCACGAGACTGCGCTCGCTGAGTCGTTGCTGGATCTGAGTCAAGAGTATTATGCGGAGCCTGCACAACGATACAATACTCACGCGCTGGTTTTGAAAGAGAACACGACCGATAGCACGAGCAGTAGTAAAGTCAGCAGTATGCATAGTCCAGCCAGTATGTAGATCACGGTTTGCACGGGGTCAGCGGACTGTGCGAGGCCCGTGGACAGGTCCTGTAGAACAAGGTTGCGCTCACTGAGGCGTTGCTGGATGTGATTCAAGAGCGCTGTGTCGGTGCGGAGCCTGCCGATAAAAAAATCTGATAACTTGAGCGTACACATATTTAACAGTATCTGGAGCAACCTTTTATGTAGGGAATGCTTGTGTTAAGACGCTCTGCGAACGATATCATCTTCATCATGGATGATGAGGACGATCTAAGGGGATACTGTCGGGTTGATCTGTTCGGCGGGCACGGGCACGTTGTCGCTACGATCATCGCTGACTACATTTTAATAATATAACAGGCTGATGATGAGGACGATGTAAGGGGATACTGACGGGTCGATCTGCTGGGCGGGCACTTGCACGTTGTCGCCACGGTCATCGCTGTCTACATTATATAAATATAACAGGTTGATGATGAGGACGATGTGAGGGGATACTGACGGGTCGATCTGTTCGGCGGGCACGGGCACGTTGTCGCCACGGTCATCACTGTCAACATTATATTAATATAACAGGCTGATGATGAGGACGATGTAAGGGGATACTGTCAGGTCGATCTGTTCGGCGGGCACGGGCACGTTGTCGCTACGATCATCGCTGGCTACGTTATATTAATATAACAGGCTGGTGATGAGGACGATGTGAGGGGATACTGACGGGTCGATCTGCTCGGCGGGCACGGGCACGTTGTCCCGTATGAAGTGCGCGCGCACCTCGGTGCGGTCCTCTCTGGCGGCGCCGCTGTCGTCGCTACCCATCAGCACCTGGTCTATGTTGCACGTCATAAGGAACGCGTTCGTGAACGTTTCCGCTATCTGCAACATTATTGATATCATATGGATCCATTTTTTATTACAGTAATTTATGTTATAGTTACCATATAGGTAGGTTACCATATAGGTACCTTTGATTATTTACTCTCTAGATAGAGCGTGGCAGCGAAGATGACGTTGAAAATAATATCATCCAAATACTGGACTATAAGTAAGTCGTTTCCCGTTAGTGAGTGTTCAATGTAACGCTGAGCGACAGGTACGTCTATTACAGAGGTTCGTGTTGAAATCATTGCTTTGTTTGTTTCTATATTATCATGGCTATTATTTTAGTTCAACTAAATAAAAATTTGTGACACATTTTTTAATTAAAATATCCAAGTATTAACTTATATGTTTTACAGATGTTTCAACGTCTATGATTTTTAATTGTGTTAACAATATACTAATTTTGATTTGATTAAGTTTATCCACTTTTTTGGGAATGTAGTATGTACCTGGTATCTTACACATGCGCACCGAGACAAAAATAATGACATTTCGCTGACATTTTGCGATTGTCAGATACAAGATCCGCGTGTTTTGTTTTGCGTGTCACACACACAAGTATATAAAACCTGGTCTGTTTTTATCGCAGTATTTACAGGGTGACGCTCTATCTATAAAGAGTAAATCAAAGATAAGTACCTTGTTTTTAGTGTCGTGTTAGATACTGTGAGTGTTGTGTGTCTAGAACCACTTTTGTGTGAATAGTGAGAAAGTGACCAGTGGTACGGGTATCGAACGCAAGAATATACTTTTTTGGTGGGTAGACCGAAATGTCTGCCAGTAACATCCTACCCGGGACAGCTAGTAAACTATAATTTAATGTTACTTACGAAGTCCGTGGCATTGACGATTTCATCTAGCGTATTCTCAAACATGAACACGACGCGGTTTTGTGATGATATCAGGTATACCTTCACTTGGGCTCTGCCAACTCCACCACCTAGACACAATTTATATTTTATCTTTAAATTTAACATTGAAGTTTTAAAATGTGATAACGAAACCATTGTACAACCAATTTTTAACGTATCCCAGGCTTATTAATATCTTATTCATGTTGCCAGCAAGGTGGGTCATGAAACATGGGTTATGCATAACCCACCATGCAGTTTCAAGATTTGGGATCGTAACGTGCCTTTAAAAAAAAATCATTCCCCCATCCTACGACTGGCTATAGCGAAATTTGCTAAGCTTCTATGGGAAGATGAAATGATATTGTCACAAACACTCGGTACAAAACCGCGAAAATACCAGAGATCGTATTTACCAGAACAGCGCGGATTGCGATAAAGGTCGAGTAGTGCGGCTCATTCTAATATGAGCTTTATGCAGTGCGGCGTAAGGGAGAGAGTGCAACGACATCTGCACTTCTTTACAACTTATGCGCGTTACCTACGTAGGTAATGGATAAGCAGATACTACGCACTCGCGGGATCTAGTTGACTCTCAATTTAACGTGAATTTTCTAGAATGCGTCGATAAGCGCGATTGGCGCCGTGCAGAAACAGTTGAGCTTCAACAGCAATTTCGGAAACAAATACAAATGCGATCAAAGTGCAAGCAAAGTGTTCAAGTAAGTGCGATTGTTTAAAGACTTGAGTGTTTTGTGATTAACCTTGTGTCTTAACTATGTGGTGAATAAAGTATTGTCATATGCATGCGTGAACTGGCATATAATTTCGAACCCTATCCCGACACGTAACAATACCAATAAGAGATGAAACGACATAAAATAAGGAGATACAGAAATGAGGTAATGTGAAATGAGATGCAGAGAAATGAGACAAAATGAGATTAAACGACCTGCCATGAATTAAGGTGAAATGTTTACACACATACTTACATACTTTTATTTACATTTTCTGAAGAACTTTTAAATCGGACGAAGTGAATACAGAAATAGAACAAGGACATGGCAATAAAGAAAATTCTCATGATTTTAATCTAGTCAAGATTGATAATAATAAATTGATATGAATATGAAACGGATTACGGAAAGTTATTTAATAATTTATTTTATTATAGCATCTTTACTTTAGTTTTCCGTGGGTCGCATATTAAAGTTGATGTGTTTGTTAATAAGATGAGATGAAATAAGGGAAATAAGATGAAATAAAATGACATGAAAATACTATAGAATAATATTCTACTCACTAGAGTCCGTAGCGGTGACGTCGAACTCGAACATGCCGTGCATATTGGCCGTGGGCTGCATATTGAGGCTGAGCACGCCCGAGCGCGCGTGCAACAAGAATGCTGTCTCCGCTACCACCGCCAGGCTGCTGTCCGCTACCATACTGGCGGCGTCTATCGCATACGATATGTTGTCCCCCAGTGAGTGCGTCGCCTGATAACAACCCATGCAGTATAGCAACACTCATAGGCACAGATTATTGTTTCCTAACCACCGCCGCCAGGCTGCTGTCCGCTACCATACTGGCGGCGTCTATCGCATACGATATGTTGTCCCCCAGTGAGTGCGTCGCCTGATAACAACCCATGCAGTATAGCAACACTCATAGACACAGATTATTGTTTCCTAACCACCGCCGCCAGGCTGCTGTCCGCTACCATACTGGCGGCGTCTATCGCATACGATATGTTGTCCCCCAGGGAGTGCGTCGCCTGACAACACATCATGCAGTATAGCAACACTCATAGACACATAGTATTGTTCCCTAACCACCGCCGCCAGGCTGCTGTCCGCTACCATACTGGCGGCGTCTATCACGTACGATATGTCGTCCCCCAGCGAGTGCGTCGCCTGATAATAACCCATGCAGTATAGCAACACTCATAGACACAGATTATTGTTTCCTAACCACCGCCGCCAGGCTGCTGTCCGCTACCATACTGGCGGCGTCTTTCGCGTATGATATGTCGCCCCCCAGCGAGTGCGTCGCCTGATAACAACCCATGCAGTATAGCAACACTCATAGACACAGATTATTGTTTCCTAACCACCGCCGCCAGGCTGCTGTCCGCTACCATACTGGCGGCGTCTATCGCATACGATATGTTGTCCCCCAGGGAGTGCGTCGCCTGATAACAACCTATGCGGTAAAGCAACACTCATAGATACAGAGTATTGTTCTCTAACCGTCGCCGCCAGACTGCTGTCCGCTACCATACTGGCGGCGTCTATCGCGTACGATATGTCGTCCCCCAGTGAGTGCGTCGCCTGACAACAACCCATGCAGTAAAGCAACACTCATAGACACAGAGTATTGTTCTCTAACCGTCGCCGCCAGGCTGCTGTCCGCTACCATACTGGCGGCGTCTATCGCGTACGATATGTCGTCCCCCAGTGAGTGCGTCGCCTGACAACAACCCATGCAGTAAAGCAACACTCATAGACACAGAGTATTGTTCTCTAACCGTCGCCGCCAGACTGCTGTCCGCTACCATACTGGCGGCGTCTATCGTGTACGATATGTCGTCCCCCAGGGAGTGCGTCGCCTGGCAACAACCTATGCGGTAAAGCAACACTCATAGACACAGAGTATTGTTCCCCAGCCACTTTGCAGCATTTTGAGTAGCACTTTCCGACGACGAGTTGTTTCGGTCGAAAACGGTCGGTTTCTTTTGATTTCCAAAATAGTTTCTGACTTTTCCAAATATTTTTTACATCTTTTTAGAGCCCTTTGAATTAAATAAATAAATATTTCCAACACTCACAGCAATTAGCCTAGCCCCAAAGTAAGCACTGTAAGGCTTGTGTTATGGGATGCTAGGGTAACGGATAGAATACATATACTGTACATACATAACTATATTTATATAGAAATAAAATATTTTACATCCATGACTGGAGTACAAATGCTCGTATTCATCACACAAACATTTGCCCCCACCGGGATTCGAACCCGGGACCTCTCGAGTCGGCGACACCATGAAACCCGGCGTAAAAACCACTCGGCCACGGAGGTCGTCAAAATATTACTATTATTATATAAATAACGAGTCTTTTGAGCCCTCACACGTCCTCGTGACCCTAAACCTCGGGGTATCACGGGTGTGTCCCACTTTCAGTGAAAATGGGGGCCTCCGTGTTCTAACTTTTTGTACGGTGCAATGGTACGTGAAAGGTAGAGTTTGCCGAGTATAATAATTAGGTACAGAAATCAAGAGGCCCGCGAGCAACTCAGGGCAATCAAGCCGGCTACGTAATCATAAGGTTAAAGAAACTTCATTCTCATATAAAAACCATTACAGTTGCTTGCATGAGGAAACATTAATTACAACAATTAATAATTAAGATATCATCTCTCGGATCGAAGTCGCAGCAAGTTCCCAAATACAATCAAATACTATAACAGCTATCAAAAGCTAAGTTTAATGGCTACATTTACTCCTCCGGCATCGTATGGATTGATATTGATATTTCGTTTTCAACAAATAATTTTAACGACATTTTGATTTCTTTTTCAATTCTAATAATGATTATTTTAAGATTTGGTGTATTTCAGACAGTTTTGGTTGTTTTGGTATAAGCTTTGGTGGACAAATTTCAGTTTTGTTGGCAGTGCAAAACTTTGGATGTAAATTACTCGGTGATTATTGCTACGATTCTCGGAGAATTAGAAAATATGTAAATTTATGCTGTATTTTATACTATTGTTTGTTCTAAACAGCGAAAATAAATTTGCGCCACCAAATAAACGAAAATACATAAAATGAATATCATATTGGCCCATGACATTCTTAATACAAAGAGAACTTACCTGAACTGTTAGAAGTTCCCTTTGAATCGTATCTAAGACTGAAATGCCGGCCGTATACAGCTCCCTTTCGAAAACTGGCCGAGGATCTTCTTCCACCACCTAAACATAATTTTTTTTTGAAGTTATATAATCACTAGGCATAATATCTCCATTATTATTATTTAATTAAATTTAATTAGACTGAAATCAATGTAAATAATTTCGGAGGGTAGATTGACTTACGTTGATGGTGACGGTTAGCGTGGTGCCATCTAGCGGCGTGCCGGTGGCGGATGGAGAGTTGCTGGCCGCCACCACGATGCTGTGGAAACGATTCTGCTCCTGGTCTAACGCTTGGGCCAGGGTCAAGCGGTTCCTTACGGGGTCCAGCTGGAAGTAGCCGCCGGTGTTACCACCTGCAAATATAAAATATTAAGACTTACAATTTATGATCTCGAGCTCCTCGCTAAATCCAAAGGGACCTTAAGCCATTGGTTCCGGCTGCATTTGCAGTAGTAAGCACCCACCAATCCATTCTCACCATTCCATCCATAGGAAAGACAAGGTATGTGCTCAAGCTGTGGGGATATAAATAAGCTGGTGAGGGTGATCATGTTTATCCAAATAAGGCAGCAGGATACCAGTCTATTTCTAATCGAATTTTGTTTTAGTTGTATCGATGATAACTTAAGGATATGTAGAGTTCCCAACAACGGCCCGCTAGCTAATAAATATCGTTGCAGTCGTAGTACTTGGTGACTCTACCCCAAAACAATAGAATCTTATTGTAGTTCGATCGACGATAAGTTGTAAGATTTGTAGTGTGACTAGTCTCACCAATGATCCGGTAGAAGATGTCGTTGCAGTCGTCGAGACACTCGTAGTTCTTGGTGACTCTGCACCAAACCAATCGAGTTTTGTTGTTGAAGTTCGATCGACGGGATTTATATTATTACTGGTCTCACCAATGATCGGGTAGAACATGTCGTTGTAGTCGTCGAGGCGGCCGTACTTCTTGGTGACTCTGCACCAAACTAATCGAGTTTTGTTGTAGTTCGATCGACGGAATTTGTAGTGTTACTGGTCTCACCAACGATCCGGTAGAAGATGTCGTTGCAGTCGTCGTGGCAGTCGTAGTTCTTGGGGTCGGTTGCGTGAGGAAGGTCGTGGCTCTGCTGCAAGCCGGTGGGGCCCTCTGGTAGAAGGAAAACGATGTGAACATCAAAGGATATAATGTTCATTATTTTTGGTATTTCTTAATAATATGTAGAAATAATTTCGTTAATAATAGGTTAGTATCTTATATTGTTTCTTGTTTTAAATTATATTGCTTTTAGTTAGAAAACTGTATCAGGAAAATTTCAGCGCAGCGCAACCCAGGTATCAAGTTTAATTTACACTTATCGCTATTTGGCGGAATGCATGGATTGCTTTGACACCGAGATGGGCGTGTCGATTTTTATCTAAAGTCATGAAGAATGGACTGAGTTACACTCGCACGAAAAAACATTTCTCTAGTCTCAATGCATTCGCGTAGCCAATTCCTGTACTATTGGCCACATGATCACACCGTCTCTCTAAAGCTTATCTGGCCAGCTTTATTTTACAGTTGGTCAGGGAACGCTCAGTCCATTCTCTATGTTTATGAGTTATCCATTTGCGAGGTTGGCAGCGCCACTACTTCATACTCTCGTTTGTTTGCTTGTACCATCTTAACTATTGCAACTACTTTTCCATAAGTCAACCCTTAACGATAAAATAGAAAGTAGCCAGAAGGGTTTCCGGCATCTCGAATATCATCACACCTGTCACCTGAATCACACCTGTCTGAAGCTAGTCGCGAATGAATTGTAATAATAGCATTGTTTGGTTTTTATACCTGTGAAGGGTACAGTGATGGTGTTGTCGGTAAATATAGGCTCTCCAATGGTGGTGACAAACAGAGCTCTCACTGTGAGCTCCGTGCTTCGAGAGAAAGGCTCCGTTCCTCCGTCCGTCGCGCGGATCGTTATCTGTGGACAGCATTAGATTCATCAGCCTGTTAATGTTTCTAATGCTGGGGCACAGGTTAAAGCAACCCCACTAGAGCCTGCATATAAGAGCACTACCTCTCTAAATTCGTCATCCGACCGTGACGTCACACTGATGTGTCCAATCAAAACGTGACTTTTTATAGTCAGGTAGGTCATAAGCGCGCATGCTGCTCGAAAACAGGCCAATTGAAGCGCATTGATGACAAAAAACTGTTACACTATGCACAAGAAAACATTTGTTGAAACAGATTTTAATCGCAATTACTATAAACGTAACATATATTTAAAAATACTATATTATTGCAGGTAGGCAAATTACTCTGCTCCATCTGATATTAAGTCGGGGTAAAGTCCAGATGCGAGGACAGCTGGTGCATCAGTTATGAACTGCCACACCACTCTCACCTTATCGGACTGCACAAATGTTTATAGGATTCCAGATTGTAGGAAGGAGGGAATATTTACGGGGGTAAAGAATAATAGCATAAAACGTATGGCTTACCTTCCCCCCACGACATCAACTTTAATGATTCAGATTCCAAACAAAAGTTGAGTACTGTGGATTTTAGGGTGGTGCTTTGTGGGCACAGGCCTTCCCCATGTATTGGATGGAATTGTTGGAAGAATGGACCCTGGAAATTCTATTGATATGAAAAATAAAATAAATACTGTTCAAACCTTCACTGTCTCTAGCTTTTAGCTTTATACAGTATATGTAGGTGCGTGAACTAATAGACGTGAAGTACTAACTTGGCACTCGGTCATGTCCTCGGGGATTTTAGTCAGTATCAGCGTGCCCAGGTTCTCACCGTCATTCATAACAGTGAAATGATCCACCGCGGTAGCTGTAGGCAAAACGTATATAAAAAAATGATTACCATGTGAAATATTAAAAAGAAAAAAATATATTATATCTCTTTTCTAACAAAAATAGAATTCTGTGTTCTGTGTATCTCCTAGAATATTTTTTTGATTTCTGTAATCTAGTTACTCTTTGAGATCATAAAATGTAACTATTAGACAATTTATTGGTTCACAATAGGGATGATGACTATTTTTTTTCTTCGTTTATCAGGTAGATTATCAAAAAGTATTGGACACGTATTTTTTCTTTTTTCACAAAATATAAACATTGCAGAGATATATTGATTTCAAAAATCATGACGTCACGTTTGAGTACACTTATAAGGGAAAATTCACTCAAAAGTGACGTCACGAGCCTCTACTCCCAAACTTTGACGCGCTATAACTTTGTTATTTTTTGGTTGATTGCCCAAAGAAAAAATACGTGTCCATTATTTTTTGATCATCTAACTGACGGACTAAATAGAATTTCGTTTACTGTACCCTGTCATCACCCCTATTCTCTCGTTATGTGATACGCCAAAATGAATTGAAACATTTGGCTTATTAAACTATTCACCGTCTCCGTCACTCACCGAAGTCCTTCCTCGTTGTGTATATGGATAGTATGGTAATGACAGTACACGTACCGTCGTCCACTTTAAAGAAGATCACGCGGCCGGCCTGTAGTCCATCCTGGTCATGTATATGGATGCTATGGTGATGACGTTCACGTACCGTCGCCCACTATAGAGAAGGTCACGCGCTCGACCTGTAGTCCTTCCTCGTTTGTGTATATGGATGATATGGGAATGACAGTACACGTACCATCGCCCACCATAGAGAAGGTCACGCCCCCGGCCTGTAGTCCGTCCTGGTTGTGTATATGGATGATATGGTGATGATAGTACACGTACCGTCGCCCACTATAGAAAAGGTCACGCGGCCGGCTTCCAGTCCGTCTTGATCGGTAGCAGATATACGTGGCAGTATATTTCCGTCCGCCAACGTCAGCTGGTTGTTTTCCACTGCGCGCTCCTGATAATTTATCATAATTTCGTTCAATTAATCATAGATGTATTATGTTTTTAACACCAATGAAGGTATGTGTTGTCATGTGGTGCAAGAGTTGTAGAAATATCGTGAAGTGCCGTGTTTAGAATTTGTCATAATCAAAGTTTTGGTTATTTTGTGTGGATTATCCATGTAACGTACATCTAAGAGTCATTTGATTTTATGCTTAAAATGTTAAATATAAACGTACCCGAGCAAATCGATAAGTGCTGCCGTGTACAGGAAACACAAACTCAGGATCGTAGTAATTGTAGGGACGTATCTCGACGGGGTACCATATGTCCGAAGCCAGGGGAGGATCACCGTGGTCGTACGCCTGTTGGTCAGATCCGAAATAAGAAGAACGCTCCAAACCGGTAAAAGAAGTTTCTGATATGATTTTTGGGCAAGCTGTTAAGATATCTTTCAGTTTAAATGACAATCCGAGTTCAAAGACGAAAATCAAGAATCAAAATTATAAAATAATTTAGCGTTGATAGTTACAAAAATAATTCCAAAAAATAAGCTGAATGAGTTGATTCGTTCGCAAGTGGAGATATAATCTAATACGACGTACAAATAGGAAGTATACGTCACCGTAACATGTATCATGTGATTGCCCCAGAAGCCCCTTAGGTCTTGCAGAGTCTTCAGCCTGGCGCGGTTTCCCTCGTCGTGCTGGATTAAATAAGTGTCGAACAAGATTGGCACATCGATGTCCCTTGTAGTATTCATGTCGAGGACGCGGTATCCGACCAGAGAATTATAAGTACCCGGCTCATCGTAGTCCGGCGCAAAGATTATGGGGTCCACCAACTCGCCCTAGTGAAGAAATAGTAAATTGTTCACTGAGAGGAGAAAGTGACAAATTACCAACGAGGGTGTAGTTTTATAAAATAGAGTGAGGAATTGTTCGAGTTCTAGAGAGAACCCACTTTTAAATAAAAGAGAAATTCTTATAGCAGAGACGGGTTAAAAGTGCATTCAAAATACGCTATAACATTCTGTGAGAGACAAAGCGCTACCTGTACCCTTAGCACGAACCAAAATCGAATTAGTAACGTTTGCGAGTCCGTAATGTCATTGTCAAATGTGTACTGATTTTTAGTTGTCGTTACGTACTTTGTGCCGCAGCTGTTCAAGTTTCCATACAAAATTTGACATTGACATTTCGGTTTGCAAACTATTCGAATTCGATAATGGTTCGTGCTAGGGGTACTGTACTGCCTTCACGTTACGCGATACAATTGCAACTAAATATAGGTTATACGGCAAGCTCACTCTTCCGTAATCTGTGAGAGTGCGCACATAAAAGATTTAATACCGAGCTGTGGAATTTCCATTCACAACCTTTTTTTTCCTAAAACTTTTAAAACTTTTTAATTATTCTGCCATATTTTGGATTTCTTCGGTAACTAGGTAACTTTTTAAATAATTCTGCTATTTCGGATTTCTTCAGTAACTGGGATTTAGCAGTTTTTTCAAGTTATATAGCATTTTTCTTCTATAAACTAGCCGGATCTTTAATTTAAATCTGATCATACTGATCGTGACATGTTATAGTAGCAAATAGCATACACCGCTCAATGTCATACTGTATAGAAGGCAGAGGAAGCAATATAGTTTTAGCTTATCGTGAACATAGAATTCCATAGAAAAAAATGTGAAGGGCCATATTGTTATGTTTTGAACTATAGTAATGCTATATGATACTATATTGTAGCATAGTTTAACCCACCTTAATGGAAACCAACAACATAGGTATTAAATTTAGGAGACGACGAAAAGTGTAAGTAGTCCCTCCCTATGGGCTTTCGTACACTTGCTTGAGACCTTAATTATACTGTCAAATTCCTAGCGATTATATTCCAATGAACACTCGCCCCCTGTATTGAGTCCTGGGTCATTCCACCTATCCCATATATGCAGAAGGCCTGTGATCCAGAAGTGGAGAATTTAGTAGGCTAGTGATAATGACGGTGAAATAAGTAAGATTTTAAAGATGAGGCTGTTAGAGAATGGGTTATTATTAATATGTCTAGCTGTATAATGAAGGATTTAACAGATATGTGAGGAATAAAAGTGATTATTTACCGCCAGCAGCCCCTCGGAGATGGACCACGTGAGATCTTCGGGCATCAAAGGCACCTGGTCGTTGATGTCTAGGAGAATCACCTCTATGGTCGATGTGTTTTGATTCCTTCGACCCTCTAAAATTGAATCCAATATATTAAGTATTTACTCATTTAAAGGAACTCGGTGTTTTATGTGTCTAAGTCTTAAATGTCTTAATGTTCATATTCTTAACTCCACCATGTCGTGTCTGTAGCATAAAAATGGCGGTAATCATCGCTATCGTTCATCCTACGTTATTTCTTTTTAGACATTTATCAATAAAAATTTTGAAAATTCTCTTGTTGTACACAAATACTGTTAATTGTCTATTCAAGTCTCTAAAAGCTCAAAAAGGTTCTAAAATTTAAAAATTAAAATGTTTAATTTGAGTGTAGCTTAAAAACAGTCTATTCTTTTAACAAGAGGATTTGAAGAATACTATACACGGGCATAAGTATTCATCAAAAAATTAAATCGACTTCAAATCTTAAATGAAAAAGAAGCTGGACAAGTGCGACCCACTAAGGGTTAGGTACAAATTTGTAGGTACGCAACATAAACGACCGTATCTTTTTACCCTTTTAATAGTCTTAAAACCAAACCCACCTCCGGCTGTGAAGAAGTTATCGATGAGGTTGACGAATATGGTGTGCCTCGGCTCCCCGAAGTCTCGGTCGAGGACCGCGTTACTGGTGTAGTTCACGTACAACATCCCTGTATCTAGGTCTATCTCGAAGAATAAACGCAGCTGAGGGTTCCAAGCGTAGTTGATCTGGTACCGGACCGTGTTATATAGCTCTGGAATGGAATTACCATTTTTTTATTCGTCGCGGTATATTAAATCTAATACGAATGATGATCAAGATTGGCGAAGTTCGATACAAAGTTTCATCGTTGATATTAAATAAATAGGACTTAATTTTGGTATCGTAGATTTGCGAACCGATGGCGTACTAAATAAACGAACTTGAATTATTGATGAAAACTTTTGAAGTGACCTAATAGTAGGGGAGCTCAAGCGGGGATTTTAGGATTTACTCGAGCGCGACAGAATAACATAAATGGGGCAAGCTTGCATCTTGTGAAGTACTCCTACATCTGAGCCATTTATATAGGGTTGAACGTCTATAGCAGCAAAAATGGGCCATGACTTACGGTCGCGTACAAATCCTCAGTCTTTTGAATAGGTACTACTGGTTACTAGTTTACGCAACGTTCCTGATAACGGAAAAATAATAACAGGAAAAATAGGAAAAAAAAAACATTTGCTACAGATTTGAGAAGGGATGTTATGCGAATTCTTCGGTTGGTCCTATTAACAGACTGTCAATTTTTTTGCTACCCTAGACGTTCGACCCTATATGAAAGACACAGGTACGGTGGGAGTACTTCACAAGGTGCAAGGTTATGTTATATAAAATCCCAAAATCCTCGTTTGGGCTAAAGAACTTGCCGTCTCTGTCGAGGTCTTGCGAGAACAGCTGTACAATCTGGTAGCCGCTGGGTGATTTCTCTTTGATGGGCACCACCGACTTGAATAGGTCCAAGCGTTCCTCGGGGAACTTGTTGTTGGTGTCCAGGATCTCTATTTGGATCTGTTTGATAGATGTCATACTGATGTTGGTATACATTTTATGTGTATATTTATTTATTTATATATTCTGTAGGTACACACAAATGTAATGTAAGAGAGGTAGGGCATAGCAGATTATCCGCTGGATATGGAGCGCCCGTCTGGGGAAGCAATTTCCACTTTACAGAAGAGTAAAACAGCACTACATTTCGGTGGTGTTGTGTTTCTGGTGGTACGTAAGGTCCCAGGGCTCCGCGGGGTAGAGGCTAAGGTTCAGGCTGGCAAGGTGAGGATGGCTCAAGCGGCACACCTTTTGCCGATGGGGCACTATTTACGCGACCGGACCTATTTAAACTTAAGATCAGGTGGACTTAACACAAAACACTAGTTTTACGTGGCGTGGCGCAACAATATATCCCACAAATTGTTGCGCCACGTCACGTAAAAAATAATGTAGATGCAGGAGTTAAAGATACATGTACAAAAGGGCACAGCTTATTTTATTCTGAAATTACTTCCAGCAGGCCCGTAGTAGGAAAGTGTATTAGAAAAGACAGTCAGTGTGTACACCTGATTGTACAGGGTGGTCGGGGAGTTGACGTTCAAGCGTAAAATTTAGATACTTTATGATGAGGAGTATCCAAATCACCCCTATGTATGTTCTACGATTTTGCGTTGTTTTCGAGTTATAATTTTTTTAATGTTTTTTTCGTAATTTTCACCTAACATCAGTTTTCGATTTTTTTCTCATTCTGCTGGACGTTTCTGGTTCAGTTTTTTTGTGATAACTGACTAACACAGTCTAACCTACACCCTAAAACTTATGGTTTATCTAGGCATTGCAGAATTCACTTAGAATTTGTTCGAAAGTTCAAAATTACGATTTGAGCTCAGTACACACAAATTTTCAAAGTATCAAAAACAATGTAAATGGTGGCATTTTGAGTTCAAAGTGCTTTTAGAAACTTCCCGAAACATTAAACTTTAAAACAAGGCCAAATAAAGATAGGGTTAATACGGGTTTATTTTCTGTAACTGACCTTCAAAGTAAATTAAGGTATTTTTCAAGGAAAAAAAAATACTTATTTTCTTTTATTTAAAAAATCTTTGCCTTTCTCTCAGTTATGATGGACATTTTAGTTAAAATAATTATTTGGATACTCCTCATCATAAAGTATCTAAATTTTACGCTTGAACGTCAACTTCCCGGCCACCCTGTATATATATATATATATACATATGGGTATTTTATCCATATATTTTATATATATTGTAGGTATATTTTATTTGCATACTAACAAAATACATTGACAAAATTCAATACGAATACAAATATATTTAAGCTATAAATAATATATGACTATAAATAATATATAGAATACCTGCCCTTATATATGTTTGCAAAGTCCATATTGATTTTGATAGGCTCTTATTAATTATTCACTAAGTATAGTGTACCTACTATTACCAATTGCAATTTGTTTTGCATACTTACGTAGCCAGTCGTATTGAAGTGCATCGGGTCGGGTGGGCACTCATCTTCCAGACACTGGTCGCTCGCAATCACCTATTTTTTTTTAAATAATTGCTATTAATAAATCAGTATATCAGTGCCTTTACAAAATAACATAACAATATGAATACAAAAGAAAAAAAACGTGTTGCACTCCGGGAGTGCCGGCAGAAGTGAAAACTTGAATAATAACGTTGTGCATTTTTGATATTTTCGAATGGTTAGGGAATAATTTTGAACGAATTGCTTTAATTATCGGTATAAAAGTACTATCATTTATGTGGTAGAATACAATATTTATTTATTGCGCTATCGTACACAAACACGACAATTCATATTACATTAAAAAGTTTATCTCAGAAAAATCAAGTTACATTAATCACATTTAAACGCACCTAGCGACATCTATTGTAAAAAAAATCACGCGATCAGGCCACGTGTAGTGACGCGATTTTAACATTTTTTACCCACTACAAAAAAAGTTTACAACGCCGCTAAAGAAGTTTTCATTTCAAAAATCCAGACTCGCGCTTGGGCAATTTTTTCTTTTTATTCCTTAAAGAGCATGCAAATTGATAATACTGCCCGAACTGGCTTTAAATAAAATAGTAGCAAAAACCTGTACTTTACTGCTTTTATTGTATATTGTCTGGTGGGATGTTTACCGATAATGTAAATAAAAATTTGTAACTTCAAAATACCTATGCCAACTGCTATAGAATAGCTTTAAATGAATGTCCATGTACAACACGTGAAACTCAATGGCTCAAGTGATTTTTTCTCAATCGCTTTCCACCAGGCAAGATTGTGGTCAAACACATTGCCTATTATGCATAAAAAAGTGGTTAGCGCGTTCGGCTGCGATCGTTGAAGTTAAGCAACTTTCGCAGTAGTCGATCATTGGATGGGTGACCAAAAATTTACTATCTCGAGCTCCACCGTGCTCTCTCCCGGCTGCATCTGCAGTCGTTAGCATCCACCGATCCACACTGGGCCCGCGTGGTGGGTCATGGCTCAATCTCCCTCTTCCATCCATAGGAAAGGCCTGTGCCCTAGCAGTAGGGACATTAATACGTTGATGATGATGTTCTACATACCTGGTAATAAAGGTGATATCGCGGTGGTACGTCGGCATCTATAGCTTCGTCCTCGTCCACCGTGATTTGACCGCTTATGGGGTCTATTTTTACTAGACCATCGAGAGTGTCATTTATTGGTCTGGAGAGAAGAAGTTATTACAACTAATTGTACAAATATAAACTTTTTATATTATATTTTAATGTTTAACATTTAACGGCTAAATGTTTAAATCTAAAGAAAATTTTACTCGCTGACTTGCAGCCTAAGTAATACTTGAAGAAATTCGACACAGCCATTAAGGTCGCGGTAGCATAATTGTGGATTTATTTCTAGTAAAATTTTCTTTAGATATGAACTTTTTATTTAAAACAGTAACTTATTTAGAAAAAGAAGAAAGAAATACAAAGGTCTGAACAAATAACAAATGACGTCACTCCATCTGATCTTCAGTGACAGTAGTGTCGAGAAGAAAAAAATATCATGGATCAGTTTACCTGCCCCTCCAGCTATTCTCACTTCAGGCCTCTTTTAAACTTGAATTTCTTATTTTATAAATCAAAACCTAATAAGGACTGCATGCATAGTACCTATGAGCGAGGAAAATAGAGGTTGATCTAGCTAGATGATTCGAAAAAAGCGGGATCGCGTGGGTATGTTAAAAGCGGAACGTGGATCCATTGTCAAAAAGGCGGCAGAAAAAGCGGAAAAGCTTTATGTTCTGGCATCATAGCAGCATACAGTTGTACAGCGGCCCGTCGATGTCAGTGGCCAGTATGGAGCCTATGACGGTCCCCGCGGATGACTCTTACTGGCATCACACAGTATACTCACACGAGCCGGTAGTGCACGTTGTTGTACAGCGGCCCATCGATGTCAGTGGCCAGTATGGAGCCTATGACGGTCCCCGTGGATGACTCTCACTGGCATCACACAGTATACTCACACGAGCTGGTAGTACACGTTGTTGTACAGCGGCCCATCGATGTCAGTGGCCAGTATGGAGCCTATGACGGTCCCCGTGGATGACTCTCACTGGCATCACACAGTATACTCACACGAGCCGGTAGTGCACGTTGTTGTACAGGGGCCCGTCGAGGTCAGTGACCAGTATGGACCCTATGACGGTCCCCGTGGATGACTCTCACTGGCATCACCCAGTATACTCACACGAGCCGGTAGTGCACGTTATTGTACAGCGGTCCGTCAATGTCAGTGGCCAGTATGGAGCCTATGACGGTCCCCGCAAATGACTCTAACTGGCATCACACAGTATACTCACACGAGCCGGTAGTGCACGTTGTAGTACAGCGGCCCGTCGATGTCAGTGGCCAGTATGGACCCTATAACGGTCCCCGTGGATGACTCTCACAGGCATCACACAGTATACTCACACGAGCCGGTAGTGCACGTTGTTGTACAGCGGCCCATCGATGTCAGTGGCCAGTATGGAGCCTATGACGGTCCCCGTGGATGACTCTCATGGGCATCACACAGTATACTCACACGTGCCGGTAGTGCACATTGTTGTACAGCGGCCCGTCGATGTCAGTGGCCAGTATGGAGACTATGACGGTCCCCGTGGATGACTCTCATGGGCATCACACAGAATATTCACACGTGCCGGTAGTGCACATTGTTGTACAGCGGCCCGTCGATGTCAGTGGCCAGTATGGAGACTATGAAGGTCCCCGTGGATGACTCTCATGGGCATCACACAGTATACTCACACGTGCCGGTAGTGCACATTGTTATACAGCGGCCCGTCGATGTCAGTGGCCAATATGGAGCCTATGACGGTTCCCGTGGATGAGTCTCATTGTCAGCACGCAGTATACTCACACGAGCCGGTAGTGCACGTTGTTGTACAGCGGCCCGTCAATATCAGTGGCCAGTATGGACCCTATGACGGTCCCCGACGATGAGACTTCTCTCACCCGCATCGACTGTGCGAGACTGCCCGGAGAAAAGATAGGCGCGTTGTCGTTCATGTCGATTATGTTCACGGTGAATATTGCTGTTAATAATGCATAGAATTAGATGTATTCGACAATAGGCTTTAAGATGTATAGGAGTCTTCTAGGCAAAAGTAAATTGGCAAAATTTGAGTTTGCGAGCTCCATCTTAGACCACATCATTGCTTAACATCAGGTGCGATCAGTGCCGTGTTTGACCTATTTTAGGCCCTGAGCATATTATGATAATGGGGCCCCTATGACCCCCGTTTGGTGATTTAACAGGAACTAGGGACTTTGTATTTGATCTTAGGGGGGGGGGGGCATATCGATCGCGGGGCCCTGAGCACTTGCCCAAAGTGCCCACTGGGAAAGAGGGGTCTGGGTGCGATAGTGGTAAAACGCACTCAAATCTTGTATTAAAAAAAAGAGATTACAAGGATGGATATTATTTATGCGTATATGTACGGCCAGTATGGAGCCTATGTTGATTATGACGGTCTCCGTGGATGATACCTCTTAAACTCGCATCGACTGTTCGAGATTGCTCGGAGAGAACTGAGGCGCGATGTCGTTTATGTTCACGGTGAAAGTTGCTGTTAATGATGCACGGCATACGCCATATTTAATTGACAGGTTCCAAGACAACGACAGGCCAGCGACTCCCGCAAGGAGGAGTGTTTTCGTCGCTATTCTGGTCTTTAGCGGTAGACTCGATGCTGATAAAAACCCCAGATATTGATAGACATATAGGGAAGGATAGGATTAGAAACAAAGAGATGTACGGAAGATGTCGTGGTTTTCGTCATTATTGACTGATAACCCGCCAGTTAAAAACGCGTTATATATCATATCGCGGTGTTCATGCTCGAGGGGCTGGATTGAGATGTAGGATACATTTTACCCCTAAAAATTTTGTTAGTTTCCTGAGGGATTCTCAAAGGACGAAGTAGCGGGTGGTCGCTAGTAGCTAAAATTTTTAAGGAACCTACTGTTCACCGTTTTATTGTTAACATTCGTATAGCAATCTCTGTATTCGAAAATTTGGTTACTATACTAGACAAATTCATAATGATGATAACCTAATAAAAATGTCGAAATGTCCAAAAAGTGTGCACAGCAGATATTGGTTTGAAAACTACGTATTAATGGATGTTATTCATCCATATATCTATTCAATTCATAGCAACGATATTCAATACCCTAGATACACCACGTGCGCTCAAAATGTGCCTCAATCAAGAAGTGCTTTAGAACACGCCTCAAGCACTTTTTGGTTCACAGTCACGCGCGGACCGTTGAAAAGTCAACATGTCGCAGAGTTCCGTGAAAAAATTCGAAAAAAATACTTATAAGTAGTACGTAAACTGTAGTTTTTTGGACAGGTATTTGATCAATGTTTGTTAATTTAATACATTTGAAGCAAAGGACAATGTTAAAATTGGCCTAAGAACCAACACCAATTTGGCATTATGATAATTCTTAGTATATTTTTTGCGATAATTATCAGTATTTCGATTGTGACGGACACTTCCAGTTAAGTAAGCTAAATTAAAAAGTTAAAAAATAATCTGAGACAATAAATACCATTTTATGTGTATAATCTATGGCAGCGCTGCACACAAAACACTCTTTCTTCCTAATGCCGGCACTTCACTTGGCTATTCGTATTTGCTATTTTAAAACATGACATCAGTCTGTCCTTTTCATTCCTTATTAAGCATGACAAGGACAAATTGGTGTCAAGTGAAGGGCCGGCATAAAACTTGATACTCTGTGGTTGTGGTGCATGCAGTTTGTATTCGTAGTAATCTGTGGCATTCGTGCATTCCAAAGAGTAGTTTAAATACCGGAAAGTGCATTCTCGTTTCGGATTACCTGTTGTGTGTGTTTATTTGCGATTATTTTTCCTTTAATTTAACTATTTCGGCTATCTAATATGCCATCGATGTTACCAAAGAGCAGAGCCCTTATTACCAAGTGCTAGTGAACCTGTGCCACAACATCCTGAGAGGATCATACTGCCAAATTATTCAAGAACACCTGATACACATTCACGCTGCATATTTACACAATATACATGTGATATACAAAAAAATACAATAAACAATATTATCATATTGTCACAATTGTGTGAAAAATAGTCAATAAATAAGAAGCAAAACTACAGTTTTTATTTTATTCATGATTCCTACCTTACCAAGTTTTTCCTAATAGTTATTCTTTAAAATCGCACCGAATAAAATGAATTAGTTGTAATATTAATTCACTTCATACTGAGTTCATACTAAATTCATAGGTTGACCTATATTTCATTTTAAACATAACCTCAAAAAATATTTAGTTTTCCTAATAATTTAAGTTCTCAGAAGTGTCCGTCAAAAATATTTGTTTTTACAGTCATTTACTTACGATTTTGAACCAAGAAAATAATATTTCATGATTGTTGGTTCTTAGGCTAACTATGTATGGAAGCTGAACAATGTCCTTTTATTCTAATACTTACTATAAACTGATTTAATCGAAAATATTTGTGATATTCAAATGCATGGTCAGCAATATAGCCGTCTCTTTTCCTCACGGTCCGTACCTGACATATTGCTAACAGCGCATTCAGATTTGCACGTAGAGTCTAAGAAATAAGGTCTATATTCTTCCGTATATAGCGATAAGTCGTAAATGTTTAGAGCTTGCATTTCAAACTGTCATAACTCTTTGAGGCATGCGTTTTAAATAAAACCTTATACAGTATTCATTAAAGGAGACTTTCAATGTTTAAATAATCCCTACGCGATCATCTTACTTGTTTAATGTACCTTTTGGACAGGTTTCGGCCACGATTTTGTTCGTGTTGTTCTATCTAGGTATTTAATATCGTTGATTCATAGGGAAAACCTGTGTCCCAGTAGTGGGGATTGTTAAAATTACTATCAAAATAGTGTTCTTTCTTATATACTAATAATGCCATCTGTTGACAACTATTAGCATCTCTTGATAATTGTCTATTGTCTCTGTATTAAGAAAACAAAAGTTTAGTCTTTGAACAACCTCTCGGCGTGTTTTATTAGGGATATCAAAAGGCTGATGATGATTTGCCACACAAATGTATCACTCACCTTCGTCATAATCGTCTCCCACGACCGTATTCAGGTCCCGCACCCTGATGCTGAGGTATAGCACCTCGAACTCTTCGAAGTCGATGGTGACGTTATGCCTGATCTCCTTGGCCACTATTGTGCCGCTGGCTGAGCCCAGGTTGTTCTCGTTCTCGTACTTAGTTTCAATCGCGACACAACTGAAAGAATTGGCCCTATTAAAAAAGGATCATAGGTTCTTAGGAAATTTTCTCGCCACTGTGGTACCACTGGCAGAGCCCAGGTTGATCTCATCGACATACTAGTTTCAGTCGCGACACATCTGTAAGAAACGCCTGCTGATAAAATGAGATCTTAGATAATCAAAGGAAATTTTCGAATTGTGGGCTTATCTCGTCATCACAGTCACAATCTTTTTCTTTAGAAGACCTGACAAATGACTCCACCCGAGCTGATTTTAAGTGATGGTGTAGTCCAGACGCGAAGAGAGGTGGTGCGGCAGTTTTACCACCCACACCAGTCATCCTCGTCTTTCCGGCCTGCAAAGTGCTTCTTCGCGCAAAACACATGAAAGAAAAGTCTCCTCAAAATTAAAGAACATTAGGTGTTAAAGAGATATCATAAAATAACTATTCTAATGTTAAAAGAAGCGCATCGGAAGAAAAGAGGAGTTGGTAGATAAATCTTATTAACCTACAGGGTTTCAATAACAATTTTTAAGATAGGACGTTATGCCAAAAAGTAAACAGCATAGGTAATTAAATTTAAAATTAGATGTATCCTAAGCTTTGTTGTGTCATGTCCTACTCTATGGCATTTAAAAGTACTCCTTTCTCTGTTTCTTCACTCTCACGTTTCGACTCACCCGGAGTATTCCCGTACATTAGTGGGGCGGCCTTGCTTGGTGGCCCAGCTGTCCTCCCAGTTGATTTCGAATACGAGATGTGCCGTAGTATCAGGATCAGTTGCTCTGATTGTAGTCTCGATCACGTGGCCTTCTGGCACGTTCTCCTCTACGCTGGGACTGTTTCTTGGCTGTAAGTAAAATGTCAGTGATTTTCGCAATAAACAGCAGATTCTGAAGCACCGAATTTTATGCTTATAAAACTATGGGATTAGAACCCGATTATTTTTAACTTTAAAGAAGAGACTGATTAAAATCATGAGAAAAAGCTAAAAGATGGCCTGAATGAGTGGTAGGGAAAAATATTGGACGATTCAAAAGAGCTTCCTATAAGTCAATTTGAATAAGATATAATTTCATTTCATTTCAGTAGCACCGGTTTTGATGCTCATAAAACATGGTATGGGGTTGGAACCCAAAGTAATAATGCCAACGCTATATCCAATTGTGGCGTGTAGTTAGCTAATACATTTCAACGAATTTCATGGAAATTACATAAATACGTACCAAACTATTGAAAATTGTTTCTTATTCAACTACGAATTTTCTTGGGAGAGTTGGGATGATCGGACCAAGACTATCTTGAGCTCAGGATTTAGGCACAAAATGACGAGTTTTGAAAAATATTCACCGATAACAAGAAGAAGAGTCACTTCTGCCCTTGCAACTATGTTAGGAACATTGAGAAATATAACAGTGTCTGCTATCCTGTCTGAAAACTGGACCTAGTGGAATTGTTTGTAGTAAAAATTTCTTTTGGATTTATAAAATCTAGCGGTTTAATGCTTTAAAATAATTATGTAATAAACTATAACAGTACTTACCAGCCTCAATGTTGGTGGCGTATTATTGACATCCTCCAGGTAAATGACAAGTTGAGTGGTGGTAGTATGTGTCCCACGATCCAGAGCTCTCAGAGTGTCGTCTGCTCGCACCTAATACCCAAAAATTTTAGGTTTCACATTTTATTTTTCAATGATAATCCTTTAGCGTTAAAAATCTAATGCGAGTGATACTCAGGAATCGCTAGCGATTTTGTACTTTGGAAGACGCTTACCACCAGGCGGGCCATATGCTTCTTTGCCATTCTTTTTACTTAAATCTTGTAATCCTACTGATGGTCACAAACTGAATGGAAATCAGCAGAAATAGGATGGATATTAGTAGGATAAGATAGGATAGTAGGATTCCATATCCACCGACCTGTACGAATAGCACGTTCTGTCTATGGAAATCGAATGCGTCGTTAGCGTCGACGTACACGTCGCCAGTGTCTTCGTCAATACGCAGCAACTCGCCGGCGTTGCCCATCAATGAATGCCTGGAGAGAGAAATTTTGTCACAATATTGTTTAATGTAATTCTTTGATAGTGGTACTTCGTACTCTAAACTTGGGCTCAAAATCCTTTTAAAGAGGCGCAGAAAAGCATCTTATAGCCTTATTTTTAACCCAGAAAAATGCTTGATACATACCCTGCCGCTGGGTAAGGCAGAGTTGAGACAACGCATAAGTAATTTCCGATGGTGCCAGTGGTTAACGCGTTGGGCTGCGATAGTTGAAGTTTAGCAATGGTCGGTCATTGATCTTGAGTTCCTCCGTGCTTCGGAAGGCACGTTGAGCCGTTGGTCCTGGCTGCATCTGGAGTAGTTAGCATCCACCAATCGGCAAAGGGCCCACATGCTGGATCATGACCAAATCTCCCTATTCCATCCATAGGGAAGGTCTGTGTCCCACCAGGTACAGGCCATTAAATGGAGGATGATGATAGGTAATTTGGCGACTCATTTCTTTGTTGCAATATTGGTTAATTGGATTCTTTGAGAGTGGACGTGCTCCTTCGTCTTTACAATTCATAGTCCTTTTAAAGGGGCGCAGAAAAACATCTTGCAGGCTGGGAGTGGCAGAGTGAGCTCAGACAACGTATGTATACTCAATATTTATTGAAACCATATTTTTTTTCTGGAAAATGTTACTGAAAGAAAATCAACTTGGCCCTTCATCAAATATTATGAAGGTTACATAGTATTTGTTGTAGGACTGGTTGCTTTTTCTTGTTTTAAATGTTTGATACTCGTAAGTCTCTCATTCATACGACGTAGTTATTTAAAATTGAAAAGATGGCGCCTGCACCGCGTTATGATAATATATAGCTCGTTCCTAGCACGATCGATTGACAAATTACTAAGGACTTTGACAGTTAGGCGCGATAAAAAACGTGATATAATGTTAATTGCGGTGGTCGTGCTGCGGAGACTGATGTCCTTGCAGCCTAATATAAGGACTAGAAGGAATCCGATAGGTCTCGTTACTAAAGCGATCAGTGATAATTTAGGACTTTGGTTAGATTCAGGTCTGATACTTCAGTTTAGTTGATTTATCCAAATAAAAAAAATGCAACAAAATCATACTTCATACTTAAACAAAAAAATATGAAGTCACACCAGCCATTCTTAGCTGGTCGGCCTGCATAAAATCTTGCCTCTTTCGAAGGAGGAACCATGTTTTCCTAGCTTTGTACAATAGGGATGATGACTAATTTTTTTTTCTTCGTTTATCAGGTAGATTATAAAAAAGTATTGGACACGTATTTTTTCTTTTTTCACATAATATAAACATTGCAGAGATATATTGATTTGAAAAGTCGCATGACGTCACGTTTGAGTACACTTATAAGTGAAAATTCACTCAAACGTGACGTCACGAGCCCCTACTCCCAAAGTTTGACGCGCTATAACTTTGTCATTTTTTGGTTGATTGCCCAAAGAAAAAATACGTGTCCATTATTTTTTGATCATCTAACTGACAGACTAAATAGAAGTTCGTTTACTGTACCCCGTTATCACCCCTATTATGCTTATTCCACTTTCCACTACGTGACAAAGCTTTGGCTGGCTTTGTTACTAAAATCCGCTAAAATTATCGTTCGAACTTTGAATTAAGTACGCTCCTTCAGCTACACATACTTTATAGTTTTCCACAACCTCTTTTAGCGTGTCAAATTATCGCTAGTCAAGCTATCGTCTAGTGTCTATAGACACGCAGACCGCAAATTTATTGCGACAGAATTAATTCAAATTTCGAACGCTAGTTTTAGCGCACTTAGCACCAAAGCCACCAAGTGTGGGAGAAGCATGACTGGCATATACTTACACAACTTTGTCGTCAATATCGCGGTCGTTAGCGAGTACTGTGGCAACATGGAAATTCTTTTCGACTGTCTCCTTGAAGGTAACTTCGTAGGAGGTCTCTTCGAATATCGGCACTTCGTCGTTCCAGTTGATCAAATCTATATAAAGTGTGGCCACTCCAATGAAATCAGAATTATTCTTGTCTGTCGCCACTAGCTACAATAAGGGAAAAATAAAATAAATTTAAATATCTAACAACCGACCGATATATTTTTTGTAGGGTTATCTAATAATGTGTGACTTTTAAAGAATTTGGTTTTTTTATAGTTTTATTTTTTACTGCTAGTTTTTTAAATCATAAGATTTTCTTGGCTGTAGAAGGGTCTCGAATCTCCATTCCCCCCTTTCCGGGCGGATGCATTGACCAATTATGCTACCGTTTGTATTATTTATGGTTTTCTTTAACTTTTTAAATAGTATGTAGGTACAATTCACCTCGAGGACGATGTGTTGGAACTCGGGGACTTCATAGTCGAGCATGGTATGGTTGATTGTACTCATGATGAAGGTCTGCCTCTGGTATCCTTCGTCTGGGGAGATGGCGAAGGCCGCTGATGCTCCAGGCGGGTACACGTCGCGGAGTTCTACCGTGTACCGGGCGTTGTCGCCCTACCGAAGGAAAATAATATAAATCTGCACATTAATGTCCCCACTGCAGGGGCACAGGCCTTCCCTATCGATGGAATAGGGTCATTGGGCCATGATCAACCACGCGGTATTGGTGGGTGCTAACGAATGCAGACGCAGCCAGGCCCAAAGGCTTAACGTGCTTTCTGCAGCAAGGAGCTCGAGAAAATAAGTTTTTAGTCACCCATCCAATGACAGACCATTGCGAAAGTAGCTTGACTTCCACGATAGCAGGCCGACCTGCGCCATCAATCTCCTCAAGATGGGTTTACCGATTATATAATTACTTTTATTAAGATGAAAATTCAGAAATACGTGTGTGTAGGCGAAAGAAAACGAGGTTTGATGATTTCGCTCCGTAAAATGCAACCATCGTTCGCACTATCAATGTTAGAATGAAAACATGCAGACACGAATGTAATATACGTTCTGCTTTGATACCTGGGTACAAAGGATCGTTTAATATGACTTACATAAAGTGAAATTCTATTGGTCTTATCACAAGAAAACACGAAAGTGCCTAAAGGGGAAGTGAGTATAGGGATGATGACTCAAATTTTCTTCTTCGTCTAGCAGGTACATATTTGTTTTACGAATATTACACAGATATATTGATTTAAAATGTCGCATGACGACATGCCTTGGTCCAATTTAAACTTGTACCAAGAAGTGATGTCACTCCCAAACTTTAACGCGCTTTATCTTTGTCGTTTCTTGGTTGATTGACAAAAGAAAAAATATGTGTCCGTGTGTGTGTGTCTTAACTTCGTTAATTTCAGCCCCTTATCACCCCTATTGATTCACAGTTGTTGTTATTGCAGTCTTACCAAGTCCCGATCATGGAATCCGAAGTTCGGCCCAAAGTCCAAAGTGAAAGGAGTCTCCTCTTCTATAGCGGTAGAGTATTCTTTCTGCAATGGCTCTGGTCGTTGGTCGTTGATGTCGTTGACTATGATGATCACGTTGGCTTCGGTGGCGAGCGACTCGTTGTTCGACTTGTAGGCGACTATAGACAGTCTAAACAGCTCCCTTTCGAGAGTATCTCTGTCGATAGGATCCACGAATAGAGTGGCTCCTTCCTCATCGTTGGGTGCGATGGAGAAAAACGTATCTGGAAAAGTTATATTTATTGAGCTTAATCATTTTCAAAGCGAAGACGTATATCTCGTAGCCGTAGATTCATTTTTGGTCCGAGTTGTCTATTGGGTGTATTTTTAGAATTCTTAAATAGTATCAATGGAAACTTAGAAGCTTACGGTGTCTGTCCAACCATCAGTTGTTTGTATCTTAGAGACAGTAGCAATAAATAAAAATAAAATACATTTTTGAATAAAGACGTTTTATATCAGCTTTAGTTTAAAAAGTTAAGCTTTGTGCATCATAGTGCTGGTGACTGTTCTCGGTAGTTCTATATTCAAATTTACTACTCACTAAAAGTTTTGGGAACAGCGGATGGAAGGAAAATAGTTTTTGCTTTCCTCTACGACTTGACGTATACTGCTAAGCATAGGTCATCCCCAAGGATCTATATGCATACCTTCATCACTATTTATACATCGGCTTTCCGCAACTTAAACTAAATCGTCGATCTATCTGGGCATACCCACTGAGGGTCGTTCCATTTGCGAAACTTCCATCAGTTCTCCTCGCTACGTGTCCCGCTCATTACCAAACACATAAAACAGTGTATTTTTGTCAAAAAAAACTGAAAATAAGTACGACAAAGGTGGGGAATATTGTCGCCAGCAGTGTTTCCATACTAATACAATCCGAAGACCTTGAAAAAAGAGCGTACAATTTATTAAAGACCGGCATCGTATTTGTGATCTGCTGGTGCTGCAGATGCCTACAGGAAACGGTAATCACTTACCATCTGGGGACCTGACTGCTCGTATGCTCCCTAAAATATAACAAAACAGCAATGCGAACGAAATATGTTCATCTACATGTCCAGGGGTGTATTTTGAATCCTGACCATAATTAGTGAATCAAATCAAATATAATTCAGTTTCGAATGCCTTTGTATGCCTTCTGCCGCCACCCATAGCTCTTGCCCTAGCCCTCTGGTAAATACGCCCCTGCACATGTCTACATACCATTAGACTGTAGTAGATCTCCTTGCCGATCTCGATGTCTGCGTCGATGGCGTACACGTTAAACTGCTGATGCGACATCTCTTCGAACTCTACGTTCGCTACTTGCACCAACATCGCCACCGAAAGCAAACACTCATGTTCATCCACATACCATCAGGCTCCGTAATCAGCTTGTAGTAGATCTCCCTGCCGATTTCGATGTCGGCGTCGATGGCGCGCACGTTGAACTGCTGATGCGACTCCTCGTCGAACTGCTGCACCGCGAATATCTCCACCCAGCGGGGAGGCCGGTGCTCCACGTTCGCCACTTGTACCAGCATTGTCACTGTGTCGTTATTGGGTAGCGAGTCCTGTGACAATTACCTCATCATCATTATCATCATCATCAACCTATTAATGTCCCCACTGCTAAGGCACACAGGCCTTCCCTATGGATGGAATAGGGAGAAACGGGCCATGACCCACCACGCGGGCCCAGTGCGGATTGGTGGGTTAACGACTGCAAATGCAGCCGGGACAAACGACTTAACGTGCCTTTCGAACCACGGAGGAACTCGATACAGAATTTTTTTGATCAGCGACCCAATATTTTCTTACTTGAACAAAGATAACTGATGCAGTTATCTTTGTAAGGCAACTCCATTTACACTTCTCAAGCCGTCAAAATCGTGCAAAGCTTTATGATTTATAGATAATCATATCAAATCAAAATCAAAATGGGCGATATTATTTATACATATATTTATTATTCATTATATATACAGGGTGTTTTCTAGGGTGGCATACGCGTCGAATTGATAACCTCCTCCTCCCTCCTCTCCAGGTTTAGGTGGGAGAAGTAGTCAAAATGAGAAATGGGCTATTTGAGAAGCAGACCCCTGGCGCTTGAGGTGTAAACTTCGGTGCTTAATCTCTCATACATTCATCACTACAGATAGTGCAGTGCAATCCACGAAGTTTCGCCCCACCAATTTTTGGTTGAAGGATTATTAGTTCTAAAAAGATAATCATCATATTATTATTTACTATTATCATAGATAATAGGCTAGTTGACCCTTTTTCGAAAAAGGTTTTAAATGGTTAATAAATGTTCTATTAGACCGAAAAAAATGTATTGTATTTTTTTGAGACCTTGAAAGCTACAAATCTTTAATTTTAAAATAGACTTTTCATGAACATGCAAAAACGCTGTCGGCCATTTTAGTCTATAGATTATATATTATAGCTATGACGTTGACGGTAGTAAACAAAAACTCGTAAGCACGTAGAAAATAACCTATCTGAGTTTATAATAAAAAAAACATGATTTCTAATAGATACCACAAAAAATATTGTAATTATCATTATTGTATTGTACGAGAATGTAAAAACACATCCTTGAAGACTCCAGGAAAGTTGTGTGATTGTGTTGTGTGCCGAAATAAATTAACCTACGCAATACCTGGTTAGAACTTGCTAAAAGTGATCCTGCAACTTTATCGGCTCATAGTAAAATTTATTTTTGCGAAGATCACTTTGATGTAAGTACTCATTGAATAATATGTTAAGTCTATTCTATTCTAGTCTATTATCATCAGTTTCAATAATACAAATTTTAAAGTTACGTATGAATGACATTTAGTTGTTTACTAAAAGAGACGTCAGAGCATTTTTAGTGTTTAAAAAGTATAGACTTAAAAATATTTTTTTAAATTAAATTTCTACAGCAATCTTCTGCTTTTATGAAGTGAAATCGATATATTTAGGTTCCTTAGACCAAATACTTTAAGAAATAAACATTTATTTAATACAATTCGACATGAGTCAACTAGCCTATTAGTGTGTACCGATAACACTCAAATATTAGCGGAAGCTGGCACACATTTACTATAAACGGTTAGGAGGAATAGTGCGGCACGTCTTCGTGGATTGCAATATCTGTATCGACCTACTCAGCTGTAACATTATACAAACCTTTGCTACGACAGTGAAAATATGCAGGCGATTAGTTTCAAAGTTCAGCGGTCTTGTAATGCCAACGGTCATCAGCATTGTGTGCCAGGTGTTCTCTATGTTTTCACCCTTCATGTAGAATATTTCGTCGTCATTTCTGTCGCTCAGCACTTCGAATGTCATATTCCAAGTGCTTATCTTTCCATCTATATCTGTCACTTCGTACACGCACTCGGTTAGACGGGCTTCGCCAAGCTCCTGCAAATGATGGGTTTTAAAACCTATTTCAGTACCATAATCAAATCGTTTTCTTTCCCTTTTATTCCAAAACGTGGACTAAATTCAGTCTTGGTTTGAACCTAATGTTGTCACTGTCTTTTTTTAACAAACAGAAGTGTCATCATCTGTTTAATTCAAGGTTTAATTTTAGTCTACGTTCTGTAATAAAGCGGTTTGTGTCTGAAAAATTCGTGACCACAACCCTCGCCGAGAAGGTGAATAAGGCTCTGAGAGCTTCTCCCTGTCATTTCATCCAGCTCGTGGGTTCGATAAAATGAAAGGGCCCTACACAGTAAAGACCAGAAAATACTCCTACACCGGTCACTCGCCACGCACTCTGAGGACCTGGAGCTCTATTTTTGAATCACTCGTCTGACATAGTATCGTCGAATGCGACATAAGTCAGCTTCAACTTTCAAGTCGCATAATAATGATTTTCCGTATTTTTGAATCATTCGTCACCGGTGTTACCTGTTTAATACGAAATATGAAATTTTACTCATTTCACGCAGAAAAAATAAAAACCGGTAATTACCGCAATGAAAACCGAACAAAAAATTCTCGTTGTCGTTTCATATAAAGCACGACAATGATAGATTATCGTCGTCTAATAGCACAAAAAATTTGACAATTATTCTATCATTCGCCTCCACTATTCGCCATGCAGCGAGTGGTCTCACCCATTCGTTGTACTCGAGCGATTCAAAAATACGGAATTAATTATGTCCAATGAAATTTAGTACAATGCGAGCGTTCGACGCAAGACGAGTGATTCAATAAATTTAAAAAATCAAAAAACCCGACTGCTTAATTATACTTCAAGTAAAAACTGAAAAGAAAAAAACAAGTCCAGTCTATAATTCTGTTAATAAGGAACAACGCTACTTTAACAGTCGGGACCCATTAGATATTCAAGAATACATAATATTTTTCAACAGTGGGTCCCGACTGTTAAAGTAGCGTTGTTCCTTATTAACAGAATTATAGACTGGACTTGTTTTTTTCTTTTCAGTTTTTACTTGAAGTATAATTAAGCAGTCGGGTTTTTTGATTTTTTAAATTTACCTTTTTTATTTCACACTTTTTAGTTAGTATTTTAAGACGGTATATACCGTAGTCTTGTTACTTCAGTAAGGGAATTAATATCGCGGGAATTATTAAGTACATTACGTCGGTCTAAAAGATTGATTTATTAAGACATATAAAGACTTTACCAGCGGGGTCAAGGCTACAGATGGGCCTCAATTTTCGCAAAAATGTGTGAAGTTAAATCAAGTCGTTACATAAATATCTATAATGTATGTAAATTTTATAGTAAACTAGCACTTACTTTTATTCGTTGACTATTTAAAATTGGCAGTGGCTGCATTGTCATGTCAATGCCGGACGTCTAAGATTGTGATATATACACAAATACATTTTAAATAAAACTAGTTTTTACGGGTTAATGCACGAAACTTTATTTATTTATTGACGTTTCGCAGCCTTTTCAGGTCTGCATCGTCAGAATAATGATTTTTTATTTAAAATTGTCGAGCTACCTTCGAAAGACTTATATTGAGCGTTCGGTTATTTCATTGGAAGATTTTTAAAATTTTATTGTCTATGTATGAATTTATTATTTAATTTACTTAATAAAGTATTTTATTTAAAATTCTTGTTTGTAATTTTGAGTTTATTTATTTGACCCTAACTACCGTAAACTACCACCGGTTCCAAAATTGGGAGACCTTCCTGAGAAGAACCGGCGAAACAAACTCAAGAGAGGCTTTCTATCTCCTTCTTATGTTAAATTATGCAAACAAAAAGAACTAATAGTATCTGATGGTCTTGCAGTGTGTGCTCGGGGTTGGGATTTTATCTCCTGTATAATAGGTTCCCAAGCTGGTGGTATATACCAACCATCTTCCCTATTGAAATTTGGATATTTTTTAATCTCAATAGCCTCGCGCATCATTCGAGGAACGAACCGCCGCTCAGCTGCAAGGATCTGTGGTCTATCAAATCTAATGTAGTGGTTTGGTCCCCCTAATGCATGTTCACACACTGCAGATTTATTTTCGCGCCTATGTTTCATATCTGCGATATGTTCTTTTACCCGAGTCCCTATACTCCTATTAATATATATAAACTAGTTTTATTTAATGAGTGATGTGCGTGAAAACCTAAGAAACAAATACATTTTGTCCGAGTGACATAGGCTATATTTTATCACGATAAATAAGTTTCGCCCGTACAATGCCCGGGTGGATCACTAGTAAGTATAATATAATATTATAGATGCGAAAGTGACTTTGTTTGTTGCGCTTCCGTGCCCTAATAGCTAAATCGAATATAATGAATTCCCATATAGAAGTAGATGGGAACTTGGTTCTTAGCTACAACATCGCAATACTTATAGGCGTAGGGTGATGAAAGGGGTGATTTGCCTATAAAAATCTACATTATTTACTTTGAATTTTGCAAAATTATTACAAAACCAATATTATCGCGAGCTGATTAATAAATACAGGGATTCCAATAAGTATGTACTTACTAGCGAAAATTGGGTTATTTGTCATTATATTATGTAAACCTTTTTTGTAACCTTAAGTAATATCGTTAAAAAAATGAAAAACAGTAAAATTCTGAATTTTTCATTAAAATTCCATAATCATAGATACCTATTATGATACTATATTTTTCATCATTTAATAAGAAGGAACTGTATCACAGTTTTAATGTTAGTACTTCGTATATGATCAGATACTGCGGATACCCCATTTTTTTTTTTCTTTTACATAGTACACCGCGCTATCACTTTGTCATCGTTGTAACTTTTTAAATATTTGTCGAAATGACATAGTGTAAAAAGCAAAGTTTATCGTCTTTAAATACCAAAAGCGATTAAAGTATTTGTTTTGATAAAAAAAAAATTATTTGTTAATACAAAATGTGCATTTTGGAAATACATATCAAATAATATTTTAGTTTTGATTCACTATTTTAGCGGTAATGACTTACACATTAAAAATAGATATATGGTGTCACGGACTTTTTTTTAGAACTATTTAAGAGATACATTTTCACTCTACATTACATTCATGTAACTTTTATTGTTTTTGCAGTGCAGGCCAAAATGGCTCGCAGATGGGACATTTTTTTCCGTATTATGTGACACTTATTGATATATATTCGCCAATTCACTCAATAACTACATAAATTATTATATATATGTAATTATTATATTTGAGCTATATTACTGTTAAGTTTCATTAAAATCCATTCAGTATTTTTTAGGTGAAAGAGTAACAAAGATCCATACAAACGTAAGATTGAAATTAAAAGCGTAAGTGGTTAATATACAACTTTAAAGCGTTGTAGATCCTAAACAATCATATAAAATGAAAAATGGTGTGAGGAACCTAAATATGATTTTTGATTATCTAGACAGTGATACCCCACTCGAAATATTTTGTCAACTTTTTTTTTTTACTTCGTCACAATATGGCGCCTAATGTTGCCCATATGGAATTTTGATTACTATCATATCTTTAGTAGCACTCCCATGATTGAGACGAATCGATTGATGTATGAATCATCAAAATCGGTCCAGGCGTTTATTCTCTAGTGTGCCACAAAGGAACAAACATACATATATAGACTGTTAAACACATAACCCTGTCTGCGCGTCGCGCTTCGCGCTCTTGCATTGCGCAGCCGGGTAAAAATAGAGCTCTAGGTCCCCCGAATGCGTGTCGAGTGCGGGCGCAGTTGTGACACCTCGTCAGGACTGGCCACTTACATGCCGGTTATTGTGCCTGAACCGATGTAGATGCCCTGCATAAGGGGCAATGCGAGCCTGACTCCCCCAGGACCAGAATGCCATAGAATTGAACCTTGTCAAGGTTCGATTCTATGGCAGCTGTTTTATGAATGGTGTTTTTCAGACGGTCGTTTTTATTACAGAATTGAGATATTTCTCTGCTTGTGAGAAATACATTAAATTAAAGGCATTCGAAGATTCAGAATTCATTCATTATTTAGGAAATACTTATTAAAAAAATATTTGTTTTCTATTATTCCGGAAGCTGTCCTTACGATAATGATAGCACTAACTAGGTATGATCAAACTTAAAAGTAATAATAATACATCCCTGCATGACTACTGTCATTAGTTGCAGTTGTTATTCACGCCAAAAGTTTTATTTATTTACAAATTAGGTAAGGAGTTAATTAAAAAAAGGCTATTGCGTATGAGTTGATAAATATCAAAAAGATATCAGCATGCCATGCACCCGTACACTATACCTAACTGAATACACGTGTCAATTTGTTTTCGACAATTGAATAAATAAATGGATAAAAAATTCTATCACTCACACTAATTAGCCTAGCCCCAAAGTAAGTCAGACTTGTATTGTAGGATACAAGGGTTACCCTTGTAATCTACAACACAATCTTGGAAAGAAATACATTATATTGTTTTTTTTTGTTTATTTAGGAAAACAAACAACTGTCCAGTAAATTTTGGTAGCAATGAAGTTGATATAAACTTACTAATTGTACAATCAACACCGTTATCCTTAGTTTATTTAAAAAAAGAAAACATCTCATAAATATTGAAATCACCAAAAAGTATTTTAGCAAAAAGTGTAATTTAAGTACATATTATTCTTCTTTAGATCGATGATTGATTGATTGATTGATTGATGTATGGATAAATATTTTTTTCGTTCCATCCACTACGGAGTAGGGGATTGGGTCAGGGAAAGCAAGTGTCTTTATACATACTCGTATAAGCTATGATCGCCGTTTACCATCAAGTGGTTTGCTTGTTTGCCATTCTTTTACCAAAAAAGGGTATCGTCTATTTAAATATATAGGTATTATTTTTATTATTTCAGATTTTGGGGCTATGCAGTCCTAATGAAACTGGAGTCACTGCGACCTAGATTTTTTTTAACACACCAATTACCTAGCCCCAAAGTAAGCACTGCAAAGGCTTGTGTTATGGGATACTAGGGTAACGGATAGAATACATATACTGTACATATATAAGTATATTTATATAGAAATAGGGGAAGGGGGGGCATCACGGGGTAGCGAGGTAAGATGGGGTACCGCACACATAGAAGAAACTAGACGTCTGTGAATATAAAACAATAAGCCAATAGAAAGCCTCATTCAACCAACGGTTAGTGCGAGAGTTTTTTGTAAGTTGAAACATCATTTTTTTAAGGTAATTATGATCACCCCATTTATGTCTTTTTGATTTTTGGTTACTAGTGTTATGTATTTTGATATGGTATGTTGTTTGTAGGAATCCGTTAAACATTTTATTTGATATTTTTTTTTCTGTTCAGAGAGGCCTTATGAGGCAAGATGGGGTATTGGGTGTGGGGTATGATGGGGCATTGGGGCAAAATGGGGTTGTGGGTTTAGGTTCATTTAAGTTTCTTAATAAATAACATAAATTTATTCTTTTTTAGGTAAAATCATGGTACGTACTTATAAGAAAAAAACTAAAAGAGGGGAGTGGTCGATAGATTCTATGAAAATAGCTGTAGATAAAGTTTTGAGCAAAGAGATGGTATACAAAAAAGCTGCTTCAGCATACGCAGTACCTCAGACTACTTTAGAGCGATATGTTAAGAAAATGAAGGAAGGGGGTGAAGTTACTATTGGTTTACTCCTAGGCCCGAAAAAATCTATATTTATATCTAAGGAAGAAGGTGAAATATAAGCATATCTGAAATATATGGAAAAGCGTTTTTTTGGACTAACAACAACCGAACTGAGACGTCTAGCATATCATATCACAACGCTTGTGCTGGCGTGGACGATGAAGATTTGGAAGAAATACACATTTGCTTGTTTTGTGAGAACGAATAGCCTTCCCCATCTTGCCCCATAGTATGGGGCAAGATGGTGCCATAAATTATTGAGAGCAATAAACATAGTGATTGTGCTGTAATTTTGTTATTTCCCTTAGCTACCCCATTATGCCCCCCCTTCCCCTACATATTAAAAATCCATGACTGGAGTACAAATGTTCGTATTCAGCACACAAACATCTGCTCCCACCGGGATTCGAACCCGGGACCTCTCGAGTCGGCGACACCATGAAACCCGGCGTACAAACGACTCGGCCGACCTCCGTCGGTCGTGACTCGCTACCAAGTTAAAGAATATCTTTTAGCCCGACACTTTTTTTCCTTTCTCTCTTACATATGTCCCAGATGAATATTCCGTTTGTGGATAACAGGTCCACATTCACAAAGAAGGTGTTTTGGTGTTTCTCGCTCATGATTGCAGTATCTGCAAACATCAATGTCACTTAATTTCATATGAAATTGGTGTCTGTCGAGTTTGCAGTGTCCAGTAAAGGCTCTTACTTATAGCACGAGTGTTCGGCCTGCTAAGTTGTACTTAAATATCATCATCATCACCATCATCATCATCATCCTCATCATCATCATCAGCCTATTAATGTCCCCACTGCTGGGGCACAGGCCTTCCCTATGGATGGAATAGGGAGATTGGGCCATGACCCGCCACGCGGGCCCAGTGGTTAGGTTATTGGTAGTATTGGTTAGGTTATTGGTAGGTGCTAACGACTGCAGATACAGGCCGGGACCAACGGCTTAACGTGCCTTCCGAAGCACGGAGGAGCTCGAGATAGTAATTTTTGGTCACCCATCCCATGACCGACCACTGCGAAAGTTGCTTAAGTTCAACGATCCCAGCCGAACGCGCTTACCACTTGCGCCATCGAGCTCCTCAAATACAACAACTTAAATATAGGTAAAACCACAGAACACAGAAAGAGGTAAAACCAAAACAAAAAGAAACTATTACTAACGGGCACGAGGCAAGAATCCAGGGCATGGATGATGGGTGGGTTGTCGTCGATGTTGACTATCACCAAGGACACGCCGGCCCGCAGCGTCTCGCCTGCAATCTGGATCACGAACTGATAGTTGCGCATCACCGCAATCTCGTAATCTTGCCTGAAAACATTATTTTTAACCGACTTCAAAAAGGAGGAGAATCTCAATTCGGTCTGTATGTTTTTATGTATGGACACTCGCGGAAAGACCCGCTCTGTCACCCATAATGCCATAATCGCTTGCGGTAACGGCGTAGTAAAAAACAATTCATAGACATGTAATTATCGCTGTCTTACTTTTTCGTATAGCGCTGTCGCGATCACGATGCGGATGACAAATTGCAACTAAAACAAATGCAATTCAATTCATTATTCAATCAATGAAATGCTCTCTGTCTTACTTTTGTACGGCGGCCCGGATTGGCGCGTCTGACGCGAAGGCGGGGCGTAGTAAAAACTACTGTAGAAAACCATTCAAAACATTTTGTTCGCCAAGTGACAGAGCGCAAAATTCCGCGATAGTACACCGATTGCTCTGAGATTTCTGAACAGCTTCACGTGATTCTTTTTTTGTTCAATGGGTGATAACTTAGAGCATAAATGCTCTAAGGGTGATAGGTTGCCGTTTGGTCCCCATAAAAAAACTGTTTACTCTAAACTTTTTCAATTTAATCTAATCTTAATGGACGAGAAAATAATTAACATTGCATTAAGGAGACCCTACCTTTCCTTTCCATGTTTTCTAGTTATCCATGTGTAGCATATTCTTCCTACAAGTTTCATCCATCATCTCTTTGATAATGATAGACTAATAGGATGATAATTATACTTTTTCGGTCAAAATTATATGACTCGGGCAGAACGAATAGACGTAAGACGCAGACCGGGCGCGGGCATAGGTAGGTCTCTTCCGCGTCCTTTTCATACATACGTAAGTAGAAGCGTCGCGTCGCAAAACATATAGAAAAGACTAATATAACGCTTCTTAATTTTACCCGATTGCGCACGTAAGCATTGGGAAGCGCGACGCGCAGAGAGGGTATTGTTTTTTTCACTCACAAGGTGCGCACGAGCTACGCACACATTGACACCTCTCACGGACACCATATATCGAGCCATTTCAGACCACTGCGAGAAAACCTTTGTGATTCATAATTTTTTTAAGTAGTTTTATTTACCGTTGTGTGATGACCAGGTACCAATCATTATCTAGTACTGGAATTCTTTTAATCACGGGCCCCAGGTTTTCATAGCCGCCTTGTATCAAGGGCAATTGGATGGTTGGTTGATTCGTGCCTGCGGAAATTTTAACATTTTGTGAACATTAAATAAAACTAGTTTTAACGAGTTAATGCACGAACTTTATTTATTTATTGACGTTTCGCAGCCTTTTAAGGTCTGCATCGTCATTTAATGAGTGATGTGCGTGAAAACCTAAGAAACAAATTTTGTGAACATTTTGGGCTTCTATATTCACCTCCTAATATTTTTTTGCGAGTGAAACGAAAGATAAACAGCTTTTGTATACATATGCTACGTAAATAAATTAAACAAAATGATCTGCAGAGCCACTTTTTATACTTATTGAACAAATTTATGATTGAACACTTCCTATTTTAAAGTGAAAATTTTATTAAACTCAAACTCAAATAATTTATTGCAACCATAATGTGTGTGGGTGGTAGGTACTTATATAAATATGAGCATTATGGACCCCTATTATATCTTACTACGTACTTATGAATCAATTTTTTAGCTGCTTTATTGCATCTCGATTATTAAAAACACAAAAGCGAAACCTTTGCCGAATCAATGCAATGGCGGGAATCAAAGCATTTGAAAATGGAAATCGCAACACGGCAGAAAAAAGTATCAAAAGAAGGTCGGGCAATAAAGCCTTGAATAAAAATGTTATTAGTATAGGCAATAAAAATATAAATGTTTATTTACTAGCCGTGCCACACGCTTTCACCCGCGTTAATTCGAGGAAAAATCTACTAGGTACAGACTAAACTAATACCACCCTGCGCCAACGAGCTTCTCGCCTTGTAGCCTTTACAATCAATTAATATCAGTGCTGAAGCAGTTTAATAAATATGCTTTCAGCATAAAATTCCCCACTTAATACTTATTCAGATCTCTTGATTTCAGAGAATTTATTAATGTTTCATGAAATGAATATTTTCAATACGATTTCTTTTCAGTTAATCAGGCTTTAGAATCCTTTGCGTGGCCAGTTGGAAATCGGGTGCCACGACCACGCCCGCACTCCCGGCGCGCATTGGGGGGACCTCGGTCCCCAGAATGCCATTGTCTGGTTTTTAGTAGCCCTGTTCAGGGCTATAGGTAGGGCCCTGCTCATTTTGTCCGGCCCAAGGGCTGGCTGAAATGAGCAGGGAGGAGTCCCACATACCTTCTCCTCGCTCCCCCTGTGGTTGAAGGATGCTTAAGGCATTTCCCAACACAAAATAAAGGCTTTAGAATCCTTGGAAAATTATATGAAAGGTTTATGTTATTTGCACCTTGATAGTTGAGTTTAGCAATAATGACGTCGCCTTGAATCTCCTCCTCCATGAAGATAACCTGCTGGCCTATGCTGGCGCCGCTCTGGTATATGCCCATGCATACCTCCTCACGAACCGGCGGCGGCAGTAACGGTCTCTGACTCCATGTTCCTGGTAATCAGATAAAATCAAAATATATGTTTATGAAGGCAAACTAGCTGAACGTTCATCTGATTAAAATTATAACTTATTTTTAATCAATAATATTATGGATTTCTTGACATGTATATGACGATTAATTGACATGTTTAAATGGAATTAATGTTGTGGTATGATTAACAATAGTGTGACCAATTACAATATTAATATAAAATAATTTGATATTGGCATGCTAATTTAGCGAATCATGTTTGAGCACCATATGTATTGTAACATCTTTTTATTGTACCATGTTTCTTGTAAATAAATATGAATATGATGATAAGTGGTCACTGCCGCCCAAGGACACTTTTAGCACCAAGGATACCACTTTTGCGTTGTCGGCTCTGAAGGAAAAGGTTTACTCGCCTTTTAAAGAAAGTCATATCATAGCCCCCTCCCGGGTGCTTCACACCGGCCCACCGACTGCAACTTTATTCGCAACTTTGCGATTTTGTCGAAATTTTTTACCACGTACGACAAAACTGTGGAATACATTGTCACCAGCAGTGTTTCAGGACCAATACAACCTGAAAACCTTCAAAAACAGAGCGTACTCCTTCCTCAAAAGCCGGCATCGCATTTGTGATACTCCTGATGATGAAGGTGTCTATGAGCGACGTTGATCACTTACCATCAGATGAGCCGTCAGCTTGTATGCCCCCTATAATATAAAAAAATGCGTGATTGCTACCATGACCCTACCTACCTAGTTTTTTGCGAGTCCCTGATATTTCAGCATTGTTTAGTACCATGATTACATAATAACGTAGAAACGGTTACTCCATCCGTGATCAAGGCACTTCCATTTTACTTAACCTTAACTTTTACTTAATTTTTTACTTTACCTTCGAAATCCAGTTCTGGTAACACTGGTGTTGGTGGCCTCGGTATTTCTACCATGTACGCACAATGTTCTGGAAATAGAAACAAAAAATCAAGATTGATTTTTTCACTAGAAACATTTAACCAGTAATCTCGTATGTATAATATCAACAAGTTATTATTATTATAAATATCTCTTATCTATTAGACAAGTCCGTCTGTCTGTGGTGCTGTTTCAGCGGCCAAACCGTAAGAGATAGATAAAGAGAATATTTAAGTTATAAGTTAAGAATAGTCTGATAAGACTACAAACCGGATTTGAGTAACGTAGCACTTCCGGTTTTCGAGAAATCAGGTTTTGGTGAACATTTGGTTCACTGGTTTGCTAGTTTATATTAAGATATTAAATTAAAACTACACTAAAAATAGACAAAAAATAAAACTATTTTATGATACAAAAAATAGCTGCCCCAAGTCTTCCCCGTCGGCAAAGGTTCCCAGGATGCTAGCGGCATTTCCCCGCTGAATGGCGAGGCTTATGCGCTGGGCGAAATAGCCGCCAGCTGTGCGGTCTCCAGTGGTCTCCACCAATCTTTTCGCGATATCTTTGAAAAAATGGTGGGCACCGGAGCCCCTGGGACCCTGAGTCTCGACTCCAAACGCCGCAAATACGAGGTCTCCGCTGAGGCAATCATACTTGCGGCGCTTAAGCGCATCTGCGGTCGAAGCAGCCGCGCCAGCCCGCATCGAGGTTCCGGGAATATGAGACGGGGCCAGAGTGTCGACGCAGGTTACGTCCTACACAAGTGCCCGTCCCTGCTCCCAAGGAACGAGTGTCGTGCCGTCGGGCCTCTTACCGTCGTCGCCCGCCAGGCCGCTTGGTTCTAAAACGGCTGGCACGCTGGCGGAGGCGAGGGCCCTGCGGATGACATCGTTGATGCAGTTTTGGCGAGTTATACGGCCGGCACTCCTTGTGCAGAAGAGACCGTGATGACCGAGGTTGGTCTCAAACGTTCCGCACCGGCAAAGATGCAGGATGACACAGGGCGAGCCAAGGCGCAAGGACGTGGCAAAGGTTGAGCGGTCACGGAGCGTACCGATGTTCACGGAAGGCAGTACCTGCAGCTATAGTGTTGGTATCTCGTGGTTCTCGGGTTACTATCACTATCATCATACGGTGTCAGACAAAAAGGTCAACGCAGTCTGTAGTGAATTTTGTTGCATATTAGCTTGATCAAGACCGTAAATATATCGGAGTCTTCCTAGACCTTTGATAACATCACAGTAAAAGTGGTATTAAATAATCTTGAGAATATTGGCAATAGAATGGTTTAAAAGCTATCTTACAGGCGACAATGTTTGATCAATTTGTTTGTTTAGGCTGGGTAAGATAACAAGTGATGATTTACAGATCGAGTTTGGCGTTCCTTAGGGTAGTGTTCTGGTGCTATTGACTATTTTCAAAAACGTCATTCTTGCTGTGTTGTCTTCGGATATCGAAGCGGTTTGTTACGCGGGTGATGCAATGCAAGCTATGAGGGCACAGCCTTATGAATTACATACCTTCCTGTGTGTTCACGACGACCACGAGAGCCAGCATAAGAAACGCTGCAAGGAGTTTAACCCCCATCATCTTGCATGATCTGTAATGAACATAATGAATATATGTATAGTTAGTTTATATAGTATGAATAATATCTAGATCTTCTTAAGTACCTACCAATACTTACATGTATTTTCAACAACAAGCAATCCACATCCGTTAACAATAAAAAAAATATCAAAAATCTAAAAGAATTAATGGATAATTTCGCGTGAAGTTATGTGTGCATGTATTGTACAATTACTTGAACATAAAGCTCGCATAGGAGCTTTTCATTCTTTGGCCAGTCATATCACGGTGTGACTAAGTCAAAATGACAAGGGCTGACTGACTAGCTTATTAACGTCCAATGACTCGGACTTAGACTTAATTTTTGCACATAAGTTCAATTTACGGCGTATACATTTTTTTACTCTCTCTATTTTAATAATCTTAATGCCAGAACTAAGCTAGCGACCACAGTGTCTAAAACGGTGTTAAGTCCCTTTTACCTAATTTCATTGCCCGTAGTACCACGTAGTACACAAAATTATATAAATAAGTATAATTATAAGACTTTAAATACCCAAACAAAAAAGAGTAATTAAAATAATCCGAAGACTTCCAGTGATATCTATCTTCTATCTATATATATAAAACTCAAAGGTGACTGACTGACTGACATAGTGATCTATCATCAACGTACAGCCCAAACCACTAGACGGATCGGGCTGAAATTTGGCATGCAGTTAGATGTGATGACGTAGGCATCCGCTAAGAAAGGATTTTGATCAATTCTACTCCCAAGGGGATAAAATAGGGAATGAAAGTTTGTATGAAACTTTGTCAATTTTAAACCGATCGGGCTGAGACTTTGCATGCAGGTATAAGAAGAATCATAGATGAATGTCATTGTGTATAATACAAGCCTGAGAACAAAAACTGTAGTCTACACTTCAGATCTACACCGAAGCGAAGCGAGGGCGGGCCGCTAGTAATTATATAAACCTAATTGTTAATTATACCGCTGGAAGTCTCCGGATTTTTATATTCGGTTACCTATATAAAATCTTATAAATATTAATGTTTATATAAATATTGAGTACTACCTGGTACTACAGGCAATTAAATTAAGGAAAGGGGACTAGGTACACCTAGAAGATGAAAAATTACCTATGGTACTACTAGTGCTTCAACAAACTGTACCCCTAGCACGAACCATTATCGAATTCGAATAGTTTGCAAACCGAAATGTCAATGTCAAATTTTGTATGGAAACTTGAACAGCCGCACCGCTTTGGACGTAACGGGAACTAAAAATCGTAAACATTTGACAATGACATTTTGGACTCGCAAACGTTGTGAATTCGATTTTGGTTCGTGCTAAGGGTACTGGTGGTACCATAGCACCGGGCAAAACAAATGTATGGCAGTTACTCAGATTAAATTTGTTTTAATCTAAGGGCGGCTCCCATCAAGAGAGCCTTGGAGAGCCACAATGTTTGCTTGCTACCCTTTAGACAAAAAATGTATATTATGTCGTCATTATCGAGAATGCAGACGATTGTTTATCTTATAAAGTACCTAATTGAAATGCCAAATGTAGAAATGATGATTATAAAGTTGATAATGAATTAGTAATCTAAATAAACATTTCCATATCGCGAAAAATCTAGATAAATAATGAAAATGATTTGATTCATTATCTTTAATACATATTTGAAAAATACAAATTATTTTTATTTTAATTCATATTTTTTTTGCAACTTGTTAAAGTTGATATTCTTTTTATTCTCAACTAGCTGACCCAGCGAACTTCGTATCGCCATAAAAATATGGGTGGTAGAGGGGTGAAAATTAAGGGTTGTTTATATTACGATACATATTTAACGTAATTTTTTTTCTTCAGACGATTTAATAATTATTTTGAACACAAAATCGGTTATTGTGATTAAACCATGATAGCTAGATATATGTTCTTGCGGACTTTTTTGTAGGTCAATAGTTTTTGCAGCGCACGCAAAAATAGGTTTTCGATTTTACACCTTGTGTTACAAAATAGCAATTTTATAACGGATCCCTAATTTTGATATTCCTCGATAAATGGACTACCCAACACTGAAAGAATCATTCAAATCGGACCAGTAGTTCCAGAGATTAGCGCGTTCAAACAAACAAACAAAAAAACTCTGCAGCTTTATAATATTAGTATAGATAAAAAACCCAAGTTTAAGTCTTAGTCTAGTCCTCGGAAGATATTTGATACAAAGACAGAGCGAAAAAGCCACCGCACTAGCACGGTAATAAAGATAATATTACCGTGGCACTAGCCACCCTCATTTAGTCTGCCAAAAGTCAAGTTCTCTACTCTGTGGTGTGCGTCAGGGTGACCACTACAGCAGATCAGTATCTAATTTACAACAAAAATAGATTAAAACTAAAAAGGTAACATGAAAATAAAGAAAACATTTTCTAAAAAAAATGGTTGCCTGTAAAGTCGGTTTTACGGGCGAAGATTTTACGTGACAACGTCTTTTTCTCGGTAGAATATTTATTGATATGAATATAATTAAATTGCACAATAGGAACAAGGAATTGAATGAAAATAAGAATTGCACAAATTTTAACTATAGAAATATATTTTGTTTACTAAAACATTGTACATGTAAACTTAAACTTAACACGAGAGACTCATCGTAACGTTACCGAGCGTTACACTTTTTCATAAGTGACTCCCAGCCGCAACCTAATTTAAGACGTTGTCACGTCAAAATATCAACGGGTAATATTTGAGAATGGATACGTGGCCAAATACCCACCAAGCTGGCCAAGTTCGTAACGTGCTTTTGATATTTTTATTTGGAAATCCAATGACAAGCCATAGAAGTTTGAGTCATTGAGCTCTTCAATTAACGGTCATGAATCTATCCAGTTTGAAATTTAGGAGTTGAAATTTATATAAAAATGGTTGCCTGTAAAGTCGGTTTTACGGGCGAAGATTTTACGTGACAACGTCTTTTTCTCGGTAGAATATTTATTGATATGAATATAATTAAATTGCACAATAGGAACAAGGAATTGAATGAAAATAAGAATTGCACAAATTTTAACTATAGAAATATATTTTGTTTACTAAAACATTGTACATGTAAACTTAAACTTAACACGAGAGACTCATCGTAACGTTACCGAGCGTTACACTTTTTCATAAGTGACTCCCAGCCGCAACCTAATTTAAGACGTTGTCACGTCAAAAATCAACATGTCCTTTAAGGTTTTGGTAGCCTAGGTAGATTAGTACATCTGCGAGTGCAGAATGCAACGGGATGTGTATTATCAGTACGCTTTCAAGCGTGACATTTGAGACGAGTGGAATTTTTTCTTTATATCTAGATAGGCGTTTCATCTTGATGCGTGGCTATCCACAACCGTGCGTTTTTGTCGAAATTTTTTACCACGTACGACAAAACTGTGGAACATATTGTCGCCAGCAGTGTTTCCGGACCAATACGACCCAAAAACCTTCAAAAAAGAGCGTACTCCTTCCTTAAAAGCCGGCATCGCATTTGTGATACTCCTGGTGTTGCAAGTGTCCATGGGCGACGGTGATCACTTACCATCAGGTGAGCCGTCTGCTCGTATGCCACCTATAACATAAAAAAAAAATAGGCACTTATAATTTACCTTTTTATGGTGGTAGAACGACTAACGATAAATACTTCGGTACTTCCTACAGTTATTATAGTAATACACTGAGTAACACTTAGAACACGAAAAACTGAAAAACCACAAAGTAGGAACTTAACCTTCACTCGCGCGCTTTATACTTCAACTATTGTATTAAATATAATGTTTCGCGAAACTGTACAGAATATTTTTCGTCATGATTATTCACAATAGATAAGATAACAACAATGATAATATGTAATTATTAATTATTTGTGTCGATATCGCTTGAAGATAAGTATATTGGTTATGGCATTTACTTGTCTTTTCTTAGGAAGGACTTCTTTAATTAATCAAAATAATTCTTGGATATGACCTCAGGGATTAGAAGAAAGCCTTCTTCTTATTTTTTAATTGTTCCTGGTTTATGAAGAGTGTTTAAGAGAGACAGATAAAGTGTCTGGACATGTTAAATTTACTAACATCGGTATAGATGTACTAGCGATGCACGACTCCGAATGATTTTACCTTTCGACTAATTCGTTACTACTAATTTGGCTATTCGAAAGGCAAATTAGTAGTATAATAATGTCATTATTCGAATAACGACTACTAATTAGTAATGCTAATGTCAAATGTCGCTGCGTGCGATGCGCGCCGCCCGATACCTTCGACTCCAGTCGAATGATATAAAGCGCAGTCGACTTAGTCGAATGATTCGTGGAGTCGAATGATTAGTATTAGTATTATTCGAAGTCGCGCATCGCTAAGATGTACTTGTATACATCTTTACTTACCAACACATAATTATTCTCCATTATGACCCCTCACGAGGTAGACTGACGACATCAAGCGAGTCGGGGGGACCCACTGGATGCGGAGAGCGTAGGATCGTTCCATATCGAAATCCCTTGAGGAGGCCTATGTCCAGCAGTGGACTTCCATCGGCTGATGATGATGATGTGTGTTTAAAGCATTTTTGTGGTCCTACTGGGTGGCGACTGGTGTACTACAGGCATATTTTTTGTTCGTAGTTCTATCAGTCGGACTGTAACAATAAACGTATTCGTTTCCCATTATTATAAAATAAAAAAGCAAAATATGGAGTATGGCTTATAGAGCTCAAAAGTTACCCGATCGATTTAGGACACCCATCTGGTAAATTGTTCTCGAATATTGTATTTGCTACTGTATCTACGTTAACGAATATTGGAGCCAAATAACCTTTACCGCCTTATTCCAAAACAGAGACTAAAGTTAGTCTTGGTTTGAACCTTATGCTGTCTCTGTCTTATTTTTAGCAAACGAAAGTAACATCATCAGGTTTAGACCAGGTTCAACTTAATTTATGAGAGTAGACGTTATGTAATAAAGCTGTAAGTTATATATTTTTATTAAGCATTTAACGACTAGATGTTTAAATCTAAAGATTTTTTGACGTGACAACGTCTTAAATTAGGTTGCGGCTGGGAGTCACTTATGAAAAAGTGTAACGCTCGGTAACGTTACGATGAGTCTCTCGTGTTAAGTTTAAGTTTACATGTACAATGTTTTAGTAAACAAAATATATTTCTATAGTTAAAATTTGTGCAATTCTTATTTTCATTCAATTCCTTGTTCCTATTGTGCAATTTAATTATATTCATATCAATAAATATTCTACCGAGAAAAAGACGTTGTCACGTAAAATCTTCGCCCGTAAAACCGACTTTACAGGCAACCATTTTTTTTTTCTAGGAAAAATCCAGGTGGACCAGACAGCAGACGGGACTCAAACGCCAGTAAGCGTCCTCCATGTAGTTCATTCATTCGTCATTCTCGTGAACAAGTGCTACCAGTGCAGCTGAGTCTCCTCACTACAATAGTATTTATTAACTTTTCCCCGATATATTTGTTATCATTATTAGAAAAATAAAACTATTATGTAGTGTTTCTTAGGTTTTCACGCACATCACTCATTAAATAAAACTAGTTTTTACGGGTTAATGCACGAAACTTTATTTATTTATTGACGTTTCGTAGCCTTTACAGGCTACGTCGTCAATTAATTGCTACCTTGAAGGTAGCTCGACAAATTAAATAAAAGTTTTATTCTGACGACGTAGCCTGTAAAGGCTACGAAACGTCAATAAATAAATAAAGTTTCGTGCAAAAACCCGTAAAAACTAGTTTTACTATTATGTAGTGTTATTATCTTGGAAGGCGATTAACTGAGCTCTAAGGGCTTATTTTAAATCTTATAATTGAGCTTTTCCCGGAAACCTCGGAGTCTCCCGGGTAGAATACAGGCTGTATTCGCAAAATAAAGAAAATCCAGAAGAACGGCTCCCGCCACATTCGATAATAATTACTTACCTATTGATTTTGACAGCACATATTGCTAAATGCCGTAATTACATTTGGGTGTTAGTCCGTTTTAGGATGCACAAAATACATTACTCGAATTCGGGCACCCGAAGCAATATTTACACTAGAATACAAGCTGAAAGACGGTGTCGGGTAAACAATAGGAAATCTACCCAAACACGGGCGTACCTACTCGACTCTGTTCATTTACAATGAGTCGTTTACCCGAATTCCATAGGCACTCGTATTCGGTTTAACGACCAAGTGTAATGGCTTATGTCGCAAATATATTCTTCTTGAAATTGCGTAATTAACGTTACGTCAATGCGTGCGTGACAGAAATGACGATTCGTTCTGAGTCGACTAATAGCTGTCGTTGTCGGTGGTTACGAATTTTTTGCATATAGCCCTTTATCTCCCTTTTTACTTGCTTTGCTAGCTATAATTCTTCGCTTTCGCTAATTCGGTACTGCCCCTTTAGTATGAGCATTACAATTGACATTATATCATACTCCATAGTAATTTGACAAATGAGCGTGATAAAAACGCGTTATATATCATATCGCGGTGCTCATGCTAGAGGGACTGAATTGATTGTTTATCTATATGGGATTTATAAGTTTATATATACCACAATTAACCTGTGGCAGCAGCATCTGTAAAACATAATCAATAAGATTAATAATATGAAACTACGAGTATGTTTTTAAAATATTAGTAAAATTATTAAGCTAAATATGATTTTTATTACAAATAGATATTTTTTACTTATGTCGATTTGTCTGTGTCATGTCGAGCTGTTCAATCTGTTCCTCTCCGTATGCGCGCGCAGATAGAAACGAATTGTCATGCTATGCTCTTGGCTTTACTCTTTAGGGGCCATCCATAAATTACGTCACACTTTAAGGGGAAGGGAGGGGGTCGACGAAATGTGACATCGTGTGACAAGGGGTGGGAGGGGTCCTAAATTTTGTGACGTCACATTTCAAAATATATTAAAATCTAAGTGTTGAAACTATTACTTTACGAAAGCATTAACAACCCAAACGAGAACAAAGTGGTGCTATGCCAGTTATAAATAATTTAAAGGAGTGGGATCAATGTCCATGGGCTCAAGATTATTAAGTTTGTATCTTTAATTTAATTATAATGCTATTAATATTTTATGTTTTGTTAATTTCTTTAATTAACATAGTCAATCACTTTTTGTTCGGTAATTTCTTTAATAAATATAATTAATCGTTTTTTTTTTGTTTAGTTAATTGTTTGATTTGATTATAATAATAATGAAAAAACAATTTAAATGGAAATAAAACCGATTACAGAACCGCTGTTTTCATTCAATGATTTCTAAATGTAAATTTGCAAAATATGTGACGTCACACTAGGGAGGGGGGGAGTCTTACAAATGTGACCAGCTGTGACAAGGACGGGGGGAGGGGCAAAAAAGACATGAAATTCGTGTGACGTAATTTATGGATGACCCCTTAGTAACGGCTACACATCGTTTTCAGCAAATAAATATATTATGTAAACATTTGTATGAAAACTGAACATAAGAGTAGCTTCAAAAGTTATTTATATGTGCTATGAATTGTGACGGAGTATTAAAGGCAATAAACTTATGATTGTAAGTAAAGCTTGTTTCCATTGTACGAATAACTGCCAAGACGCTCTTTTGCAACACATGGAGTGTTCACATCTGTTATCAATATGTTACGTATATGGTTATCTTCCGATCTATGCAGGTAATATCAAAGCATGGATACCTACCTACATAGCATAAAATGTTACTATAATTTCGTTACCTAAGTCTACCAAATTAGATTTTTTTGTTACTTTTAATGTTGAATTAAATTGACATTTCAATCGACTTTTTTTTGGAATAATACAAACATCCATGGGATTTATGTTTGTACTATTTGACCAAGCGGCGTAGCGTGGGCTATAGACACCCGGGGCAGAATCATAGTTTGCCGCCATTGTCATGACATTTTATTTTTGTTATTAGCATTATTTTTTCACTCGGCTCAGAATAGGGCCAGATTCTCTAAGGCTTGCGTGAGTATATTAATTCAACATGTAGAGGCCTTTTGAGCGTCTTTTCTCAATATATGATATGGTACACATGCTGGATCTGTTCTCTGACTATATCATACTGATATACTCAAAGACCATCCCCAGCGTGTACAGGAAACTATTGGATCTACAAGTGTAACATTACAGAGCTATTGTGTTGGCTCTGGATAGGCTGGAAGGAGACTACTCTATAGACTAGATTAACTGGCTTCCCTATAAAGGCTGCAATAGCAAGGGAGCAACGTTGCCGTCCTCAGCTAAAGGGCGTGGAGAGATGAACACGGTACACCTCATACTGCCCGCTTTCTGTGAAGACGACGCGAGGTGCCAACCGCGTCTCGCGCATATTTCAAAAGAAGTTCATTACAGTACCCCAATCACGAACCAATATCGAATTTGTATCGTTTGCGTGTCCAACGTTACGTACTTTGTGCCGCTGCTGTTCAAGTTTCCATACAAAATTTGTCATTGACATTTCGGTTTGCAAACTATTCGAATTCGATAATGGTTCATGCTAGGGGTACAGATCTTGCTGGTTCGCACGAACATGGAACGTGCGTAAAGCAGGGTGCTACAGCACCAAGCGTCTAGATGGTGGGGGTGAAGTTTCTTTCTGCGGCGTGTGTGATAAAGGAAATTGGCTGTTGGCACCGGATTGAATAAATTCCTTTGAACACTGTCCATTGTATAGATGGTACAACACGCACAAGGACCCAACGTCTTTGCGCTATCTTAGGGGATGCTCGTGATTTTGA